TTGAGCTAGATCCCCACTCGTTGTGGTGGGTGTGTTTATGGTTTATTCGAATTTCGGGCTCTCAAGAGCTATCTCACTATTTTCTGTCCTATATTGGAGCTCCCTGCTGGCCCCCACGTCGTTCATTCACGCGGGTCTTTCAGCGGTAATAGTCCGTTCGCGCCCTTGGCGTCAAACGAGCTAGCACTAGAATATTGGAGGGGTGAAGCAAGCATATAAGCTGCATGTGTGCCGTTTGACGCTATATGTACAGGGGCGGAAGGAAGGGTAGCTCGGGGGGTTTTTTTTTTTTTTTTTTTTTTTTTTTTTGTGTGTGTATGTGTGTATGTGTGTATTAGGGTATATTGCCGATTTTTAAGGTTAAGCTTTTAAGGTTTTAGTCGGGCGTCACAGGGTGGAACAGTGCGTCAAATTTTGGTCCTCCTCCATCGGTCACTTGGATAAATGGTGCATGTTCCCACTCTGCCTTGAACTCTTGCCGGTGCTTGTCTCGCTCTTGCTGGTTCTGGCCCTGGGCTTGTTGGCGGTTGTTATTGTTCCTCGATTTCTTGTCTCGTTGGCACGCGCGTATCCAGTCATCAGCGGCTCGTCGTCGGATGTTCTGCATGAATATCGTCTCGAGGTCTCCTTTCTTGACTGTCTGTCCGTCTCCCAGCTGACAGAACGTCACGTATATCGCCCACACCGCTGCCGAGTGGATGTGGATCGCCAGAGGTGCTTCTTCCTCAATGTCTGTCCGTGGCCAGCAGAGGATTCGGTCCTTGGCGGTTATGCTAAAACGAGTAGTAGGATAAAGCGCTGTGAGTTTTTGGTGCACTGTATCCCAAAAGGCTTTCAAATCAGAACAGTCATGGAATGCATGCACATTGTCTTCAAGCTGGGTAGAGTCGCATCGGCGACAGAAGCCTAGTGTGTTGCTATCATTCCAAAATCGTCTGATATTGTTGGTCAAAACCCTTTTGTGCGCTAGGAGGAAAAGCAGATCTTTTTCCTTGTTGCGTCGGTGTTTGTGGTGTAGGCGAGTGTACATTGTCCTCGCCTGTGCCGTTGTGAGGTCCCATGGCGTATTGTCTGTCGTGTGCTCATTAGCATCACGAAGGTGGTCCGCCTGGTTTCTTTGTTTTAGTAGGATTGGTTGGATAACTCGCCGAGCTTTGCGAACTGTAAACTCTCCCAGTAGGAAAGTCGTGTCTGCCAGTCCTAGCGTCAATGCTTCTTTTCGCTCCCTGTCAAAGTCTTTAGTTTCATCCCGTGTGGGCTGTAGTAATGACCATGCATACAGTGTTTGGTGCACACTTGCGTCTGCTCCTTTGTATGTGACTGAGCGAGCTGCTGTGCTCGGTTGTAGTATGATGTGGTTAGTGGCACACTGAATCAGTTTCGGTTCCGCTATCCTCTCTGGTAGAGTATACTCTGCACAATCTTCAAACACGTCCGCCCACTTGGTCTCTTCTAGCAGCCATCTAGCCATCCACTTTGCTTTCAGCGCCTGCACCTGAGACCGTGGGTGGATCATCCCCCATCCTCCCTCTGACTTTGGTTTGAAAAATTCCTCGAGTTTGATGCGGCTGCGCCTTCCGCTCCATAGAATCTCTTTTAGTATCCTGTCTAGTGCAGTATAAAAAGGAGAAGAAAATGGGTAGAATGGTGCGCAGTGCCATATTTTTGAAAGAAGGTATGTATTGATTATAGTCACCCGTCCTTGTAGAGAAAGCCCTCGCAGTCGCCATGTGGCTGTCGCTCTTCGAAGATCTGCTAGGATCTGGGTCTCTATGGTTGGCATATTATAGCCTTCCGCAGAAATGTAGATCCCTAGATGCTTGAATGGCTTTCCGTATTCCTCCCAGCTGTAGTCTGGTAGGCGGATGTAGTCGTGTGACCAGGTGTTGAGTGGGATTAATACTGTCTTGTCTTTGTTGACCTTGGCTCCAGATGCCTTCTCGTGAAGAGATAGCGCCCTTTGTACTATGGCTTCGTCACCTTTGGCCACCATCAGATTTGTATCGTCTGCGAAAGCGCATGCGATTGCATAACCATCTGGTGTTGGGATGCCTTGGGCTTTGAGCACATAAAAGTTGAGGAAAGGTTCAATAGCAAAGTTGAACAAGAGTGGTGCTAGTGGATCTCCTTGTCTTAGGCCTCGAGTGATCGAGAATGGCTGTGATAGCTCTCCGTTGACAATAAGCCGACTAGTTGGTTTGAGGTAGCAGCGCCCGATCCAGCGTCGTATCCTTGGTCCGAAGCCAAAGGCCTGTAGGGCCGCTCTGAGGTACTTCCATTCCACTCTATCATATGCTTTTTCCTGGTCAAGACTAAGAATCGCATAAGCTGGCAGGTCTGGTTTTCTCCTCCGAGACGGCGGATACTGTTGCTGTTGGTCAATATAATTGGCGTATTCAGCGCGTTGCGTGGGGGTTGTTTGGTGGTGAACATGCTTCATTGCAAGGTGTGTCTGAAAGACATTGTCATGGCCTTGTCGACCTTTGACGAATCCAGTCTGCCATTCTCCCAAGAGTTTGACAGCCACCCTGTTGATGCGTTCAGTCAGTGCTTTGGTAAAGATTTTGTAGTCGCAGTTGATCAGCGAGATTGGTCTGTAGTTCTGGGGGAGTGTCCTATCGCCTTTCTTGTGAAAGAGAGCGACAACTGAGCGTCCATGGGATGCAGGCAGTCGGGATCCCTCCGCTGTGGCTTCATTGAAGATCTGCGTAAGGATCGTAGAAAACAAGTCCAGAAATGCTTTGTAGAATTCAAAGGGTAGGCCATCCTCGCCTGGTGATTTACTGTTCGCACTCAGTTTCACTGCATTCTCAACCTCCGTCACTGTTAGATCAGAGTCGAGCATGTTTACATCCACGTCTTCTAATTTCCTAGTGAGTTCGCCCAAGAGTGTAGTTCGAGCGGTCGTGTCCGAACCCTGCGATGTGTAAATACCTTCCCAGTATGTCCTGACAGCTTCCTGGATATCCTCTTGCGAGGTAGCCGTGGTGCCGTCTGGTCGTCTGGCTGCTGGAATCAGTTTTTTCTTTTTCTTTTGGTTGAGTATGTTTGTAAAATATGGCGTAGCGACCTCTCCTTCCTCTAACCACTTTACTCTAGCGAGCGTAGCAGTCCTTTCCAGTTGAATCGATTCAAGCTCTACGCTTTCCGCGATGAGTCTGTCTCGTTTTTCGACCAGTCTGGTGTTGTAGGGGTCAGCGAGTATGCGTTCGTCATTTTGTCTGATTTTTCTGGCTATTGTGTGTCTCTTTTGAATTTGTTGTTTTCTAATTTTTGCACCATACTTCACCGACTCTGCTAGCATCGCCACCTTGGCTCTGTCCCAGAACTCGTGAGTTGGCTCTTCTGGAGAGTCTTCTCGTGAGCGTAGGAGAGAGGCCCACAGGTTGCGGATGATAGCATCGTACTCTGGGTCTCGTAGCAAGCGAGTGTCGAGGCTCTTGGTCTTCTCCCCTGAGGTTGAAGGCGCAATCGCTGACAGCTTACAATGGAGGACCTTGTGATCGCTTCGAATGGCTGGGCATGTCATAGCTCTAGGTGTATTAGAAATATCAAATAGAGGTTGGGTCATCAGAATAAAGTCAATACGTGTGAGAATCGCTTTATTTCCGTTTTTATGAACATGAGTGAATCGGCTCTCTAACGGAGTTTCGTCCTCGCCTAGTTCCGGGACTGGATCATATAGATTCAGAGGGATCAGGGCTTGTTCAAGTGATGGCCACAGGGTTTGGTTTCTTTGGGTTAGTAGATCAAGAGGAGGAGATCTATCAGTTTGGTCATTTGGATAAGCATTATAGTCACCAGCTAGTATCAAACGTGGGTGCTTGAGTTCGTTGGAGGGAAAGTTTGCAATAAACTCTGCTCTCTGTTCTCGGTTGGATGGGACGTAGATGCTCGCAAAGCGGTACTCTTCGTCTTCCATTTTGAAATCAGCAAAAATAATGCGTCCTTGTGAGAGGGTTGTAGTATTGTAGATTTTAATAGACTTGTTGTTGACAAGGATGGCACATTTGCCTGAGCAAAAGCCACCTCTGCCCCACTGGATCATCCAAGCATCACTGTCATCCTTCCCTGTAGAGTGTACTGGGTTGAATTCTTGTAAAGCTATCAGATCATATTTGCGGGTTTTTAGCCAACGGAACAAATTTGTACGTTTGTCTTGTTTTTGGATGCGATCACAATTAAATGTAGCCAGGGATATTTGCAGCATTGAGGATAAAATAGATTTGATATGAGACAATGACAAAAAGGCAAACTTAAAAAATTAAGGTTTTAATTTAATTTTTATCTCTTGACTTTTTATTGTCTCTGTCTCTACAAGACCATGTCCTCGGTCGGTTCTGCAGGATCATCCACTACCGGGGTAGAGGGATCCAGTTCCGCGACTGCCGCCAGGGCCGAGGGGCCCTCACCCTTGCTCGCGAGTTCTGCGAGGATTGCCATGGTCGAGGGGTCCTCTTCCATGCTCGCGGGGTCCCAATCCGATACATCCAAGGTGGATGGCTCGGTCTGAGGGGTTGGCTTGATCCTTTTCACCAGAGGCTCCGCAAGGGCATCTTCATCCTTTGGTAGAGTATCAGCTTCCTTCGTGGTCGCCTTTTCTTTGCCTTTTGAGCTCAGAGGTCTGGCGTTAGAAGTGCTAGGGGTTGCTATCTTTCTCGCTGGTGAGTTAAATAGCCGCCCCTTCTGCCGCTGGTTGCTCGTAGAGGATTCCGCGCTGCAAGAAGTGAACATCGGCTCTTTTGGGAGAGTAAACGTGAAGCTTCCGGATGTAGCGTTGGCTGCCACTGGGGCAGTTTTGCTTACTTCCTTGCTCGTTTGTTTACTCTCGAGCTTTTTGCCTGACTCCTTGGCCTTTTTCTGCGCCCGTTGCTTTTTCCTGTTCTTGCGAGAGTTAGACTCAGGCTTTGAACTAGAAGTAGCGGTGGCGTTACTAGAAGCTTTGGAGGGCGGCATACGTCTCTTCCTTCCCTGCGTTTGATAGCCATCTGGATCTAGGCGTGTTGTTGGTGCGGACGAGGTATTCGCCTGCGTTGTTGAAGTTGGTGGCCTTTTGTTGTTGTTGGTTGGGGGGGCCGTGGTGGTAGTAGTTGGAGACTTGACTACTACCCTTGGTGGTGCCTGGGTTGTCTCCTTGCCGTACCTAGGAGCTAGGATTGGCGTGAATAGTGGACGGATCTCCTCCAGGTATAGGGTCCGTGGTGTCCTGCACTCTGCTGTCAGGTGAGTAAGACTGCCACAGTTGTAGCAGAATTTTCCAGCTGTCTCCCAGGTGAAGACGGTGTTGAGGCCGAACAGCGAGGCTGCTCTGATCAACTCCGTATCCGGTTGAGTGCTGTCATGGAGAGCGAGGGTGAAGCTGATTTCACCATTTTTTGTTGACGAGCCGGGCTGAATAACTCCATATTCAATGTCGCGTACTGTCCCGTATGGTGCGTACAGCTTGTTGAGAGCTGTTTGAAGCGCCATCTCGTCGGCGTGTGGTCCCATAGTGGGGACCTGATCCTTTCCTCCAGCTTGTTCGTATAGCCTGTCCTGGAGGGGCATAGGAGAACATCTCCTACTGGCACTTTGGTGTTGAGGGCATGTGCGTATTTCTCTTCGTCGTCGAAGATAGCGCACATGCTGCCTTTGGAGGTTGAGATTTGAGCCGCGTCTACTGCGTTGTCGATGGCTACTTTGACAGCGATACGCATGTCTAGACGCGGAAGGGGGTAGGCAATCACTAGCCCCTTGAAGCCCGTTGGCGGGAGATGTTGGGTCTCGTCAAATGAGACCACCTTGAGGAGGTTCTTACCCTTTGCCCTATCTGCGTAGGAGAGAACGCGTGCTGTGACTGGGGATGGGGTTACTGGGGTTTGAACTTTCTTTTTGTTGTTGTTATTTCTATTTTTGGGTGCCGTGTTTAAGGTTTGTTGTTCTGGAGGGAGGGTGGATGGATTTGCATCCATCGGTGCAGATGTTGTAACCTCTGCATCCATCTCAAAATCACCCTGGGGATCTTGAGAAGCACTGACCATCTCCAGCTGGGCCTGATCCTTTCCGGGATCTGGCTGCACTGGGGGTGCAGTCATTGTAGAAATGTGAAAAACTTGTAGAGGGGTACTGATAGGAATGTGGAAAAGTACAGGGGAAGGGGAACTCTATGCAGGGATTTTAGAGTTTGTGAAGAATGCGGGCTCTACCATTTGAACTAGATCCCCTTATGGGCCAGATATCAACTGGGGCCTGGACTCCGATTTGCCAGAAGCTGTTGAAGATATCGTAGTACGTCTACTAGTGATCTCTGGAAACTAGTAGGTAAGTGATAAAAATCAAAGATTGGGCGAAAGCCTCGTAGATTTTGGATACGAATAGTGATCCTAATAAGTACTTTGAATAATTTGGCAAATGCTGCAAAATGGCATCGATGATAAGAAGAGAGATGTCATTTTTGCAGTGAAAGGAAAAGCTACTTAAATACTCTTTAAGAAGGTAGAAAAGACTTAACAGAATGTCAGCCATTTATATCTAGAATCAAATTAAGCGCCATCATGTGATATATATTCATTGTACACATGGTTAAGGGGTGTACTAGTCGTAATATATACCCAGGAGAATAGCTCAATAAGACGAAGCAGCAAAACATTGGCACGATGGCGAGCGGCCTCGTGGGTCCTCGTTACCAAATAATAATAATAATAATAATAATAATAATAATAATAATAATAATAATAATAATAATAATAATAATAATAATACAATTTTTTTTTCCCATCTTCCTTGTTTCCCTTTCCTTATTCTGCTAAACATCAATAGGTAAGGCGAGGGCAATACCATCTTATAATAATAATATACAACTCCTTGTACTTGCACATCGTTATCTCATTGAGCAAAATTAAAGACTTTAAAGACTTTAGTATCTTTAACCAACTTCTCCCCAGCATCGCATCTGTGTCTTTGCCTATCTGATGCATCCGTGCCATGTTCTCCTTAGTGTACCGCCTGACCATTCTTGAGAACAGTATTTTCTTTTTTTCTTTTTTTAAAAAAAAACTTCCGGATGCTCCACATGTAGTTCATTCATATGAGCTCTGTCAGCGGTAAAATAGTTCATTTGCGTTCTTAACGTCAACTGAACTAACACTAGGGTGGAAGGATGAAACAAATATAAAATCTACATGTGTGCCGTTTGATGCTGATTTTAGAGTTAGGCTTTTAAGGTTTGGTCGGGTGTTCTATAGGGAGAAGCAGTGCACTGAATGACAATCCCCCTCCATCGATCACTTGGAAGTCTGGTGCATGCTCCCACAGTGCCTTGGACTCTTGCCGATACTTGGGTGGCTCTTGCTGACCCCGGCTCTGACCTTGGCCTTGTTGTGGCTCCTTCGCTCTCTTGTTTTGCTGACACGTGCGTATCGAGTCGTCTGCGGCTAGTCATCGGATGTTCTACATGTGTATTGTCTCGAGATCCCCTTCCTTGACTGTCTGTTAGTCTTCCATTGAGAGAATGCCATGTATAGCGCTCACATTACTGCTCGAGCGGATGTAGGTCAGTAGAGAGAGTGCACTTAATGCAAGTAGAATATGAACAGCAGTAGCAGATTTTTTAAGATGTAATCCCTCAATTTTCTGTAAGTGTTTCATTATTTTACAGGAATTCCCATGGGCCATTTTCTGGACAGGCGGGACCCCGAGCAGGGCAGACGGAACCACAAAGAGATATGAGCAGTACAGACACTGCGCGAAACCAGGCATGCGGGCAGGTTGAGTCATCGAGTCACGGCGCCTCAGGATCAAGGTACTGAATTCTCGAGGTTCTGGACGTACGGAGCCATAGGACCCCAGATCCATGGCAAGCACAAGTCAGCTTTTTTTTTTTTTTTTTTTTTTAAAAAAAAAGAAACATTGGAAGCGGCCAATTAGAGAAAGGTGATCAATTAGAGAAAGGAGCACGGGCCCCATTTCACTGATACTCCATTCACTCACACGATCTCATCCCAAGTCTACTCATGCCACATCCTACATGACCTCGTGGGTCCTAGTTATCAAAAAAAAAAAAAAAAAATCTCTACTCACACCACCTTATCCTTCATCTTTGGACATCAGCCTCGCGTCGCGACAGGCGCTAGTTGTCGACGATGAAAAAAAGAAAAGCCAAACCTCAATCACGTAGTCCGAAAGACGAAAATCTTAGGGTCATCGATGACGGTTTAAAAGCATTGGGATATTCCGTTAGATATACTAAAATCGACTCACTAAGGATGTTCGCAACGCTTGGGAAGTTATGTGAAGCTCTCCCTAAAACTGCCATGGTTTCAACTCAACTGGGCCCAGAAGTTTGTCAATATCTAGTAGCAAATGGCGACTCGTGTGTTATATTAGAACGCGACAATTACCATCTAGTAAACTTGACAGATCCAGTGGACAAAATAAGAACGGTCGTGTCAAATATAATGCTACAACCAACAGGAGTACCGCCTTGCTTTATATGCAAAGATGATTCAGAACAACTAAGACTAGCTTGCTGGAAATGTCATGTATATGCATGCAGATCCTGCATCGAGACACGAACGGGGTTTAAATCAGCATTTCTGTGGCCGGATATACCACATTTGATATATAATTGCTTGTCATGCAGAGAGCCTTTGAAAGTAGCGCGCGTGTTCTCCAGTTCCGACGGTTCCAGCTCTGGTGGTCCCAGTCTCGACGGTCCCAGCTCTGGTGGTCCCAGTCTCGACGGTCCCAGCTCTGGTGGTCCCAGTCTCGACGGCTCCAGTCAAACTAGAGAAGGAGGAGGAGGAGGAGGGGCGGCACGGATGGACCACAGAGAGGACATAAGAAGAGATATGAAGGGCACACTATCCCCACATGAGGCTATCCTGTTATTCATACTCCTGTACTTTATCTTTTCCATATTCCCGTGGAGTTGGGGTTTTTTGGACCACCTCGCAACCCTTGGGGCTGGGATGCATTGAAAGACCTTTTTAGTTTAAAGATATAATAAAAACATTCAGATGCTTTATAATCTTGCATCATCCCCGAGACACTGCTTCGAATATGGTTTTTGCGATGGGAAGGTGCTTCAGACAATCCGCTACGACGGCGCTGACTAGGGCGTTCATCCTGTTCAGAGCTTGCACAAGGCTTGTAAGGTTAGTATATACAAATCGGAGGCGTCATCAATATTTAATGTAAAAGATTTCCAAGGACACAGGATGGAGGTTGATTTTTTAATACTACTACTACTACTACTACTACTTCTACTACTACTACTACTACTACTACTACTACTACTACTAATAATAATAATAATAATAATAATAATAATAATAATAATAATAATAATAATAATAATAATAATAATAATAATAGTAATAATACGATTGTAATGATCGAAAGACAAACACACTTTCTGTCAAAATGTGGCGGATTCAGACTAAGATGGCTGTCAAAGCAAGAAAATAATTTAAAAGTGATAATCATAAAGGTTCAAATAACGAAGCAATGTTCTCTCTTTCTCTCTTTTCTTTTTTCTTTCTTTATTTTATTGGGAGAGTAAGTATGGTATTAAAAATTAGAGAAGGTAAGTGGTTTAGAATGTGAGTTGGAGGGCTAGACGAACATTATCTAAAAAAAAAAAAATGACATCCCGCCTTTTATGCCGCTGCTGTAGTTGCGATATTTGATTGAGGTATACGTTGCGTTGAGAAAATGGAAGGCTATCGTGTATATAGGAAAAAAAAAAAAAAAAAAAGATTAGTCGAATGGAACGTTTGGGGCTTTATTATTAATATTTTTTTTTTATTTTTATAAAGCATGCCATTTTGCGCCTTTAGAACTTCAAAACACACATACCATTCCTAGTTCCAGAGACTTGATGAGACAGTGAGTGCTATGTTGGACTTTTTTCTTTTTTTTTACTTTCCAGCAAAGCCAAAGCCCTTCTTCTTGGTTTTTTCTGGAGTGATAGGACGACCCTGTTCGATCCTCCTCTTCTTTTCTTCGAGATCTAGACGCTGCTTCTCGAGTGCGTCCTTCATCTCTTTGTGTTTGGCGTAGAGCTCGGCCTCTGACTGTGTCAATTTGGCCTCCTTCTCTTGGACCTTCTGTTGGAAGACATGCTTCATGTCTTGCTCCATCTTTATCAATTTGGCTTCGTGCATTGCACGCTCCTCTTCTAATTTGGCAACGGGATCAATCTCCTTGAAGACAGAGTTGTCTTGCTGGTAGCCCATGGCGAGGAGTTTCTCTGTGCGGTAGTTCTCATAATGGATATCGTTTGTGAACTCCTTGAGTTCCTCCATGTGAGTACGGATCAGCATCTGGCGCAACTTTACGAAATCGCAGTGGTCCTCATTATCGACCTCAATGACGCCCCAGGGGTACTTACGGCCACGGACATGGCGACCATCAGGGGTCTCGATAGCTTTATCTGAACCAACAATGGCGAATGGGATTTTGCTCTATAAACCGAAAGAAAAGAAGAAAAGGAAGAAAAGAAAAGAAAAGAAAAGAAAAGAAAAGAAAAGAAAAGAAAAGAAAAGAAAAGAAAAGAAAAAAACTTAACATAATTGTACAAAAAAAAAAAAAAAAAAAAAAGGTTACAGAAGCCTTAAAGAAGCCCGAGATCCCATTTTATGGATATTAGACATTACCATGACATCCTTAGTCTCATTGATAGTTTCAATGTCATCAGAATCATAGTGCTGGGCATGATAGATCTTAATGTCATGGTGAGCAATGTCCAAGAGAATCTAAATAGTAAATAAATGAATAGGTAATATGAGAATGTTTAACATGTCTTTCTGACTACAGAAAAAGATAATAAAAAAAAAAAAAATAAAAAAAAAAAGTGCTAAATGTTGCCATGTAAGTTTGATATGTATATGCGATAGTGCTTAATAAATGGCAGAATGGACTTACTCTCTCCTTGAAGGCAGCGATTTCTTCATGGGTCATGGTGTCACTCTTGGCAATGACGGGGATCAAGTTGACCTTGTTGTGCAATCTCTTCATGAATTCAATGTCCAGAGCCTTGAGAGAGTGGCCAGTGGGGGCGATGAAGTATAGACATGCGTTAACACGGGTGTCGGTGATCTTGCTGCGGTTGACACGGTTCTCCTGCTCAAGGTAGGCATCAAATCGGCCTTCGATTGTCTTTAGGATGGGTTTCCAACTAATGATTGTATAAAGGGGGGGGGTTCATGCGTGAGAAAAGCGGAGTGTTCCTTTCATTCATGACTGAGATTCTAACACTATCCTTCAATTGGCTAACCTGTCCTCGTTGTTGATAAAGTCACCGAAACCGGGAGTGTCGACGACGTTGAGCTTCAGACGAACGCCATTCTCCTCAATATCGGTACTGAAAAGTTGGATACCAACAGTCTTTGGGCTCTCTTCCGTAAGAGGGGCGTACTCCTTTGGAGGATACAATGGGGCGTTGAACAAAGTGTTGACCAAAGTCGATTTGCCGAGACCAGACTCACCTAGAGTTCAGTCCCAATTGTGATCAAGAACAAGAAAGAAAAAAAAAAAAAAAAAAAGAAAGATGAGCAATAGGAATACTAAGCAACAGCCAAGAGTGAGATGATGGCCACGCAACAGGCAATCTGTAAGGATGGTATTGTAGTGCTGTAGATAGACCAAGGTGGAGTCTTTTATCCGGTGCAATGAATGGGTTCCCTCAGTGTGATTCAAATAGGCGACTGGTATTTTATGTAATGGTGTAAAAATAAAAAAGTCTGCGAGCCCATCTCTCAAATACGAGAGAGACAGAGAGAGAGAGAAAAAATAAAGGAGCAGGAGCCAAATAAGCGCAACCCAGACATGTAAACATATAACGAGCAGAGCCAAGCTCCATTACAGAGATTGTAAGAAAGAACCAACGGTGAGAGAGAGAGCAGGGCAGGGCAGGGTAGGAAAAAGTGGGAGAGGGAGAAAGAGAGAGTAGATGATAGAGATCTTACCAACGACCATGATTGTGAAGTTGAAGCCCTTCTTGACGGACTTGCGGTGGACCTGGTTTGGCAAGTTGGCGAAACCAACATAGCCCTGCAACTTTTTGCGAAGAGCGCCATTGATCGCGGCCTAAAAAAAAAAAATAATAAATGGGTAATGGTATACAGATTTGATGTTAGAGCGTGGTCTTTTCTGCACTGTCTCTTGACCCCTCCGCCCAGACTCAGGCACGGTCAGCATGGAAAAAAAAAGAAAAAAAAAAAAAAAGAGTTCCCAGCCCAAGATCTTTTTCTTTTGTTTAATTAATATAACCCGTTGAATGGATGGCACAATCCCATGGATCGTCACTGTAGATTTGCTTTGTGCTTTAATAGGATGCAATGTAGACTTGAAAGGTATGCAGGTAATGAATAAGCAATACAGGCCTAGGAGAGATATGCAATCAAAGAACATACCTTGTTGGATGATGGAGGAGAGATGGGGTTTGCTAAAAGTTGAAAGAAAGACAGGAAGAAGGAAGAGGACAATTGAGAGAGAGAGAGAGAGAGAGAGAGAGAGAGGGAGAGAGAGAGAGAGAGGGAGAGAGAGAGAAAGAGGAAGGAAGAGGGGGGAATGTTTAGTATAGGGTGTGCAGAAGAGTTAACAAGGACTTTTAAATAAAAATAAAGAAATAAAAAAGGATCATCCTACCAATGTCAGTGGCCATGGTGAATGAAGGCTGTGAAGTGATGGCAAAGTGAGAGAGAGAGAGAGAGAGAAGGAGAGGGATATGAGAGTATGGAGAAGAAGAAAAGAGGAAAGAGGAAAGAGGAAAAGGAAGAGGAAAAGGAAGAGGAAAAGGAAAAGGAAAAGGAAAAGGGAAGGAGAGATGGGACTACAGTTGGAATGGAATGTAAGCAACAGATGAAATACTTTTTTGTTTTTGCAAGAATAAAAAAGACAGAAAAGTAATAATTTAGTTGCTCTAATTTTATTTTTATTTATTTATTGATTTATTTATTCTTAATTGCATTTGCAATTGGTTTGGTTACACTGGACCACGTTATGAAAAACCATCTTGTCCTGTTGAGAGCATTGGTCCATCTTTGTTTAAAAAGAACAATGCATGGCCCATCCATGGCCTTTTTGAGTTGTATATCCATCTAAATTCAACAAGACTTCTTGTCTTGTCCTGCATATCGCAATATATACATGTGCCATACATCTGCCATACATCTGCCATACATATATACATACCAATCATCCTATCCCCCCCCCTCTTCCCCTTGCAACCCAACAACTTTTTTCATTTTTCCTAACGGATACAAGGATGGGGATGCTGCAAATCCTGAGATACTGGGAATGCTAGAATCCTAGGTCTGTATTCTTTATTCTCTAATTTTTTTTTTTTTTTTTTTTTTTTTTTTTCAGTGCATAATGATCTTGAACTTCTCTTCACTTGGGACCTGATTCATCACCGCTCGTCCATCATACGACAATGATAGAAATAACCATGGATCCACGCCACTCCATGCTACCTGATACACAGAGTCCTCATGCTGGTCAAATGCCTGCACCAGTCCATCTGTTGGTGCACTATTTGTTCATTTTATCAACAAGTAAAAAGTAAAAAAAGTTTATACGTCAGCATCAGCATGTATATTGAATAGAAGAGTGAAGAATAAAATCCATTTCGATTTGACTTACTCCTGTGCTTCGTTCTCCGCCATGTCACTATCCTGGTCCTGTTGTTCCGCATCCTCTGTGTCCCCATACGCATAATCAGCACCTGTTGAAATCGATACAATGCTCTGCAGATTCACCTGGCAATCCGAGCTGGATGTGAGCACTAATTGATCATGAAACTTGTTGTACGCTACTGACCACACCCTATCCGAATTGAAACGAGCCAAAGGAGCCCCAATTGTCCACATAGAAAGAGTAAAGAAAAAAAAAAAAAAAAAAAAAAAAAAAAAAAAAGAGGTCAACAGAGCCGCATCAAATTCTTTTGGCTCAACGCTCAAGATGAAAAGCACGAGCCATGGTATCAGGATTCTGCTCGTCCCTTGAGCAGGAATGGGAAATACATTCTTTTTTTTTTTTTTTTTTTTTTTTTTTTTTTTTTTTTCATACCAATGGGTGTGATCCTGTATAACCATAAGAGGTCCTGCAGTCGGATTCCGTACATCCCATATCCTGACTTTACAGTCATCTCCACCCGTTGCGATTTGGAAAGGTCTGTTGGGATTATAATCAATACAAAGGAGGAGTGCCGGTTGGGAGTCTTTGATGGTGAATGTAGGCCTAGGAAAGCGATAAGGAAAAAAAAAAAAAAAAAAAAAAAAAAAAAAACGTTCGTTCCTCATCAGCTTCCTAGAGGTGTCCTAGCAATAGGGCAAAGATGTTTTGTGGGTAGGGCACTTACTTTAGAGAACTCAAATTCCAGCCTTGAATAGACCGGCCATATATAGCTACAACCTCTTGAGCATGGGGGTTCATAACTGCACTTGTGAACTTGAACTTTTTATCTGGTGAATCGATCGATCCAGTCAACTAAGTATATACATATAGACATATAAAAAGGGTAGAGTTATAGCTTGACCTGGCAGCGGGGAAAGTTTTTTTTTTTTTGTTTAAAAGAAAAAAAAGCATGGCTATACTTTGGCTGTGCCTTGTTTGATATCAATGTCCCATATACAAATCCGCCAGTCTTCTACAGAGATGACTTCAGTATTGTCTTGCCAAATAACTCTAGAAAAGTATAAAAAAAAAAAAAACATTGCAGGCGCGTCAACAGTCAGCGGCCCATGGCCATGCCAACACAGACAAGAGGAATCTTTTTTTTTTCCGCAACCCCATTGACATTTTCCCCTTACTTCTTGACTATTCCATCTCCCACATCGAGGCTCAATACATGCTCCAGTTCTCCTCTCAGTTGATGATGATGTGGTCTCTCAGGATCGGTCTCCTCAGTGTTCTGTTCTTCGTATTTCATCCTCCAAAGGGAGGCCTTACTCTGTATTTTCTTTCCATCAACAACTATTAACCATTACCGAATAATAATAATAATAATAATAAAACTTCCAGGTTAGGCAAGCTGGACTTTGATATTTGGGATTCATTCTACCATAGGATAGCAACAGGAAGCTCCTTACCTTGCTTGTAACAAGTGAAAAACAAATCTGGATCTTCTTTCGATGCTGCAATATCCCAAATCTCATGAGGATGATCAAATATCGTAGTGTTGATTTCAAACATGTCTTCGTCAAACGTCAAAAGATGAACCTAAAAGAAGCCGAGCAGGAATGTGAATGCTTTCTTTTTCTTTTCTTTTCTTTTCTTTTCTTTTCTTTTTATTGTTTTTTGCTCTGTTGATGAAATATCATCTGAAGCAAGTCTTCTTTCACTTCAATATTCAATAGATGCCATTAACCAGAACTCATGAACGTTGTCGAATTCGATACACCTGATTCTATTCTATTTTATTTTATTTTATTGTTTTTTTTTTTTTTTTTTTTTTTTTTTGAGGTCAAACGTTTTTACCTCATTCGGTCTCAAGAGTTCCTGAGTGCCAATGATGAATCTACTTTTGCCATCCTTCGACTTGATGGCTGACAGGCAACGTGTCTAATAACATTGTTATCACAAAAAAGACGTCGACTTGAGTTTGTCAGATAAACAAGGTGTTCCTATTGGTTATTTCTTTTTTTTTTTTTTTTTGTTTGTTTGTCTTGTTGCAGACTGCTAGCCAGTATCCTCTTGATGCAGGGCAATGTGTCTGTACCTGATGCCGAAGTCCATAGGCACAAGACCGATGTTCTGTTGTTTCCATGGAGAGAAATGTCCTACTAGAGGTAAATGCATCGTGCAGTGCATGTGTTCCTTGTCCAATTGCCTTTCGAGGATAAGGTTCGTTGCACAAAGCGTGGCTTTTTTTTTTTTTTTTTTTTTTTTTTTCATTTCTGCCCTGAATTTGATCCGCAAAAGATCTTTGTTTGACCTTGATAAAAACATTGTAATAGAATTCATCCTTTGACGGTAAATGCGTTTTGTTTATTTTAAATGCCATGAAAGAAGTAAAGGAGTAAAAGTAAATATGAGGGAATATGGATCTAAAGTAAAAGAGGAATAAAAAAGAAAAGAATACGAAATACAATCTGACAAGGAAACAAAAAAAAAAAAAAAAAAAAGAAAACGTAACATCTTTGATTCTTTTTTTTTTTTTTTTTTTTTATGTACCGTAGCTGGCGCGGTAATAGCTTGGTGGCAAGCTCGACAAGATTTTGATGAACGGGAGTTCAACCACAACCAGAGAATTGTCTTCTACAAAGTCTACAAACATCAGAGGTTGGAACTTGTGCAGCAACTGAAAGTTAATGTCCTCTGTCTTTTCCTCTTCAGTCGAATTTGTGGAGGCAGCATACACTTTACGCGCCTTTTTGCCCTCTAATACCACCACAGCGTTCCCAGACTCGAGCTCGGGCATTGGAACGATGCCCAAATCTGCATACTTTTTCATCCTACGTTCCCGTTGTTGCTTCCGCAGTTGATCCTGTGCCCTATCCACCCGTTTCCTTTTACCGACATTCAAAATAGCATTGCGATCACCAACACCTTGCTCCAGATCCACATGGCAGATATAGTTGGCGCCCCAAACGAGCAACGTGTTTTTACGAGCGGGATTGAAGGCGATCCCTTGGATCTTGTCTTTGAGACCAAGGAATTTAGTTGGGAACTGTTTATCCGAAGAAAATTCACGAGACCAATCCGTGAGGCGACGTGTTTCAATATTGAAGAGATAAAAGACATTACTGGCCGTGGGGATGACCAGGGTGGGTGAGTATGGGTGAAACTGAAGAGCTGTAATAGGGGCGTCGAAAACTGGAAGGGTTGCATGATGCTATGTAAACAGAGGAGCGATCGGGAATCGGAAAAAATCAATCAATCAATAAAAACAAAAAGTAAAAAACTAACACTGTTGTAATTCAGCTGTGCAAACAAGCAAGCAACAACAACAACAACAACAACAACAACAGAAATAAAAAATAAAAAATAAAAAATAAAAAATAAAAAATAAAAAATAAAAAATAAAAAAAAATAAAAATACTGCAATCCAGTAATCCATACCTGAAGTGTGTCAAGATTGAAGACAAAGATCCTGTTTTTGAGATCGCCAGTAGCCAACCATTGTCCATCAGCAGAGACAGACATTAAAATAACAGTCTCGACTTGATCATGCTCTCCAGTAATATCTTCTTCATCAACATCCATAGACTCTAGATCCTTTCCGTCTGTGCCTCTATGCTGACCAAATCTGCGCAAAATATCAAACTTCCCACTTTCCCATTGAGAAATGTCAACGACAACGACATTTGAATCTGTAGACGCAACGACAAGACGAGTGCTATCAGGGGTGAATGCCAGATAGTGTGCTCCAGTTCCACGAACACCTGGGAATGACCTTTGTTTCCTGACCATTAGCTTGCCAGGATGTGAGGGCTGAAGTTAAAGCAAATACACGAGTTGATTAATACCAAAATTTTTAAAAAAAAAATTCAGGCCACCTAAAGAGCTCCACCTTTTTTTTTTTTTTTTTTTTTTTTTTTAGACAGGATTATCTTGTAACCTTACATGTTCATCAACTCGAAAGAGCTTGATTTCCTCGACATCGGCAACAGCGATCCAATGACCATCTTCTGATAGTGCAGAGGCTGTGAGGTTGCGATCATCCTTAAAAGTCATCTCAAGCATCGCCTGCTGGGGCTCAATCAAGTCCATATGTGCTCCAATTTCAATTTCTGAGAATGGCAGAACAGCAGCAGCAGCTTGAAGCGTTGAGCAATAACAAGGAAAAAAAAAAAAAAAAAAAAAAAAAAAAAATTAGTTAAAGGGGCCTTTAGCAAAATACAAAACGTTTTCCTGCCTCGGATTATAGTAATGATATTTTGCCTTTGCTTACATTTTCCAAGACGCCAGACTTTGACACCACGCTCCTGCCTGCAAAGAAGAAGACGTTTGCTCTTACTGAAAGAAACAACAGGCCTTTGGGGGACATACGTCAATCGACGTTGGTTGTTCTCAAGGAACTGAGCAGCTGAGCAAACGACCATTGTTACGTCCACCCCTCCAGAAACCAGTGCATCAACATTCCTGCTTTCATCCAAAGCCAATGCGCGGACATCGTGTGAATGGAACCGCCTTGATCCAGTAAGGATCCATTTTGTAACCATCTCTGTTTTACCAGTGACTGATCCGTTCTTTCCATTCTTTCCATTCTTTCCTGTCATCTTTGGTGCAGGCTGTTCTACAAAGCGGTACTGATTGCACTTGCGATCGACTCCTGCTGAAAATACAGAGGTAGCATCCTTTTTTTTTTAAAGAGTGTTTAAGAATTAGTTTCGAAAAAGTGTAGTATGTAGTAGACTTCAAGTTGACAAGATTTCATTGGCATACTTTTCCAACAGCAAGGCAGAGAACATCGGCACCATGGGCATTGAAAGACTGGATCATGGTTGTATTTGATCCATCCCAGAATTTGACATGCCCCAAGGAATCGCCACTGACGATGACGCCGTTGGATAAGACCTTGACGGACCACACGAGGGTGTCCTCACCAGAAACACGATCAACAGTCATGCGCGACACAACACGTCCAGCCTCAACGTCCCATTTATATATACTGCTATTTGCGGACCCAGTGACCATGTGCTTATCATCCTGTGACCATGCTAATGACAAGATCCTAGCTATAAATCCGATCGGGTGGGTGCTGTAGCATTAGCGATGGATAAAAGGTAACTCGCGAAACAACAATGTAGATATACACAGTTCATTTTGAATGTGTGAATGAACGTACTCTTTTGCTTGTCGAATGATCTGATAAACGCCAGCTCTCCGTCTGCAATGTCAAAAAGACGAACGCAACCATCTTCGCATCCCACAGCTAGGATAGTGTTTGCATGGTTGGTGGCCATACACCAAACAGCGCCTCCATGAGAATCGACCGATCGCTATTTCCATTATAAGGTTTTGATCCTTTAGTTTGGAGAGTCTTTCTTTTACGAGACGACTGCCTTTTAGAGTACTTTGATCCATTTGGCGTCTCCCTTGTTTTTCTTTTTTCTTTTTTCTTTTTCATTTTTACTCCTCCTTTACCTTCGGTTTCAAAGTTGTCAGATCCCATTCAGTGACAACAGCATTCAATCCAGCTGAAAAGAGTCTAGGAGGTGTCTTGATTAACTTCTTGATGGCAGCCTGCTTCTCCCTTTCAGAATCCCAAAAATCTTCGTCTTCAGTCAATATCGTTTGATGGGCCCAAGCAAGAGCCTCTACAGATGTATTTTTGCCTCCAGGAATAACCTGAATATAAGATAGGAGACCATAATAGATCGATCAGTTTTTTTTTTTTTATTTGTTCGTTGTATATCAAGTAGTCGTTGAGAATGAACGCTTTTAGACTGAGTAAGTTATACGATGATCTTTTATATTTTTTAAAAGAAAAGAAAAGAAATGAATGATAATGAGGAGAATGGAATAAGCGTTTGTTTACCTTTTCCAAGGTCCACTCGTGCTTTGGGTTCCAGACTTCGATATCTCCATTGGCCCGTCCACAAGCAAGGATAGGTCTAGTAGTGTTGGGTGCAAATGAAAGGGCATTGATGGCGGAGGGGATGTAGTCGACGAATCGACACCTGTGAACTTCCATGGCTTGTTCAAATAGAGCAGAAGCAACGGAAGGATAGATGTATTAATGAAAGAACCAAAAAAATAAAAATAAAAAGAAGGTCAACATGCCCTTAGAAAGCCATGAGTTCTTTTTTTTTTTTTTTTTTTTTTTTTTTTTTTTACAAAGGTCTAAAAACATAAACATACTCACGTGCATGAAGCAAATCGATAGTCACGTCTTTTTGCTTGGCTAATTGCTTAACTGTTCCAACGATTTTCACTCCAGACCGTTCATTTTTTTTTTTTTTGCTTCAAATACGAGTTTACTGCTTCCTGCTGATCTTCACTCTCTCTTTTTCTTTTTTCCGCAATTATCCCTATCATGTCAAATAACAGAGACATTCTAATAACTTCACCTCCTTTAGCCGAGCGGCAAAATGGCTCGACCAAATCCATCATCACTGAGCCATACACTCAGCCTACACAATCTGCCACTGAGGCTCTTCCTGAACGCGACCCTCCTCCAGGTCTATCAAAGTGGCAGGGTCCTATTGATGCTGTATGTTCTGTATAGAAAGAAAAAGAAAAAGAAAAAGAGAACTCTTGACTTTGACGGTGCTTGAGCAATGACATTATATTTCAAATCCAATACGTAATCTGATATTTCACTGTCGTTAGACTCAGCCAATAGGGGCACCTGTTCATACAATCCAACCGTCATTGACCCCCACTCCTTCACAGTCGAAGCAGGCGAGAGAACTGAGCGGTGCATATCCTGATGAGCCTGTCAGGCCAGTAGCACCTGCACAGGCGTCGAACAGAACTACTGCTACTGCTCAAACGCTTCAAACAACCCAAACAAGTCAAACAGGCCAAACAGGCCAAACGGCTCTAACAGGCCAAACAGGCCAAGCAGACCAAACAGGCCAAACAGGCCAAGCAGACCAAACAGGCCAAACAGGCCAAACAGGTCAGACAGGTCAAACGATGTCACCCAGTATCAAAAAGGAGGAGATTTCCTTTCAGTTTGATAGACACGTTCAAGAGATTCGACGACGAAGGACGACTGAAAAGCAACTGCCGCCTCCTGATCGCGAGGACTTTACAAGGGTCGAAGCAGAATCAGGAAAGCGTGTCTTTGAAGTGCGTCTCTATATCCTAGCGGTGAGTACAAAACGCAGTTTTTTTTTTTCTTTAAGTCTAGCCCTTGCGCGATCAGACAGCTGAACTAAACATCATGAATGTTATGCTAAACATGTGGTTGTGACACAAACAAAACAAAAAAAAAAAAAAAAAAAAAGTATGCGAGATATTTTATCGAATCCTTGGCGCGAGATGACAAGATTCGCAAGGTCGAGCCAGTCCAATGGTCTAAAATGAGAACTTTATTGAGTCGACTGTATGATGTTACCAACCCTGTCCAGTCCCTTGGGCTTTATCTCGATCGCGTCATGCACTGGAGAAATCCTACCGAGACATTCGCATGGTTTATCGTAAGAATATTATTAGAGCATCATAATGAAATAAGTTTTCCCTTTTTTTTTTTTTTTTTTTTTTTTTTTTTTTTTTCTCTTTGAAACTTTCTCTTAAAATTACGAAATTCCATCAATGCATTAATTTAATTTTAATTTTTTTCTCCTTTTGTGACAGTCATATTTCACACTTTGGTTTTTCGGGTTATGGTCACAAGGGCTGATCTTGTTGCTCCTACTCAAGCTCCTCAATAACAAGTTCGGGTTCCTTGGCAATATTGATGAACATCTTGATGTTCCAGAACCCGTTGGAGCGGATCTAATCCGTAAGGAACAGACCTCCACTAAAAAAATAAAGATCCGTTCGCAATTAGAAGAGTTGATCAAGTCCAAAGACCTCACCGACTGGGGCTCTCACATGGTCAGCATCTGGGGACCTTACTCCCAAGCACTCTTAGAAGAGAACCTCTGCTATCTAGAGCGAGTCAAAAACCTGTTCCAGTGGGAAAGGCCTGCGCAAACATGGCGCGCCGTTGGTGGAATGATAGGAGCGATCTTTGTCGTTACATTCTTCCCATTCCTGATTATGCCATCCATTGGTCTGTTTCTTGGGATCGAGTTTTTTATCCTGTTGCCCCTCCAAGATGCTTACCCCCGACTCGCTCACGTGTTTTCGCCTGTGGAATGGCTCCTCTGGGGCGTGCCCACAAACGCAGAGCTTGTTGTTGAGCTGATGTCGCAGGGGAGGGAGACCGAGATCGGTCGAGTGTCTAATGAGGTCATTACTGGTGAGGGTGCAAACGCCGATGGACTTTTGAATGACGGACAGAGCGCAAAGGGCTCTTTATTGCGTGAGGGAGGTCGTACACCAGCATCCGCGGCCATGCATGATTACCGGAATAAGATGCAAGGTGAAACTTCGTCAATAGATTCAGGTCCTTATGACACTGCAGATGGTCGAACTGGTAATTTTTTTTTTTCGTTTTCACCATATTCCACAACGACAAAAAAATTTTTTTTTTTTCTTTTTTATTCGTTAGTGACGCTGCTTCTTATTGAATGATGTCTTGTATATATGTGTGTGTTTTTTTTAACACTTTGTATAGAATTCCACTGTTTACTACGAGGCAAGCCAGGAAGACTTATGATCGCTGAAGATGCACTACGCTTCCGAACTGCAAAATTACTTGGAAAGGATGTTGAAGTGGAGCTCCCCTGGGAAGAGATTGATAAAATCAAAAAGGTAATTAAAAAAAAAAAAAAAAATAAAAATAAAAAATAATGGAACGCGTAGTGTTCAAATTCTTACAATGGTTTCTTCTTCTTCTTCTTTATATTGTAATCTAAATCTAGGCTAAAACCATGAAAGTCGGACCTTTGTCAATGCCTGGTATTGAAGTGACAGACATGGGTGGGCACGTGACTGTGTTCCAAAACGTCGTTCACCGCGATGATGCTTTCCGCAAGCTTGTTGTCACTTCGGGCAAGAAGTGGAGCCACGTTTCGTAGAGAGAGATTTTCTTATGTTGATTTGAAATAGGATACTGTTACATGGAGTTTGTACTAAAAAATAAATAAATAAATAAATAAATAAATAAAAATGAAGTAAATTTAAGCGGAGGGAACAAGATCAGGGTCATTATCTCTGACAGGGAATGAATGCACGCCGGAAATATTCTTAGCAAGCATTTCATGACGCCCAACTTTGTTCGTACAATGCAATGCCCTTTCTCTGTTGGGACAAGTGTCCCACAAGTATTATATATTTATATGTAAATACATTTATATACACCTTTATATTTGCGATAATGTTATATATAGTGCATGACATGTTGGACTTTTTGTCCTCTATTCCCCTGGATATGAGTGAACATTCCAGTTATCAGTGTAACAACTGGACTTGTCCACTCCATCCTCATTTGGCATTCACTCATTTGTACATGCATAATATATTGTTCTTACGCTAAAGATCATGCATGCTTTGCAAGTTCTGTCAGCCCAAACACAATTATCGCCGGTTTTGGATCATGGATGTGTGAATGATGAATGGATAAATGCGCGTGCACATTTTTTGTTTCTTTTGTCATCAATCATCCCTTTTCTTTGTTGTTGTCCTCCTTTACTCCTTCCTTCTTTTTCTCCTCTTCTCCTCTTCTCCTCTTCTTCTCCTTCCTCTTCTCCTCTTCTTCTCCTTCCTCTTCTCCTCTCTTCTCTCATCTTTTACTTTACTTTCTCGATCAACTCTTGTATCTTCCAAGTGTCAATTAGTAATCATTAAACTCCTCCTCAGTCTACTCTAAAAAAGAAAAAAAAAGTATTGTTCTTTTTCTTCATCAGGATGCATTCCTCTCCATCCTCTCCCCCACCGCAGTCGCGTCTTGAAGAGATAAAGGCCGAACTCCAGGGTGATAGCCGCGTCAAAGTTGCAGGCGTGGATCTCGATGGTATTTTGCGTGGCAAGATCATGGCCAAGTCCAAGTTCCTGTCTGTCCTCGAGTCTGGCTTCGGATTTTGTTCTGTTGTCTTTGGATGGGATATGCATGACAAGACTTATGAGGAAGACCTAAGTATCTCCAATGCCGAGAATGGTAAGTTTCCTTTTTTTTTTTTTTTTTTTTTCTTTCTTTCTTTCTTTCTTTCTTTCTTCTAATAGATATATGACAGGGGAGCTATTTTGCAAAGGATTTCCTAGCTTTTTAATTACAGCTTTTTAACTTTCTTTCTTTTTTTTTTTTTATTCCTTCCATAACTTTAGGTTACCGAGATATTATTGCAATTCCGGATCTGTCAACGTTTAGACGTATTCCTTGGGAAGATAACATTCCATTCTTCTTGTTATCGTTCCTGGATCCTAAAACGAGGGAACCTCTGACGGTTTGTCCACGCGGGCTTTTGAAACGAGTGACGGATGAGCTTGCAAGTCTAGGATGGGAGGCGATGTGTGGGGCCGAGTTTGAGTTCTTTAACTTCAAAGGTAATAAAGGGATTTTTTTTTTTTTTTTTTGTATTGTATTATTTGTTACCCCATGATGACTTTGGAATGTAGCAGAAGGATGTTTGGGGGGAAGAAGAGGGGGTCAAAGCAATTTAGTATGTTCAGCACATTAACATTTCTACATTTCTACTACGCATACTTTTTTATTTTTTATTTTATTTTTTAGAAACACCTGATTCATTGGAAGCTAAAGGACATACAGGTCCTCAAGCACTTACACCCGGCATGTTTGGATACTCACTCCTCCGTCCTGCACTTCATCAAGACTATTTTTATGATATCTTTGATCGGTGTTCTGACTTTGGTATCAACATTGAGAGTTTCCATACCGAGACAGGTAACTATTATAATTATAATAATAACATGTACTAAATTGTAATTGTGCCAATGATACAATTAGTTGCCTTGTTATTTACAAAGTTGTATAAACATTTATATTTTTTTCCTAGGGCCTGGAGTGTACGAGGCTGCGCTAAGTTACGACACTGCAACCAATATGGCAGATATGGCCAGTCTCTTCAAGCTTTCAGTCAAACAACTGGGATTGAAGAGAGGGATTATGCCTACGTTCATGGCCAAGCCCTATTCAGATCAACCTGGATGTTCAGGACACATCCACTTTTCAATTCGAGATATCAAAACCAAAACAAATCTCTTTGCTGCATCCTTAGCCTCTGGCTCTGGTGGAGGAGAAGGAGGAGTTGCTCAGCCACAGCAACTTCACAGCCCAAAGTCAGATGGGGAAGATAGTAGCAATAAGAATAGTAGTGCAGCAGCAGAAGTAATGCAGAAGAGTTTGGATCGACCTGAATGGGAGACCTCTGTTGAGGGTGTGGATCAAATGAGTGAGCTGATGAAACATTTTATGGCCGGTCTGCTCACAGCACTACCCAGTATCATGTGTATCCTTGCACCCAACATCAACTCTTATAAACGATTGGTCGAGAATTACTGGGCCCCCGTCACGGTCTCTTGGGGAATCGAGTCTCGCGTCTCTGCCATTCGTGTGATTGGACCACCTCAATGTGAGCCAAAGGGTACACGTCTGGAGATGCGTGTAGGAGGTGCAGACATTAATCCACATCTGGCTATTGCGGCCTGTATTGCAGCTGGACTCTACGGGATCAAGAAAAAATTGGCCATACCTGTTGCACCCACAACGGCACAATCAGAGGCTGCGATGACATCAGGCCAAAGAGTTGAAATCAAGCCAGCAGAGAGGCTACCGAAATCATTGCAAGAGTCTGCATTAAAGATGTTGGAGAAAGGATCGATTGCAAGAGAGATCCTTGGAGATGCTTTTGTAGATCATTATGGCGCCACAAGGTTGAATGAGTATCGATTGTGGGAGACAGCTGTGACCACATGGGAGACAAAGCGATACTTTGAGCTTGTGTAGAAAAGTAGAGAGATATATATTATTACAAAGTGGGGAAATATTACTTACTACCTTAACTACCAAACTACTATGACTAAGTTCTTCTTCTATTGATGCAAAAAAAAAAAAAAAAACAAGCCAAAGCTTTTTTAAACTTTTTTTTTTTTTTTTTTTTTTAACGGTAGCGGACCTGAGGACCCTTCTCTGCACGTTTCTCCATCTTTTCACGTCTCTTTGACTTTGTGCCCTCTGTGCTTCCAGAGGCTTCAGCAGCACCGCTAGGAACGCCCATTCCGCTGCGAGCCAACATTGGCTTTACTGCCAACTGCCAAGCTTTCCATCCAGCATATGCGGGGATCTATAGCAGATGAAAAGGATAAAAAAAAAAAAAAAAAAAAAAAAAAGAGAATGAGAATGATGTCGATCGACAAGTAAGGTATATGGACGAGTTAGACAAAGACACTTACAGATAGATAGAACCACCACATTTTGGACCAGAAGGCAGATGTAACATGGACGAACCAGGTCACATAGATGATATCAAATGCATATCTAACATTAAAAAAAAAAAAAAGTTAGTCTAATGGTGTCTTGAAATATATGCAAGTCGCTATCACTACCAAGGAAAGGTGCCTATGCATGTTGAGCATAGGATATAAAGCAGGTGTAATATCAAGCTCATTCATGAAATAAGAGCATTTTGCGTGGGGAGAACGGTGTTTTTTTGGTCATATAAAATGACAAATGCAGAATAAATTAAAATTCGCCAAGTTTCCATGTCAATCTTAATCGTTGGGAACGAACTGAATTTTAATTGGCTGATCTGAGCGAGAGCGAAAAACAAAAAAGACTTACTGAACAAGACCTTCCTGTGAAAGATCCTGACCGGCATCTGCCAATTCACCCCTGGAGTTGTAACGGGGTCGACCCATGGCATTAATTTGAGTGTAGAGAAAGATGCTTAGCCCTGCAGTTGCAATGTATCCAAAGCCAAGTTTGAGACCAAATGTACTCCAGTTATAGATGATCCTGTAAAAGATGTAGAACGCCTAAGTGCAGACATTTGTATAAAAAAGGAAAAAAAAAAAAGAAAAATACTCAGTATGTAAAAATATACATAGGTAAAATAAAACAAAATAAAAATGCAATGTAGGAGTAAGACTAAGGAGGCTTCTATTGTTAAGAAAAGGGAGGAAAGGGGGCGAAAGCTTTACTTACATTGACCCAGATGAATCCCTTGCGAAGGGAGAGTAATGCTTTTGCATTCTCATGTGCAATCTTTTTCTGTGATGAATTGGCCTAGATGTCAATATGGATAGACAGAATACGCTCCTGTTGTAAGTAAGCTTGTCAGCAGTTGAGGGTATAGAAAGGCAATAGTGCGATTGTAGGTGGAAGTCATACCATTATAAAGAAATGAGGAGAATAAAGGCGTGAGTTGTGGATGGAAGAAGCGTAAGAAAGACATAAAGTGACTATTTGTGGGAAATGAAAAATCGACGTCATTTGTCTTTTTTTTTTTTTTTTTTTTTTTTTTTTTTTCTTCTTTTTTTATAAAAAACAATTTAGCTTCTGTGGGCCATCCATCTCTTCTTCTCTACCCCCTTTTTGCATTCTCCTCTGATCATCATCTCTCTTCACTCTCATTATAGCGATCAGCCTTTAATAATATTGTCATCTTTTATTTTTTGTTCTATCCTACAGCTGTGCACAGTTGCATTTGTCTGGTTGTCTGGTTGTCTGTTTAATTATCTGCTTATCTGCTGTTTGTTTATTTTGTTTATTTTTCATTTTTGGTTCAATGGATTTGCCTGTTCTCAATGAGACCAAATCTCCAGCATCGGGCTCCAATCAGCCTTCACGGGCGAGTTCTGTAGAGGGTAGTTTGACTCCACAGCAGCATAATGTCAATGGAGGTGAAAGCACCTTGTCCACTACAGATCCTAATAAGAAGCCAGAACTGACGGATGGACTGGAACAGGCTATTGCTGAAGATCCTTATGACGCAGATGCTTGGTTGACACTGTTGAATGAAGCCGAGAGAGAAGGTGAAGTTAAGAGGGTGAGGGATGTATATGAAAGGTTTCTCAAGGTTTATCCGACTTCGGTAAGTCTGTCAGCCTTTTCTTTTTCATTTTCATTTTGGTCTCAAGATGCTCTCTATCTCAGGATTGGATATTGTTCAATAAGACAGGAAAAAGTGAAGCATTCGAGTATGATTTCTCCGCAATTGGTCAGCCGACTCTATTGCTAGGAATCGCCCTTTGAGCTGTCAAAGAAGAAGAAGAAGAAGAAAAAAAAAAAAAAAAAAAAAAAAGAAAAAAAGAAAAAAAGAAAAAGAAAAGATCCAGTTGACAGCTCGCAACATAATAATGATAATGATAATAAAAAAAAAAAATATCAGCAAGAATAGCTTCACTATGCCTTGAAACATTGAGTATTGCAATGTTATGGATCGTATCAACTTGTCTATCGATTGTTTTATTTATGATTACAACTCGATCCGCCGCAATGGGCTATGATGAAAACAGATCATGCTTAGTAACCAACTTGATATTTCTATTTTTTTTTTTTTTTTTTTTTTTTTCTCTTTCTCTTTTTCTTTTTCTATTTCATTTCTGCAACATCTGTCATTTTCATTCATTATCTTTCATGTTTATTTACCGGCCTTGAACTCAATAAATATACAAAAAAAAAAAATATACTCGACATGATTGTTATCCTGCGCATTGCCTGGGATTATTGTGTCTGCTTTTTTCTTTTTTTTTTTTTTTTTTTTTTTTTTTTTGCATGATAAATTAGTCTAGGTATTGGATCCAATATGCCGAGTTTGAGCTCAAGAATCAACATTTTACTGAGGTTGAAAACATCTTTCAACGTTGCCTCAGATCTGTTTTATCTGTGGATCTTTGGAAGTACTATCTGAATTACATTCGTCGTATCAATACTGGCCCTGAATCTAGAGACATCATCACAAAAGCCTATGACTTTGTACTTCAGCATGTGGGTCTTGATCGGGATTCTGGACCTATCTGGGCGGACTATATTTTTTTTCTAAAATCGGGTCTGGTAAGTTTTAACAATAGTATTATGTTGATGTTTTTTTTTTTTTTTTTTTTTTTTTTTTTTTTTGAAAAAGTTGGATCAATCTCTCTTTGATTGTATAGTCCTATCATTTATTGATTGACCATGTTGTATCAATATATTGTTCTTCTTTTTAGGTCCAAAACACATGGGAGGAGCAGCAAAAGATGGATGCTATGCGTCGTGTGTACCAAAAGGCAGTTTGTATCCCACTTAATAACATTGAAAACATCTGGAGAGATTATGACTCATTTGAGAATGGTCTCAATAAATTGACAGCCAAGAAATTTCTTCTGGAGCGTTCTGCAGGTTACATGACAGCGCGCATGATGTGGAAAGAGCTTCGCAAATTGACAGATGGAATCAACAAGAATATGCTTCCTCGACCTGTGAAGTGGACTGAACGTGAGTTACATCAATTGGAACAGTGGAAGCGTTATATTCGATGGGAGAAATCTAATCCACTCAATCTGGAAGACCCAGCCGCGTTGTCAAACCGTGTCATATGGACCTATAAGCAAGCGCTGATGTCCATGCGGTTCTATCCAGAGATTTGGTTTGAGGCAGCAACGTATTTTCAAGAAGTGGGACGTGTTGATGAGGCCGTAGCACTCTTGAAAAATGGTTGTGAAATTCTTCCTACTAGTTTTCTGCTTCATTTCGCTTGTGCAGAACTAGAAGAGAACCGTAAGAATTTTAAGGAAAGCAGGGCAGTTTTTGAGACATTGGTCAAGAACCTAACGGACAAGATCGATGATATGAATAATAAAGTGAATGAGGAAGTCCAGGCGGCCAAATTAGCGTTGCAGGCTGAGCAACAGCTTTTGGATAGTGGACTGACCTCTGGTAAGAAGGTTCGCGATATTGAGGAAGTCGATGGAGAGGTGAGAGAACGTGAACGTGATGAGCTAAAGAAGCGCACCAAGGAGCTTTTACAGTATGAAAAGTTGGCCCGACGGGAGGTGGATGAGATGGTCAAGGGATGTGGACTTGCCTGGATCATGTTTATGCAGTTTGTACGTCGGACAGAAGGGACATCACAATGGAGACAGATCTTCAGCCGTGCACGTCGCTCAAGCGGGTGCCCATATCAGGTATATATTGCTGCAGCTCTGATGGAGTACCATTGCACCAAGGATGCATCGATTGCAGGAAAGGTTTTTGAGCTTGGATACAAGTCATTCAGTGATGAGACCGATTATGTGGATCAATATCTGGAATTCTTAATTCAACTGAACGATGATAGCAATGCAAGAGCACTCTTTGAGCGTGCATTGATCAACATGTCACCTGATACGGCGCGTCCTCTCTGGGAGAAGTTTTCAGAATATGAGAACAAGTATGGTGATCTTGCAGCGATCGCAAAGGTGGAAAAGAGACGCAGGGAGGTGTATCCGGAAGATTCTGTGCTTGATCGGTTTGTGGCTAGATATAGTTTTAATGACCTCAAGGTTATTGAGGAAATGGATATGGGTCTCAGCAGTAAGTTCTCTACTATGTATAAGAAAAAAATGAAAAAAATGAAAAAAATGAAGAAAGCATCTAGAGTGTTCTTTGATTTGACTTTTTTTTTTTTTTTTTTTTTCCTTCTTCGCATTATGAATATTGTAGTCCGTAAGAATATCCATGTACCAGCATTGACGGATTTTTCAAGCGACTTTCCGCCCCCTCCACCCGTTAATCTGGATAAAGCTTATCGAGCTGGGCGCCGACCCTTGATGGAGCCTGTTCATGCTGACTTGTACCCTAGACCAGACTTCGCCATGTGGAATACTTATAGAGTCTATCCTGAAATGATCAAATCATCTGCAACAGCCGCAGCACGTGAAAGGGAAAGGGAGAGGGAGGCCAATGTAAGGCCAGGTGGTATGGATACAGTACCACATGCACATCCCCATGCAGGAGGCGGAGACAGAGATCGGGATGCCCGCGATGCGGAGATGCGGGATGTTCCCGTCCCTGGTGGGCCAGGTTTTGCTCCAAAACCTCTCTTACCACCCCATGCGCCTTCTCCAATCCCACCTCAAGCTATGAATTCGCCATCTCATCAGTCTAATCCTCCAGTGTTGCCGCCGCCGCCGCAGCCACCAATCCAACAACACCCACCTCCGTTATCTGTTCCTGGATGGACTGCGGGACCCCATGGATTGATTCCTGAGGCTGTGGCCTTCTTTTTATCTAATTTACCTTCGGCCTCCAGCTTCAATGGTCCAGTCTTAGCGCCTCATGATATTCTAGAGCTTATTAGGGTGGCACAGATCCCGCCAGGACAGGCCATGATTGTTCCACCGCCAGTACCAGTACCGGGTATGCCACCACAACCTGTTCCAGGGCCAGGCCTCACACCACACAATGATATTCATCGAGATGGAGGAAGGGGTCCGCTACCAGGCCGTGACATGGGCAATACCGGTTACCGTGGGGACCGTGACCGAGACTTTCACAATCGGGATAGGGATAGAGACCAACGAGGTGAGCGCGGCGGTCGTGGAGACCGTGGGAGCTTTAGGTCACGTGGAGGGCCTGGAGGTATGCGAGGAGGGATGAAAAGAAAAGGACGGGATTATGATGACGATCTGGGCGGGGCTGGTGGGGGTAATGTCGGAGGAGATTTCCGTAACAACCACATGCCAGGGGTGAATCGTCCACCAGAATATGATTTATTCAGGTCGAGACAGCAGCGTAAAGCCAACATGGAGTAAATTTCTTCATGCCATTTTTGTTTTGATATTGAACTACTATTAGTTGTTAGCTGTTTCAATGTCTATTCCAATTGGTCTTTTCTTTTTTCTTTTTTTTTTTGTTACATGTAAGCCTATTGGTATCCTCCCAAAATACAAATACAGACTAGTAATGTTGCCTACCACACTCCTTCATTCTCATTTCACGAATTTAAAATAAAATGGTGCTGATATTCGATGGAGAGAGAGAGAGAGCAATTGAGTTTTTTCTATCTTAAAAAGCAATTCAGCCAATGAAGTCACTGGAATCTCCATTGTTAAGTGCTCAGCATTTGGCGCATAGTAGAAAAAAAATTTCTGACAAATGCAGTATGAGGCAGTGCAGCAATGCAAGAGGCAGGAACATCCCTACTCCACATTACTTGCATTTATTCATCTATTAACCCATATGCCTTCTTTATGAAGCTCTGCTATGAAGGCAAAAAAGAGTACAGTAAGTTTTTTTTTTTTTTTTTTTTTTTTTTTTTATTTCTTTACAGTATTATTGTATTCAAGACAAATGTGGGCATGAAGGTGATGAAAGTTTATGTGTGTTTCGGATAAGAGTAGCAATCATCATCACAAATGAAGTGACATGGGATAATCATTACCCTTCTCCTTTTTTTTTCCTTCTTTGCCTTATTACCCGCTCTCATCTTTTCCCATCCTCTTATTCCTAGACTACCTTATTATATGTTTTTTGCTCTTTTTCAGCTGCTGGTATTCCAAGAGCAGAGATGGTGCAATTGAAAGAGCAAGTGAGTTTGAGTGCAAAAATTTTGCGCAGCGTTTATGACTGGATTTCTGAGCAATATGATTCGCCAGTGAGAAATGGATGACCCCAAAAGAGAGATTGTACCCTCCAACTAATAAGAATGTGAACACGCTGAGTTCCAGGCGCCTGTGCGTTCTTTTTTATTATCATTCTTATTCTTTTTTTTTTTTTTTTTTTTTTCTATGCCAAGACCATATCTCCCTAAAGATCTTCTTACCATGGGACACCATAGAAAGAGGGCTGACGGAAGGGTTATTCATTTTTTTTTTTTTTTTTTTTTTTTAATCGCTTGTGCAATAGTCGACAGAGCAATAAAAAAGATATAAAAATGAGCCAGCCACAAAAATTAAAAATTTTTGTATAAAAATGAGCATCATTAGACCAAACCCAATTTTCTCTCTTTTTTCTTTTCTTTTTTTTTTTTCTACTTTCTTCCCCACCCTTCCCTTCCCCTTTCCTCATTTGCTGCAAGCGACAGCCTCGTTATCGCCTCTATTTTATATAGCAACCAAGTTTGGCCGGGTGCGCCACCAGATCGATCTTCTATTTAATCATCCCATTCATTCACATTTATCCATCAGTCCCCCCATCCATTCTTATTATAATCATCAACTTGAGGCATTTTCCTTCCACTTTGTCTTGTCTTGTCCATACACCTCGCCCTCCCCACCATTGTCGCATCGACCTGACCTTGAGCCAGACGTCGTGCGTGTGAGTGAGTGTGTGTGTGTCGTCCTCGACAGTTTCTCTGGTTGTTGTTGACCGAGAACCTTTTCTTTTGTCTACTGTCCAACGCTTGCCTTCCTGCCTTCCCTGCCTTCTTGTCTGGCCCAACCTGTCTCTTCTTCCTATCTGCCGCCTGCTTTGTTCTCAAAGACTTTTTTTTTTTTTTTTTTTTTTTTTTTTTTGCCACCGTTTTTTTTTTTTTTCTCTACTCCACAAAATTACAAAAGATAAAAACAAAAACAAAAACAAAAGAAAAAATACAAACGTATAAAAAAAAAGATAAAAAGAATAATAACGTACGTATTTTCGCATCTTCCCTTTCGATAATTTATATTCCTCTTTGTCAAGTAAAGACAGTTGTTTTAATATCTATTCATTCTATTTCTGTAATCATACCAAATCCTTAATCCTTAATCCCCTCTTCCTTTCTACACGACACAGTTATAATCATGGATACCAACTCATTTTCGAACTCGGGCTTGGAGATCTTTGGCGACTTTGGCCGCAACCCCTTTCTCGTCCCTGCAGTAGATCTTAACGCCACCAACAAAAGCAGCAGCAAAGGTTGTCTCGACAACAGCAAAAGCGAACACACCGCCACAACAAATACACACAAAGACATCTTCAACATCTTCAACAACAATAATGACGACAACAACAACAACAACGACGACGACGACGACCTTGCTTTCCTCGGAGTTAACAACAGCAACTATTGGACAGACACAATTCTTTCAGATGAGCAAGTTGCCGCAGTCGCCGCCGCCGCCGGTCTTGACCTCACTCCTGAGTTGTCACCTTCTATGAGCTTGTATTCACCCGCTGTGGGTTCTGTGAACTCCCCCTATGGGTTTGATGGCCTTGGATTTGATGACTTTAGTCCTAGTCCCTCCATGAGCTTAGCTTCTCCCTTTGAAGAGTCATTTAATGGAATTGATCAACTGAACGGTTCTCTCGAGTTTGATTTTGACTTCCGTGCCAACATTCCAGATATGAACATGGTTGACTTTCAGCTCTTCCCCGATAGCAACGTCAACTGCGCTGAGCCGACCTCGCTCAAGAAGCCTGTGAATACAGCTTCACCTGACGCTGAATCTATTGTTCCCACTGAATCTCCTTTGGAGCCCAGACTCGACATTGTACCTTCACCACTTGTTGAATCCATCAGTCCCGCCGCCCTCGGATATACCGTTGATTCCTTTTCGACTGCAAAGACCTTTGGCATGGACGTTGTGACGCCTTATCCCCATGTTGCCCCAAGAAAGCCTGTCCAATCACCGACAAAACCAGGTTTCCAACCTAACAAGAGACGCCGCCGCCGTCGTGTCACATCCGAGGATGCTTATCGCGTAGTCCCCGAAGAGCAGAAGGATGATCCCAATGCCAAGGCTCGTTACAAATGCTCAGAATGTGACAAGACTTTTTCTAGACCCTTCAATCTGCGATCTCACCGTGCTACACATCTTGGTGTCAAGCCCTTTCTTTGCACCCAAACTAATGAGAAGGGTGACACCTGTAGCTGGGCCTTTGCTCGCCGTCATGATCTGGAGCGCCACGTGCGCAGCCGCCACTCACAAGGCAATTTATTCCAATGCAAGACCTGTGGACAAAAATGTACCAGAAGCGATGCTCTCAAGCGACATGTCATGAAGAATACCGCCTGCGCTACAGGCGCTGACGACGATCAAGAAATGGAACAAGTGAGCCACCTGTGAATGACTTTTGTTATTGCATGCATTTTTTTTTTTTTTGCTCCCCCCATGTTGTTGTTTTCATGTTACGAGAAAGAGGAAGGAGTTGAGTGTGTGCATTACATAAGAGGAGAGTGTGTGCATTTTCTTTTTTTTTTTTTTTTTTTTTTTTTTTGCCCTTCAATTTTGATGTTGCTATGAGGATGGGGAGTGTTGATGATTATCCCAACAAGAGGATTACCTTTTGGGCGGAAAGTACTCCTAGAACAGCATAACAAAAAAAAAAAAAAAAAAAAAAAAGACAACACCAACGTCACTTGTCACTCGAACATCAACAGCAATAGGACTATGCAAGAAAGAAGCACAGGCACTTTATATTTTGGAATATCGATAAATTAATGTCATGAGTTGGAACACCGTCGTTACGAGATCGCATTGCAGGAAGGAAGCTAAGAAGTCAATATTATATTACAAGTTCGATAGATTTTATTTTCTTTCCATCCCAACTACACTTTTTATTTTTTCAAAGGATGATTGAAGTGGGTGGGGGGGTTACCGGAATGGGACCATTCTCTCTTCTCTTTTTCATTCTTCTCCTTTTATTTTCAATTTGTTTTTTCTTTTATTGAATGTCAAATACAGTGATTGTTCTTGAGTTGCTGAACAGTGTTGTTATGTGTTCTCCTAGTGCCTAGCGTGCCGTAAGGCTAACGTAGCCTAAGCCAATCGCAGACAATACGAACACGGAGCACAAACAGTGACTGGGCAACACTCCACTTTCCACCTTTATTTTTATTTTATTTTTTTTATTTTTTTATTTTTCTTTCCTGAAGACACACCTCTTTGCTTTTTTTTTATTATTTCAAATGATTTAATTCCTTCATATCAGTTGTCAATTGTCGAACTACTCGAGTTTCTCAGAGCACTCAAGAGCCTTTCAAAAAAAAAAAAAAAGACGATGTCAGGATACGTCCGAGTGCGACAATGATTTCTTTTTTATTTCATAGTGTAGATAGTTTTTCGATATTTGTGCCTGATTCATTTAAGGCATTTATTTATCCATATACCTTTTAAAAAAAAAAAAGCAGAAAAAAATAATAAAATTAATTTTGTCAAAAGGATTTTTATTTTTTTATTTCTTTTTGCGTTTCTGTTGGTTACCAAGTGGCAAAGTGGCATGTCAGTCATGCTCATTAGACTTTGATGGATAAAGACAAAACACTTTGATTCTCCATGGCACGCCATCAAAAAAAACTATCCATTTCAAAGATCCGAGCATTTTACAGACAATGATTGGAACTTGGTAGTGGCATTGGAAATTCCGGCAGGATCAATGTTGGTATCGTGTACTATGCTCTCTGCATGGGAGCAACAACAATAAAGACAGGAGAAAGAAGGATTCGGCTAGCAAGGTTGTATACAACAGTTACAATAGGGAGCTTGAGACCAAGAGGATATTAGAGATAAAAGAAATAGAAGAGGTTGAAGATCCGGAAGGGAGATACAGTAGTAGAGCTATCGAATGATTGACCATTAAAAGAAGCAAGACTTGAGAGCTATGTTGATGGCGTCGGAGTTGTGGACGGAGGAAATTGTTGATAAATTGAATTGTGGAGAAGACCCGTCAATCTGGTAAAAGAAGACATTTGGGATTAGTGGAAAATGCAGGACTGCATAGTGTTGGGATAGCTCATGTAAAATACAATGTCTGGGGTCGGGATCCTTTTTCCCTTCCTTCCTTTCTTTAGAGAGTCAGAGATATACATAGAGAGATAGAGAGAGAGAGAGAGATAAAGAGAGAGAGAGGGAGAATAAAGACAGGTGATTCCAGAACGGTATCACGCATCTTTGTTCCCCCTTGCAGTGCATGTACTGTGATAAAAGCACATGTACTCCAGCAGGAGAGAGTACTGTACAGATCACCAGTCCGGCAGTGTGAAAGTATATTGTGAGATTAGAACAAGACAACGGGACATTGCCTTTAATGCTCTAATGTCCATGTACCCTTTTGATTACTGTCTCTTCCAACAATCCGTGGCAAGAGACAGTCCTTCCTTTGTCTCTCCCCCCTTTTTTTTTCTAATGGAAAATGTAATTACCATCAAGGCCTTTCTTTCTTCTTTTCTTTATTTCCCACAGACTCTTTTTTCACCCTTTACCCTCACTCAACTCACTTTACACCTTTTCCTTTTCTTTTCTTTTCTTCCCTAAAGCTCTATTTCGCCTCACCTCTTATCTCTTCTATTTACTTCATGCTACCTTGATCTTCTCTCCCCCATTTCTTGGCTTCTTTTTTGGCTCTGCTCTACGCATCCTTATAAAAAAAAAGCTTTCTTTTCACTTTTCACTCTTTTCTGTCTTCCATCCTTCAGTCTCACGTCTCACTCGATATATTGACTGACTAGCTGACTGATAAAATCAAAGCTTGACCTCACTTCCTCACACCAACTCTCTTCTCCCCGTTACTATCACTGCCAGCAATCATCTTAGGTAAATGCCTCAAGTTCTCACCACCACATTACAGGGAATACGATTCATTGCCTCCTTTATTCTTACGACATTTTTTCTTTTTCTCGTAAAAGAAAAAAAAAAAAAAAAAAAAAAGAGCCTAACTTCGCCCTGTTCGCAGTCCTCATTTGCAGTCACCATCCATGCATCATCCCCGCGTCTATCATGAAGGGAAAAAAAAAAAAAAAAAAAAAAAAAAAAAAAGATCAGTGCTCTGTCCTATCGATGCACTAGCTAAACAGACCACAACTGACAATGAAATTGCTATTTGTGTCTTTTCTGGTTTGGGTGTTGTATTTTTTTCTTCTTTTCTTTCTTCAGTCACTTAAAATGAATCCTCACTTGGAGAGTCATAAAGTCATATCTCATAGTTACGAGTGCAAATACAAATGAAAAAAAAAAAAAAAAAAAAAAAGGGCTTGTGCTTCTGAAGAAAAAAGTTTGGACATCTGACTTTTTTAATTTTCTTGGGATGCGTTTTAAGCTCCAAGAGACTCGTTGTTGCTTTGATTGGTTTAGTGTTCATGTGGAATTGTATGATTGCATGGATGGGTTATCAGTCCCAATCCGTTGTGTGTTGCATGAATGTATACATTCGTTTGTACACGTTAAGAGTCGTGTACCCGAGAGGATAAAACAAAGACAATGGCTGTGGCTACGAGGTTATGAGCAAGTTGGGCTATGGAAGCTGGCGATGAGATGATTTGAGGATACCATGGCGTCTTCTTATTTGCTTAAACTCAACAGTAACAACGTCAACTTGACATCCTTGCACACCTCATTCATTATATCATTGATACCCTTCCCTCCTTCCTTTGTTTCGAAAGACTGATCAGTGAATGCTGAACTAGACGCGCGGATCGAGTATGGTCTTTGCTTATTCTCGTCGTCCTTCTCCGTGACTACGCTTCTTTCACTCCATGTAATATCACAATGACTACTTGGTCTTCAGTCTTCAGCCAGCTTAATATTCAAACAATCAACAGCAATACTCCTTCCTTTATGCCCTACAGTTCCCAGCTCAAAGAGGTAGCAAGTAAATACTCATTCATCCTCTCCTTAATCTGTTCGCTGGCTTTGGACACTTTCCGTGCATTTCTAGGAATAAAAAGAAGGAAAAAAAAGTGCAGGTCGCTTTGCATCATGACAGCCTCGTCAGTCTTTGGCTATTATCAGCATGGTCATAACAATCATCAGCTCCTACCCATGGATATGATGATCCAGATCTTTATGCACCTCAGCCAACAGCCACAGGACCTGCTAAATTGTGCTCTCACCACGCGTCAATGGTCACGACCTGCTCTTCAAGAGCTCTATCGCCACCCATGGTCCTATCTCTTTAGCTATCAATTTGATACTGAAGGTCGTGTCATGGATAAGCTTGGCTCTATACTCTTGCTCAGAACACTCTTCCATGCATGTTTGGACCCTTCAAGGACGACTTTTCCCTACCCTAGTTTCGCAAGGAGCGTCAATCTCAAGTGGGTTCATGATACGTTTGACCTGCGTGAGGTGGATATCCAGGCTTTGACGGGCTTTCGATGGACCAGGAATGAAGCACCAAAAGACTTTTTGATCCGCTGTTTGCTTGCCAATCGGCCTTATCTGAGTGACTTTGTCCATTGCCATGCACCTGGATTGCCCCGTTGCCTATTCGCACATATGACCACCGTTATAAACAACTTTGTTGAAGAGGACACGGGCGATGGTGCTAACGCGACCACTGTGCTGACAGCAGATAACACAGCTGTGGAAGGATCTATTACAGATACAGAGCCAGCCAATACAATTAATACCGCCAACACAGCTAGTACAGACAGTGATGATTGGGCTAACATGATGCAACAAGCTACAGATGATGAGTATATGGTTGGGTTGAACGTGAGCTTGTTAGCCACACCACCACTTCTTCCAGTCCAGCCAATCGCCACAGCTATGCCTCTCGTCCACTCTGTAACGGACAGCATATCCACTACAGAGTCCTCACCCTTATCATTGGATGGTAATGACCATACGGTACAGAGTACTGTAATACATTCAAACAATCCTATGCAGATGAGCGAACTCGCTCCATCATATACACCTCCATCGCCTATCACTCTTGTTTCTACTGTTAGCTTGTCCACATCAAGCTCCTCAAGTGCACAAGCGGCCGTTATTGACGAGGTTAATGAAGCCACAGCATCGGCAGTTGGTGAGAACACTCAAATGACAGCGGCTGTTGAGCATGTTGATGAGACAATAGGAGTTCTTGATGTTGCTACGTCACATTTATTTCAGACTATCCCAATAGTAACATCGCCCTCATTGTCAGCATTCACAACCACAACCGTGGCACAGCCAATGTACAATTTCCAGCAACCGTACATGTCGGAATTTACTCATCTACATCCTCGAGCCACATCCGCCTCATCTTCAGCACTCTCTTCCTCGCGGCCTATCCTTGCTGCCTGGCCGCTGACTATGGAACAAACACATAGTCTAGTATATCTGGATCTGCGTTATGCAATTGTCTCAGACTCTTTGATTATCTCCTTATCTATGAACTGCCGCAAGATCGAGTTCCTAAAAGTCGCAACACATTGGCAGCACTATCCCCACTCCTACTCAGTAACAGATCAAGCACTGGCCTTACTTGTAGCTGCTCAACAGGAGCTGAGGTTGGTGCATGTGGAGAACCATCGGGAGATTAGTCAAGGACATGAACTGGTCAGGACCATCAATGTGTTAGCATCCACTCATGGACCAACTTTAGAAACACTGGTCCTCAAGTCGCATGATTTCCAAAACTGCGACCTAGCCTCTCTGGGCAAGGCTTGTACAAAGCTCAAAAAGTTTTCAGCCCCAGGAGGCATACACCTCTTCCGTGAGGAGGTGATCAAGCTGATAGAAGGTTGCAAATTGACATTGGAGCACTTGGACTTTTCCAATTCGGATATCGAAACAGACTCTTTAATGAGCATCATGAAGGGCATGTCCACGCCTGCAGCAGCCAAGGGCGTCCTTAAAGCTTTGATCTTGTTAGGAATGGAGGATACTCTAAACCAGGAGACATGCCTGGCCATTGGAGAGCATGGCTCGGGCCTCAATTGCTTCCGCCTAGACATTCTAGAATCAGAGGCCAAGGATGTGAGTATGATGTTGAGTCGTCCTTGCGCTTCAAATTTGCGTGTGCTCACCCTTGGCTGTCATGATGTGCATGGCGATCTAGCCAACGATATTCTCGAGCAGATTGCTCTCAACTGTCAGAACGTCGAGCTCTTGGACATCAATCATTGGCAGTTTTCAGAAAAAGCATTGGAAAATGTCTTGCGTGAGTGCGGCATGTTGCGGTACCTTAATGTTAGTTACACAGACATTGGAGAAAGTACAGCGGATATCATTTGCAAATGCTTGGGCGAAGTCAAGAGAGAGTCTATCGTTTCCACGGCCCCACTTCCAGAGGACACACTTTCAGCTCAAGTGCCCTCAAATATGCTTTCTCCAACCCAACTACAGACCCCGGCTGCGACCTATTCAAGTACTGCATCGATCACGGAATTGACACCTGAGCAAGTTGGAGATTTGGCTGAGAGTAAAGATGAACTAACCTCAATTGAGCAGGAAATGATGGAAAGTACAGCCGATAGCCCAGATGAGGAAAGGCCCGATTTATCCAGAAAACGTGGCATGGAAATGCGGCTGAAGGATGAAAGTGAAGAAGATGATGGTGAATATATGGACACCAATATGGATAGTGATCAACAAGATGTTATGCCCGCTTATTCTACAAATGGTGGATACACGAAGAAACAGTCGCAGCATGGTCTTGTCCACTATCATACCGGCGCTATGGCTCTAAGGACGATTATGAACCTTGATCTTGATGAAGTGATTGAAACAGATCTTTCGATGAATATTGACGAAGATACTAGTATGGATCTTGACATGCGTCTAGATTTACAAAGATATCATCGCAATATTACCTTCAAATCCTTTGACCGTGACGATGAGATTGATAGCGAGCAGTTAGAGCATAATGCTGAAGACAAAGAAAGGGAATGTGGCGAAACAATGATGACGGATACAGGCCATGGGGAAGACACTGATGAACAGAGAATCTTGTCCAAAGAAGCCAAGGGCAAGGGCGTTTATATTGATAAGGGCAGTGAGAGCCCTCACCACGGAGCAGCTGTGTTCGCGTCTATTGTGCCTTTATATTCATCTTACGGCCCAACTTCGTTAACAGCGTCGTCAGCACCATCGTCAGGATCATCGTCATCGTCAGGATCGTCGTTATCGTCATCGTCATCATCATCATCGGCGTCATCATCAGCATCATCGTCATCGTCAGCGTCATTGTCATCGTCAGCGTCACCATCTTATTCTGAAAATGCAGCCAAAGCCCAACAAAATGGCCAAGTTTTACTAACGACAGCCGAGGCTGGAAACCAGCGGCCATTCCTATGCATTCCTTTACTACCGGCTCTGCCTATCCCATCGAAACAAGCCGAAAGTCAGGGAGTCTGTTCATTGGCTGTGCCTACGAGTTCATCTATCCAACAGGCTTGTGGCTCAACATCCACCGAGCTAAACGCAAGTAATAGAGCCGAAATGGTGTCGAATGAGATCATTCGTCAAGACAGTATGGCAGCCGACAACTGCAAGACCGAATCAGCCACCACCATGACAACAGCCTGCACAGAAGCCCCATCATCCATATCGTCATCAAAGGAAACAGAAGAAATGCCTATGTCCACCCCACAATCTGAAGTAGTATCTGAATCGGATGAAAAGGACGACTCTTCGTTTGTGTGGACAAGGGACTCTCGCCTAGAACAGGTGAATGTGGAATACTGTTCATTACTGTCGGTTTCAACGATGAGCAAAATTAAAGCGCTATCGATCGAGCGACAAGCAAACTTTGTACAGCGTGGACGGAAAAAGACCCGTATCTGGGTTGAAAATGAACACGATATGATGATGACTCGTCTGGCAATGGAGCGCGGCCCAGAGCTGCCAGCTGCAAGGCAGAGGGCTAATACGATTGTCGAACCATCAGGAGCTTGTGCTGCTGCTCCAAATTCAGGTTCACAGAGGCTCTCCACCCCCACTACGTTTGGCGTGGAAGGAGAATCGATTGAGCAAAACCAACAGTCGAGCCAACAAAGTCAACAAGTAATTAATACAATGCCTGGCATTGAAGAAGACTCTTTAGTTTCCACAGCTGCCATAGAGGTCATTGCATAAACACTAAAACTTGCAGTAAAGCTTTGGGTAGTATGTTTCTTTACCTTTCCGCCTAGTCATTGCAACCAAAAAGAAATTCCCCTTTGTCTCTGTCAAAGACAATTTGTACTCCATCCCCTTGTATATTTATCCTTTCGCGAGAAATAAAAATAATTAAATAATTTTTTTTTTTTTATTTATTTATTTATTTATTTATTTATTTATTTATTTATTTTTTTATTTATTTATTTATTTATTTATCACAAGCATCAAATGCGGCGAAAGTTGGGATTAAATCTTGTTTCAGACATCTGTTCAGTTCTTTCTTTTTTATTATTATTACGATTAATGGTTTTTATTTCCCTGGTTCGGTGACGACAACATTGTAGGCAAAGAACCTGTATTTGAGGATCAATGCCAAGATGCCATGCAGGAAGACGACGAGGATCAAGATGACCTTACTGGTCTGTGCCTCTGCTCTAGAGAGGACCGGATACATATTCCGGACGAGAAAGGTCCCAGAGGCAGCGGCACCTGCTAGGACCAAAGCCCAGCGGAATAAATTCCAGGGCAGGATACAGAGGACCGCTACTGGGATCCAGACTGTGAGACCATAACCATAAAGAGCCAACATCTCGAGCAAATCAGGTTGACAACCAAAATACTTTGTTGCACCCCAAATCATAGCAGGGACAGCGAACGCATAAGAATAGACCGTGCCGAATGCGAAGGTCAACTGACGGATATCGTAGGTGTAAGGTGTAGAGGACAAGTAAGCATTGATAGAGTTCACGATCGATGATGTTACAAAGAGAACAAAAATCACTGTTGTTGGAATCCAGAAGGGGCCTTTGTAAAATGAGTCGGAGATAGATGGAAATATAGGGCAAAAAAAAAAAAAGAGAGAAATGTCAGTTGGAAGAATTGGAAGTCTTTTTTTTTTTTTTTTTTTTTTTTTTTTTTTTTACAAAAATAAATAAATAAATAAAAGTGGCCATATTAATAATGAACATACCATACAAATCAGGATTTCCGGCCATAATATCCAAAAAGTTTTCTTTGGGAATAATACTCGCCATACATCTTTCCATCACCTTCATAAAAAAAAAAAAAAAAAAAGAAAAAAGAAATGTCAGTTGAATTAGAACAAATGAGCTGGTTGTAGGTTGATTTTCCATATCGTAGTTTTTTTTTTTTTTTTTTTTTTTCTTATTCTTCCTCTTCTTCTAAACGTGAATCTCCAATGGTGTTTACCTGAGTAGTGTCGACATCAAAGAACTTGGCATAGTATTCTACTGACCAAATAGGTTTGCTCACAGTTTGATCTTGGATTGACCGGTGAGGATCAAAGGCTCCTCCAGTATTGAATCCTTTTGAGAGAATAATAATGTTTAGCAATAAAATAAAAACGATAAAATAATAATAATAATAATAATAATAATCAGGAAATGAGAATGCATTATAGATATCGTAGTATCTCAGAGTGTCTTAGTTTAAAGAATATATATAAGCTACCTGCTGGTCTGGACTGCGGTGTGTTGTTGGATGGTGTGATATTTCCAGAGGTTCCTGGTGAAGAAGAAGAAGCAAAGCCTACAACAGCAACAACAACAACCAATAGCAACAGCAACAGCAACAGCAACAGCAACAGCAGTATAACAAAATGTTAATGAATGAATAAATGAAAATACTCAAGTTTAAAACACTTTCTCTATTGTTTCCCTGATTCCTGAATATTTATGCATTCTCAGTAATCCTGTTCTGCCCTACCCTAACCTGTCCTGTCCTGTCCTGTCTTTTCCTGTACTATCATATTCTGTCTCATCAAAAACTTGAATGAATCCTATTCATAGTTTTTTACGCCCCCCCCCTCCCCATTGTCTTTTTTTTTTTTTTTTTTTTTTTTCTATGCTCCGTGCGGTTAGAATGTACCGATTGCTTGTTTCTCCAGAATTGATTTTTATAGCTTTATCCCGCCCTAATTGACGCTGTTGCTTTAGGTTATAAAGTCTTTTTAGTTCCGTAAGGGTTGACATATGTATCTCGATGGTTGTCGCGTGTAAATACATATCCACTTGCAAACAAGAAAAAAAAAAAAAAACAAACAAACAAACACTTGAATTTGTAGTAATAGTAATGAACGTACTCTGGAATTCAAGCTACGATAAAGGATAAACATATATTAATCAAGGCAAAAGATGAAGGAAAAAAAAAAATAAAGATAAAGGTTAGGTTTGAATTTGGCTTGGCATTTTTTTTTTTTTGATTTAATTGCTGCTCCTAGGCGCAATAACTGTACAAGTTAACAGTTTTTTTTTTTTTTTTTTTTTTTTTTTTTTTTTCCGAGTGCTTCTTTCTTGACTCAAGTCAGAACGTCTTCATTGGTTGTAAACTTATTGATATCTGGGTCTTTTAAAAAAGTGCAAATCGCTAGTAATTGCATTATTGGGTGTTGATGTCGTGTTGTTGTATTCCTTTTTTTCTTTTTTCGTTTTTCTTTTTTGTTTCCCTGTCTGGCTTGCATGAAGGATAAGGAGAGAGACAATGAAATGACACGAGGAAACATACCCCGTCATCGTCGATTTCAATAGCGGCATATGCACCTTTATTCGCCATGGCGCTTTTTTTTTTTTAGTGTAAATTCGTGAGAAGGGCGAAGGTGTAGAAAAGAGTTGGACTACATGGACGTTTTTCCTCTTCCCATTGTCGCACGTGATACATTTTTTCTCCTTTGCCCAAATGTCCAAGCCACTTTGCACTTGTTAAGGATTTGACTTCCCTTTATTATAGTGATATGAAGTATACAATGTGCAATTAGAAAGAATAGAAAGCTAGAAAGCTGTACAAATAAGCAAAAAGCTATACAGTATGTATGTTAAACAGACTAAAGTTGCTGTTGCTTGGGGAATAACGCAAATAACGGGTTGAAGAAAAAAAAAAAAAAAAAGATACGATAATACTCCTATATCATGATCATCTTTGGAATGTTTTCGTTTCGTCGAACCAGAGCACTACCCATTGCTTTGGCAATCTCTTGTAAGCGCTCATTGAGTTCCTTATTCCCGATAATCTTCATCTGGTCATGACCTTCAAAAAGCCCAAGGACATTTTGCAAACCTCGACAAATCTCACCTGGCCTGTCCCTGAATGTCACCTTACTGACCTGGGATCTAACGTATTCCATCGTAAGAGTAGCATCCGGCCCTTTGCCCCAAACCTCTCGGGCTATAGAGGCAAATAGCTCAGATGCAACAAGGAGCGCTGAACCAGATCGTCGCTGAGGAAACAGATATAATGTCCAGATAGTCACCGGCAGCAAGTGTTGATCCAAGAGGGCTCCCCACGAGCGTAGTGGCCAATACGTTGAAAGCTCATGGAATCGAGATCGAACCTGACGCAGTTGGCAAACGCTACGATCTTGATTGACTCTCTCCGGGAGCCTTCCTGTAACTATACCTTGACTCAAGTCGTCCAAAGCCTCCTTCCGAATAAATATTTGAGAGTCCTTGTACATGTAATCTGCTTCGCTGGGAGCGATTGGGCCTATTTTTATGCCTGGTATGTTGGTGTGGAGGTAGGATGTGACTAGAGCGTTAAATATCCGTGTACTTACAATCAGGTTGGAACGGCCTCTAATACGAAGGATCCCTACTCCAACACTCGAACTAAATAGATCGATCGAGGTATATTAAAATAAATAAATAAATAAATAAATAAGTAAATAGAGAACTATACAAAAAAAAAAAAAAAAAAAAAAAAACTCGTCCTTATAGATCCTCCCCATTGCTAATGTTCTTTACTTTCTGGTTGGAAAAGTGAATCCGGTGTTTTCGAATTTGTCATGATGCTTATCGAGTTCCGGATTCCTGTGGTAAAACTCCACGGTCTGAATGCACGCACAATGATGTTCGTTCACAATCATCATCCCCTCAAAAGCCCTAAGAGAAAAATACTGGATCAAGCCCCTGGCATCCCATTTTTGATTTAAAACACTAGCGATTTGATCCGTGATCTTTGTATACTTTTCCTGGGCCTCACGAGAGAATAGTGGGTTGGCCATGACTCCATCGAGATGTTGAGGAAATTCTTCTTCCAAGAAGCGAATAAACTTTTCCGCGTATGATGATGCTTCCAGTATTTCGCTCCGAGACTGAAACGGAAACTGAGGCTGAGACTGAGACTGAGATTGAGATTGACACTGGATTCTTTGATGGTAATGAGTGATTCTTGACAAGGACACATTGCCACTTGTATTCATATCCAATCCCTGCATGGCGACCGAACATATTCTTATATCGTTGTTTAGATTTGCCTCCAGAGCATTTGGCAGAAGTGGTCGTTGCATGCTTTGGCCAGATCTCGCTACTGCAGCCTGTGCATTCTCCAGTGGGATATTGATCTGTATTGGATTTGACAGATCTTGACTGGCTAATGAATCAGTGGAATAGTCTGCACTACTTGAGTAGGGGCTTTCTGGTTCGCTTATATCAACACAATCACCAATATGATTATCGACAGCGCCATCAAAATCAAGATAAATGTTGATGATCCTTCCTAGTTGAGCGATTTCGAGACATGCCCACAAGTGCCTTATGAATTCTCCATGACACTCAAACTGGATAAGACAAAGACAATCATAATGTTCATACATTCTTTGAAAGATTAATGTGCTTTGCCCACATCGAAGCAAAATGTGACGGGGCTCAGTCATGTCTGCTATGATTAGTAAAAAGATCATTCATTAGTTTGTCAAAGGTTTCGAGTCAATGCAAAAAAAAAAAAAAAAAATTGCCACCAAATTTTTTTTTTTTTTTTTTTTTTTTTACCTTAGAAGCCTATCTTTGTTCTGGTTATACGGTTTAAAAGGCTTTATCTTTCTTTGTTAGGATGCACTGGCCTATCAAGTGGTTACAGAAGTTGATTACCTTAAAGTAATATGGTGTCAGCTATGGTCTGCCAGTAAAATAAGGTTAAAGAAAGAAAGGAAGAAAGTTAAAAAGAGAAAATGACGCGTAAAAAATATTCGAATAACGTGTGGCATGGTATCTAAGCCACGCCATCATTTCCTGTAGCTCAGTTGACAATTTTTATTAATAATATTTTATAATGCTATTGGATCGTTCGCAGATACTGATGTCGGTACTATTGCAGATGTTGACCCTGACATTGGTCCTGATAATACCTCTACAGTATGATCTTGAGTCTTCTTTGCTTTAAGTGATTTGACGTCTCCTGTTCCTGTAGGTTTCTTTCTGATATTCCGCCCATGGTTGACAGTCCATGGCCCTAATGAATCATTCGAGTAGAAATCCATCGGATATGTCTCTTGCCATGGAATGGATTCAAATACAACTGAAGCCTCGTATGGAGTCAAAAGTGGCTTTGAGAATGCATAACCCCAATCGATCGACAGACGAGGGCATGCAATTTGAATAAATGCTTCTATATCCTCAAACATGGCTAGCTTTCCAGGGAAAATTTCAGATAGAAGAATAATAGTATAGTCGCATCCACGCTCCTTCAGCTTCGCTTCCATATGCTATCAAAAAAGAAAAAAGATTGAAAATAGTGATAGTAATAATGAAAAAGGAATAAAGGATTTAGCTTCAGTCAAAAGTATAAAATTGTAGGAAAGGATTTGATCTACATTCTGTGCAACAAGCGCAGCTAAGATCCTCAAAAGCCTTACTTCAAGAATAGATGTGCTTCCTTGTCGGCCAAGAGTACCAAGAATCAATCCAAATCGCTTCGCTTTCTTGGCTGTCTCAATCGCGTGTTTCCTCAACGAATGCATATCCGCATGGTCATATCTTTCTCGTGTAAACTTCTTGTCATAGGGATCATATCTGAATGCTGGCAAGTCTGGATTATGGATCATGATCGACTCTAGATGGAACCGTCCATCGCCCAGGAAGATCAATGCATCCTCACCTTCCGGTAACCGTGGAGCTGTGCAGCCCAAGATCTCGGCTGGAGATAAAGGTTTGGCTTGAGGAACATTGAGAATATAATCGACTTCCAGTTCACGGCGAGCAGCCTGGATCGCCTGCACAAATTGAATGACGCCAACGAGCACTAATTTCGATTGTGGTTGAAAGTTCTTACGGACTGTAGCGATAAAGTGCTGGACATCAATCCCAATGTCAACAAAAACGTATAGTGTTTTGATAGTGGTTACATCGACCGGAACTGTAATGTAATGTTGTATTTTTTTTGTTAAATTTTGTTTTGAGTCCATGAATATATACAATTTACATTAGTATCATTTTTTGAGAACCATTATAGTTCATCCTTTTCAACAAAAACTGCTCAGACAAAAAAAAAAAAAAAACAAAAAAAACAAAGAACGCATACCAAGGCAGCTGTGACCATAATGAACCATGAAATCACATCCCAAAGCTACAGCTGTAAAGTCGTCGATGCAGCACGCCCCATAAGTGACATCTCCCATCACCAAAGTTTCGACTTGACAGAACTTTTCCAAGATATCTGCGATTGTACAGGCAAAGATCAACAAGCCTTCTGGAAACTGCAGAGCCACTGTTTTTGAAATAGCAAAAAAAAAAAAAAAAAAAAAAAAAAAAAAGATAAATTTAGTTACCATTTATGTTCTGCGCAGTGAATGATATTTGTTATTGATCATAACCATGTTCGCTCAAAGATTTTTACCTTTCTTAGCTCCAGCTTTACGTACACTCCATACAGTCTTATGGATTTCAAAACCATAGTTGGATGGGAGTTGCTCAATCGCAAGGTTGAGCTTTGTATCGTTCAAAATCTCATCCGGAACTTGGTTAGCAACTCGGGATCTACTAGATCCTGCACTCTTTGATGCTATTGTTCAATAAATGGGTTGCCAATGAATGTGTCATTATTATTGAATATTATCAGCAGTCTACAGATTGCGGTGGTAGCCTAGCTCCTGTAGAAGGACGATTTTCCGGCCCTTACCATCTCTAATTGCCACAACGGAATCTTCAATAGTTAGGTCGGAGGAATCGTTTGCTGCTTGCTGCTGCTGTTGCTGTTTTCTAGCCTTGCCAACAAAGCGTTTTTTGGGCTTTCCAGAGGGGGTGAGTTCTAGGGCCTCTACTACTTCGGAGGGCGCGGGTTCTGCTGAGGCTTCGATAGGTTGTGTTTTCACTGAATCCATGGTATTCCTGGCAAGTGTAAAGTTGGTTTCTCAATAATTGGTCTTGGGGATGTTCTTTTTTATAAAAAAAAAAAAAAAACTTGTCAAGCAGGGGCAGTCACTCAAGCCACTTTCATAACATCATTTTTTTTTTTTTTTTTTTTTTTAAAGGCATTCAACCATTAAAGTCATTGACTTCATTTAAAGACCACCCGTCCATTGGCTTCATCGTGCTCCCACACTCTCACTAAACGAACAACATAGCATATAAGCAACAGTCAATATGAGGTTAGATGTCAAAGTACTTCGGTATATGTCTCCTGAGGACTTTCGAGTCCTTACCGCAGTAGGTCAACACAGTTCCTCTCTCCCTTTATTTCATAGGCAATAGCAGAATTGAAATACCAATATATACATTTTTCTTCTAATGCTTAGACCCACATCTCTCTCTCTCTCTCTTTTTTTTTTTTTTTTTTTTTTTTTGGTCCTCTATGAATTGAATTGATAGACGGAGATGGGTTCCAAGAATCATGAGGTCGTTCCTTCCGCTATGATCTCCCAGATTGCTAGACTTCGTCATGGAGGGGTACACAAGATTTTGAGTGAGCTTGCAAGACGGAACTTGATCGCCAAGGCTCAGCATATCAAATGTAAAACCCTTACGAACAAAAGGCAATATTAAAGTTTAATATGAGGACAAGATACTTAGTATTGTCTATAAATTTTTTTCTTTTTTCTTAAAAACAATCCTACAGACGATGGATATCGACTGACATATGGAGGATACGACTACTTGGCGCTCAGGACATTCTGCCAGAGAAACAGTGTTTATTCGGTCGGAAATCGGATTGGTGTCGGAAAGGAATCAGATATTTATATTGTCGCCAATGAAGAGGAGCGTCAGATGGTTCTCAAGATCCAGAGGTGAGTGAGAGGAAGCGCTCATATGATTAAATTAGGCGAATGCACCTTAGAAGGGCCCATATAGCTGCACTACATCCATTTAAAACATTCGATGATCCTCACAGACCATTTCTTCTCGTACAACCCTTTTTTGGATAAACTAGATTGGGACGAGTGAGTTTCAGGACAATCAAGTCAAAGAGAGATTACTTGAAAAATCGTAAATCAGCATCGTGGATGTACATGTCCAAGTTGGCAGCAGAGAAGGAGTACGCTTTTATGAAGGTTCTGCACGAGCATGGATTCCCTGTTCCTGAGCCCATCGACCAGAATCGTCATTGTATTGTTATGGAACTCATTGACGCTTTCCCTCTTCGACAGATCAACGAAGTTGCAGATCCTGGAAAGTTATACTCGAATCTCATGAACCTGATCGTGAAATTGGCGAGTTACGGATTGATTCACGGAGATTTTAACGAGTTCAATATTTTGATTCGTGAGAACGGAGAAGCTGTGCTGATTGATTTCCCTCAGATGGTGTCAATCGATCACCCCAACGCAGAGTATTATTTCAATCGTGATGTCGAGTGTATCCGTGTCTTCTTCAAGAGACGTTTCCAATATGAGAGTCTACTATACCCAAAGTTCAAACTGGATACGGAGAGACAGTTTTCATTGGATGTTCAGGTTGCAGCGTCTGGGTTCACAAAGGAGAAACAGCAGGAGCTTGAGAGGTTCCAAGAGGAAGAAGGACAGTTGGCACAGGAGTTGGGAGAAGATGCATATAATCGCTCAGATGATGAGCTCGAAGACGAAGATGGAGATGGAGAAGCATTGGAGGAGGAGTCAGATGATGATTCTGAGGAAGAAGAGGAAGAAGAGGAAGAAGAGGAAGAAGAAGGAACGCAGCCTGATGAACAGAAACCACAGGAAGTGCCGGTCTCGATTGGGAAATTGTCACTAGCCAACCTTTCACAACATGATCAACAGTCTGTCCCTGATTCCCAAAATAACAGCAACCCCAATAGTGAGGATGAGAATGACGAAGATGAAGAAAATGACTCTGTGGGATCATTGGATGAACCTATCAACAACCGTGCATTCAAGGCTTACCGCGATGTGAAGCCCAAGGTTGCAGGATCAGTTGCAGGATCAACACGTAGCAAAATGACCAAATCATCTGGCCCAATATCTGCGGAGGAGATCAAGGCTCGTGTGGCCAAGAATTTGAGGTCAAGCTCGAAAATCAGCTTTTCTGCCAAACAAAACCATACAAAGGGTACAGACAAGCGTGACAGAAGAAATAAGGCGGGCGAAAGGGCACATATTAAATATGGCTCTGAATATTAAAAAAAAAAATAAAAAAATAAAAAAAGCATTCGAGACATACTTTAATTGCTTATCAACATTTATTGCTACTTCATCTCTATTTATTGTATTAAACACTACTCTTGATCATGTTCGTATCCTATACATTCTAGTTGTATTTTTTTGTAAATTTTCAAATAAATATGAAGGCCCATATTACTCATGATCCATTCTGTCTGGAAAACAATAGAGTCTAGAATCAGGGGGGATGATTGTAAGTACAATGCAACAATGAGGGTCAGGGAACTGTATATCAAAAGTACCCTGGTATTTCCTATAGCATACCTGATCTAGTGCTTTTAGCCTAAGCAACACACACACACACATATATATATATATATATATTAAATAGAAGTAAAGTAAAATAAAAAATATAGAAAACTGGGGTGTGAAATAATGTGATCTACATGTATTTATTTACAAATAATGGGGTCACTAAACATTCGAACCTAATAGAGCTCCTTTCATGGCCATTTTTGGTCAAGTCGCTTTAAATGTTTTGGCTTGGAAATGCATGCACTGATCTACTAATGTCTCAAAAAATTTTGCCCGCACCTCTTGAGGCCAAGAGATCGCCATAGTGAAGCCGAGACAGTGGATTGTTATGAGAGCTTCATTCGCCATTTCCTATAAAAGATGGCCAAGCGCTCACTTTATTTCTTATCCTCACGATACTCAACAGCAAAAAAAAAAAAAAAAAAAAAAACATTTATATACTCTTTCGTTTATACATCATTACTATCCAACCAAACCGAACCATACTATACTATACTATATCAAACAATCTCAGTCCGACAAAAAAGTTTTTTCTATCATTCTGACTATCCTCAACTCTCCTTATTCTTTCTATCGGCTGTTCAACTTGCCATTAATCTTTCACAAAAAGACTTTGTCATGTTCTCTTTTTCAATCGCAACTTTTATTCACTTAGGAGAGAAACAGGTGTCCTAATCATTATAAATGCATTAAGATGGGTTCCCCGTTTTTTTATGCGAGTCTCTTATTTAGTCCACATACTCCTTCGATCCATAAATATCTAAGTGAAAAAAACAAATATCAGTCCTCTTAGTATTTTTATTGTCACGTATTTCGTGATCAATTGGCTCGAATGTCTCGACTCTCAGCCCTTGTTTTGTTGCTAAGATGTTGAATTCGTAGGCTTAAAATGACTTGTTTTTGTGTGTGTGTGTGTATGCTTTCGTTTCTTGAGCCAGGCTCAGCATTGATTGCTTTGAGTGCCCTGGAATTCCATAGGATTAACCTTCATGTGTATTAGCATTTGCATAAAAGTTACTGAGGGCGGCGGCAATGTATTCGGGGCTCCATTGTCTTTTGAACATGTCTAGGTGAAACAAGTACTCCTACCGAGTACGCAAAAACAATGTCATAAAGCGATAACGATCAAAGTCCTGTTTGTAAAGAATGATCGGCCTATACATTGTTATTGTCGGTGAATACTTTTTTTTTTTTTTGTCCCAAGGCGATATTAATAACTGAATGTTATTACAGTTACGCTCCACATGCCAGGAACTGAAAAACAATGCTTCATCGACTTTGATTGGTGTCAGTAGAAAAACTAAACGTTGATAGTTGTAGGTTAGTGATTACAACTAAAATATTCTTTATAATAGAATTTAAAGAAACGGTTATTACCGCTGGTTGTAACATTGTTTTTTCTTTCGTATTTTTTAAATAATCACTGACAAACTGCCCCTGACCTAGCCAACTATGTTAAACAAAATGTGATCTTCAAGCAATAAGCCTAGGTTGAGTGAGCTACAGACCAAGTTATGATACAAACATCTATCACTTGTCATGCACCATATTGTATTCCCTACAGAGGAAACCATATCGACAATTCGGCGCTCGGACAGAATCATTCCGCCTCATCTACACTTGTTAGGTCTCTCTTTTTCTCTCTCTCTCTTTTTCAAAAAAAATCTTTATAAAAGAGCGCATCACATTCCTTTACTTTTCATCCTCAAAAACACTTAAAGCAGCCAAATACTACTACAGCCCTAAACCGAAATCTCACTGTCCCTACCCCTTATAACCTAACCACAATATATCGAAGTCGCTGACCTACCATGAAGATCTCCACCGCTCTTGTTATCTTTGCTCTTGCGTCCTCAGCCATGTCCGCCTCTATCCGCACTGCTCCGGCCGAGATTGAGGTCCTTGAGAAAAGAGGATGCGCATGCACGCGTTACGAATGTAGAGGCGTTCCACGCTCAGCAAAGCATATATGCCAAAGCCGTGCCAACAGAGAATATATGACCTGTATTAATAAGTGTCGCAAGGCCCCTTAGCCTCATTATCAGCGCGAGAGGATGATAACTTTACTTTTCTGCCTTTGGAGCGCGTCCATTCTTTGTTTAAATCGCCTTTGATCTAGTCCATTCTCGCCCTAATCCGTTCATGTTGATATACCTAATAAATAATATTTAACCGTATTCGTGAGATGTCAACTGTGTTATCGGAATCTAGTAGCTGGCGGATAAAATTATGGCGAAAAATAAAAGAACCAAGTCAATAAAAGACAACATGAACGGTATCTATGACAGTAATGTACACTAACACGCAAAAATGAGCCAATACCATCCATCAGCTAGGCATTCTTTATGTAGACATTGATCATACGTGCTACAAGTAAAGCCCCCACCTCCATTTACGTGTTTGTTGCATATAGTTCTTTTCAGCTTGACTCCTTATTAGCAACTTTTTTTTTTTTTTTTTTTATTTCAAGCTAGTCATGGACTCATTTTTTAGAGGCGAAAATCGAATCAATCCTTTGCTTTATCTTTCATTTAGATCGCTTATATCGAAGCTGATACTCTTCAGACACCATGATACTAGTTTTGTAGAGCAAGCTTTATCCCTAAGGCGCTTAAAATCATATGGAATTCTTGATTTTAACATTGGATAGCGACCAGCAGTGGTCCATTTTTATGATTTAAGTATTAGCCTTTGTAGGAGATACGGTGTGTGACCATATAGTACCAAGTTAATAGATAAAAGCTGAATCCATGGCTAGCTAGAAATAAAAAGAAAAAGAAAAGTAAAATTAAAAGTTAATTCAATAAGGAATCTAGCTGAAATACCCATACACAATAGTCGCGTAGGTAGGATTGGGAGCTTTATTTGTATCAACTTCGATCAGTGCCTACATAGATGATTCCTAAGATATAAGAGATATAAGAGAAAAGCTAATCGATAGGTGATCTAGACTCATTTTTGTGTGCTAATGTGTATATTAATAAGTTGAGGAAGACGACGAATGAAGGAGGTTAGAGCACCATTTGACTATGTTTAATAAAACGACTTGATTATGAGTCTTAGGTAAAATAAACCTCCGAGACCCAATGCACAATCATCAAGTAGAAGGAAAGAAGTCTTGTTTTTCATCATTTCATTACTTTAAATAAAAAATAGTTGTTTTAATGATGGGTATAAGTCTATATATATACATTAAGATGATGAAGCTACTGTTAGGGAAGGATATATACTCAAGATTCACCACATTCCGCGATTGAGTGAAGTATCGGATTTGTTGGTGTATTTAGTTTGATATTCGACATCATCGGATTTGTTGTTGTATTTGGTTTGGTGCTCATCATCATTGGATGCCGCATTCGAAAACTCGTCAAGCTGCATAGAGTAAACTTTGGACCATCGAATCATTTGGGCGTAGCTGTTGTATTTGTCTGCCAGGTGAATCGACATGACTTTGTAGAGCGAGCCAGTGTATCGTGGATCCAAGAAATACTGGGTAGAGACATAAAATATAGCACAGACTACCATAGTACACAAAGCTCCGATCGCCAACCAATCAGGAATATCGAAGCCTTTTTCGTACTCTGAAGAATCGTACAGAACTAAAAGTTGTCGCTGAGCAAAATCGACGAAAAAGTTCTGCCCCAATGATGCCACATAATCAGCTACTGATTTCGTTGCATCCTTCGCGCCAGCGATGGAAAGATGCTTTGGTTCCTTATACGTGATTGTCGGAAGATGCTGAATGGCCATTACCGAACTATATCCCACTGGCTTTGGCCATGGAGCATTTCCACGTGCAGCTGCAATAATTTTATCGGGCTTTTGGGCCTTGGTGATGATGTATTTGAAATTGATATACATACATGCCAGGTTGGTCGAATTTGTCTCAGTGTTCCAATTTGAGAAACAGCCTGATGCATCCAGAGATGAGTCGCCAGCCCTGAGCTCGACAAGTAAGGTCGAATTCTTTGTGAATGACTCCTTCATGACAGTTGTTTCCATTGCTTTAACTAGCTCATTTTCCTCGTGAAAGAGGGTGGAAGTTGTGATGTTAATAAGTTGGGGGTCCGCCACGAAAAAACGTATTGCTGTTGATGATATCACAATTATTTCGCCAGTCGGAAGGATACACTTGGTAGCTTGAGTTACCGGTAAAGAGGAAATTCCATCCGCAAGCATATCTGAGTTCGTGTACGCTTCCAACAACCCACATTCCTCTCCAAAGATGGTCATTGATGTAGTTGAGATCATTTCTGTAAAAAAAATGGGAGATTGCCCAAGTACAGAAATGCTTATTCGGCTACTGGACTCGCGTATGACGGTCATCTTTGAATAGTCTCTTACAACTATTCCATCCATAGTAAAGTTGGCTGTGGCGCAGCTATCTTGATGTGTATTCAATATGACATCACCATCCCACATCTGAAACGCGATTTTATCGCATCCAATCTCGTATTTGGTAGTCCTTGGGGTGTAGACGAGCCCAGGCACATAGCCAGGGATATTTGCTGTATCGTTTATCATATGCTTTATGGCATCCACAATGTCTGAGCGGCCACGGGTTGCTGTATTCCAGCCACTGAGTATGTACTGACCAGAATTAACCACGTATTGAGTAGTTTTAACGATTATAAATGTTGTTCGACTTGGTGCCTCTGATGGTTCGATGAAGTAGATGGCTCCAATATCGGAAAGACTTGCAATAATACTCACAACTATCGTTATAATGAGTATGAGCTTTGTTGAACGAGGAATACTGTTGCGAGAGTTGACAAGTGTGTTATACATTTCAAAGTATCCGCCTTGGCGAACCCAACGAATGCTGTTGGCGTATTCATCGCCATATTTGGAATAAATGGCGAGGATGGCACCAACGGCACTGACAAGTAAGGCTTGGAATAAGGCCAAGATGATGTTGAGCCCGAGAAATGACCAAGCCACGAACATGATAAAGAAAGTTTCGGGGTGAAGGAAAGTGAATATGTCGTCAATGGTGAGAGGGTCAGGGTTAAGGTAAATAACGTATGATGAAAATGTACAGAGTGAGTGTAAAGCAATTTGTTTTAAGAGGAGAAGAAATTAAAATACGGGTGTTATGGATGTCGTAGCGACTATTAGATATTTACAACTAGAGGAATTCTAGAAAAGAGGGGAGAGAAACGAGTGAGGAAAATGATAGAGGAAAACGAGGGTGAGGAAAGAAGGATGGGGATCTATCTTAAACCTCGCTAGTTTATATATGCCATAGAATCTTAAGTTTGAATGACCAAGTGATTGCGCATACAGTTGACACAGCAGTGGCGGGTTAATTGCAATTTTGATTTGTTTGTTTGTACCCCTGACAGATTCTAAAACTCAAACCTTAAAAAGATGAAACAAGCAGTGTTGGTGGCGAGAATGTGGCTTTGAATATAAACTTCTTCCGAGAATCTGATTCAAAATTAGCAAACTGATCGACTTGTCCGGTTACTCTGTACTAATCAAGAACATGTTTGCCATTCGACCTTCTCTCAGGACTGCAACGGTGAAGTTACCCTTCGCTAGGCCATTCATCACTACAGGGGCCTCAGCTTCAAGACCATTGTTGAGAAATGTTATGACTATTCCGGTCAAGGCACAGACGCCTCATGCAGGAATACTTTTATCAAAAGCGCAGCTTTGGAGAACAGCTACTACAAGTTCACAGTTCCTTCGTCGTTGCTATGTCACAGAGGCTTCTCAGGAGGAACTAGCCACCCCATCATTGACTGTTGAAGACATGATGCCTGTAGAAAATATCCGCAACATTGCTATCATTGGTAAGATTAAAGTAATAGCCTTGAGTATCTTGTCTCTTTTATAAATATGTGTGCTGATGGGACTTATTCGCTTAGCTCATGTCGACCATGGAAAGACTTCGCTTGTCGACAAATTGTTAGCACAGTCAGGAGAAGCACTTGGATCAACCCGTGTCATGGATTCCAACACACTTGAGAAAGAAAGAGGTATTACCATCCTCTCTAAAGTCACATCTGTTGTCTATAATACTGCAGACGGCAGGCCTATCAAGATCAACATTGTCGGTATGTTATGTTGCTATTGAACATATGGGCTGGTTTCTATTAAGCAAAGACGCTTTTTCGAATGTCGATTTTGGTTTACTTACAATTTACCCCGATAATGTAGATACGCCCGGACATGCTGACTTTGGCGGCGAAGTAGAACGCATTCTGTCAATGGTTGATGGCGTTGCGTTGATTGTTGGTAAGTATCTATGAAGATATAAAGCTTTAAGTGTTTCTATTGCCAAATCTAATATTGAATCTTAATCAAAGATGCTAGTGAGGGGCCAATGACGCAGACTAAGTTTGTCCTGAATAAGGCCTTGTCAACTGGCCTTCGTCCGCTTGTCGTCCTCAATAAAGTTGATCGCCCAACCTCGCGCGTAGACGAAGTCGACGGATTACTGCTGGATTTGTTTAGCTCACTGGGTGCTTCTGACGAGCAAATGGATTACCCTATTGTGTATGCTTCCGCAAAGGAAGGCTGGGCCACACGCGGCATGAATGAGGCCCGTGAAAGCATGAGGCCTCTGTTGGATTTGATCGTCGATCACGTTCCTGCACCAAAGGTTGACCGTTCTGATACTTTTAAGATGCTTGTCACCCAAATCGACAGCAATCCTTACCTTGGAAAGTGCTTCCTCGGGAAGATCACTGGAGGCACTATCAAGATTGGTGATAAGATGCAAGCCTTGGATCGCGAAGGAAAACAGACTGAATCTGGACGTTGTACCAAGATCTTTGTTCGTCGTGGATTGGAGATGATCCCTGTGAACGAGGCTGGTGCGGGTGACATTGTTACACTTACAGGAGTCGCTAATGCAACAGTCAACTCGACTCTCTGTGACCTTAGTGTCACTGAGCCACTTCCTGTAAGATCTTGCTACGATTTCTTTTTTGAGAACAATCGCATTTGGTGCCTGCTAACCTTTAATTTTTTATACACTTAATTATAGTCCAATCCTATCGATCCTCCCACCATTGTCATGAAGTTTTCTGTCAATGATTCGCCCTACGCTGGAGAGGAAGGCAAGAGTTTGACTTCCAACATGATCCGCGATCGTCTGATGAAGGAAGCAGAGACTAATGTCGCTCTCCAGGTTGTGGAGTCAGAAAACAAAGAAGCCTTTGAGGTCCGTGGACGTGGAGAGTTGCAGCTTGGAGTTTTGATCGAAACTATGCGTCGCGAAGGATTCGAACTCAGCGTGTCGCCTCCTCGTGTTGTGTACAAAGAAGAGAATGGAGAGCGTCTGGAGCCGATCGAAGAAGTCACTATTGATGTTGGTAATCAGTACACTGGAACTATCATTGAGAAGCTAAGTAAACGCAAGGCTGAGCTCAAGAGCTTCGAGGAAAACGGAGACAAGACTCGTATTATCTTTGAGTGCCCGACTCGTGGATTATTGGGATATGCTTCAGAATTTAAGAATGACACGAGTGGAGATGGGACATTGAACCATACTTTCTTGGGCTATATGCCCTATAAAGGCGGCCTTGAAAGATCTCGCAAAGGAAGTTTAGTCGCCATGGGAACTGTTGGAGCAGCTACCTCCTATGCTCTTAATTTGATCGAACCTCGCGGTAAGCTGTTCATTCGTCCGGGCGACAAGGTTTACGCTGGTATGGTCATTGGAGAGTCTTCCCGTGCTGGCGATCTGGAAGTGAACCCTACCCGCGCAAAACAGGTGACAAACATCCGCACAGTTGCCAAAGATGACAATATCATCCTGCGCCCACCGGTTGAAATGAGTTTGGAGTCGATGATTTCCTATCTTGCAGCAGATGAGGTTCTCGAGGTGACTCAGTCCTCCCTGAGGATTAGGAAGCGTGAATTGGATGCCAATAGGCGTCGTCAAAACCAACGCGCAGGAAGAGAATGAAGGCATAATACCTTTACCCGTCCCCACCACCCACCCACCCATGCAGTTATTTTTATGCACCGTGCTTTTTGCACCACATCCGCACATCAGTATTTTGACACCATTTGTAGACTAGACTAGACATATTTTTATTTTTCAGAGACACATAAAAACATAGAATAGAACAACCGCAGCCACTTTTGATTCCAGGCAAAGTAAGAGAGTTCTCTTTGCCTTCTTTATTGCAAACGGAAAATATACTAAGAATGTATAGTCATATTGAAGGATAGATATATAGATATTTACAGTTATGGATTTTTTTAATCGCGCCGTTGGTTGTACTTGCCGCAATAAACCGGTTTGCCTCTTGATGTGTATTCATAGTTGGGGTCAAAAACCAGGCCTGTAGGCAAGACAACCTGACGGTAGTAGTTGCTGCATTGATATCCCACGCGGTGTGGAATGTGGCTGGCAAACAGACCCCATTTATCACCACATCCAAATTCCTTTACTACCTTGAGAAACAACTCTCCTTCTTCTGTTGTCCAATCTCCTGTCCATTGCTCCTATCGTATTTGAATGTCAAACGGAACAAAATAAAATAAGAAGACTGATTTGGCATGCAACAATTTAATAATAGTTCATGAGCGATATGGACGTCTGCATACTTGGCCTGGTTCGTTATGTCGATAGAAAAACGCATTAGGGTTTTTCTTGAACATGGCCTTTGCAACCATCTTGGCGTCATGTTTTGGTTTCTTTGATGATTTAGATTTGGCACCTCCTGTACTATCACCTAGCCCTTGTAGGTCTTTGAATGAAAATGCACCTCCGCCATTTGCTTCCCATGCTTCCTGCGCAGATTTTTCAAAGCCATATCTCTTCATGACGCCTTCATTCAACCAGCCCTTGTAATGGCCATCGACACGAATGGCTTTCTTTCTTGTCTCCTCATCAAAAAATAAATCTCCTGACATAAGATTAGCTGCATCTTCTTCGTTATCGCTAGCATCATCTTCATTACGGTGCTCTGTCTTGATATTAGTTTTTTTGACAGCTGGTGATTCCTCGCGATGCACATTGTCGTCTTCCCCAACCTCAATACTTTTCACGGGGAGTCCACGCAATCTGTTTGAAGTTCTGACTGATTGTACAACTTTGGGAACTATAGTATTCGGTATAGCAAAGAAAAATAAATTGTCAGATACAGAGCCGTTGTCTCAGCACATTGTGTTGTATTTATATGTACCTGACTTCACACGCTGCTTCCGTATTCTATTCAAGATAACATGATATTAGTATTACCAAGAATTCGCTTAAATAAAATAAGGCTGCTATACTACGCACATTCAGTACCTTATAGAAGCAGTTATTGGCTTTTCTTGGTCACTAAGACTTGTGTCATTCTTGTCTTCGATAGAAACTGTCATTATAGCTGTCGTGACTGTAGGTAATTCCAAGAACTGGAGCATCTCCTGGTTCCTCTTGATATTCTCCAGTCGTTGTTTTTCTGAAGCCTAGCATTAGTCTTCCGAGTTATCATTGATCTCGTAGTAATGGATACGATTAAAAGGACTCACCATATTCTGACATCTCTGGCTCGTGTCGACGCCTAGAAGAGCCCCGTTTGATGTGCTCAGACAAGTCTACTTTATTCTTCTTTCCATGAGTCGCGTAGTCATCATCAGAGTCGCGATCACTGCTTTCACTTTCCGATTCCTCAACCTCATCATTGCATTCATTCAGCGGTACAATTCGCGTTGATCGTGAACGCTTGCGTTTTTTGGCGCCCGCAAAATTCTCCTTGTCGGACTCAGCGCTACTAGGCGCAAGCTTAGTTCCCTGGGTCTGCTTCGGAATTGTGTCATCATTAAGAGGAGGTTCATTCTCTTTTTCAATGTCCTTACTGCTGCCTCTCTCATCTTTTATGCTCTTCTTATTCTTTCCTTTATTGTCTTGTCCCTGTATGGCTTTTGATCCGGTGAGAAGCGTATCCGTGGCCGAGGATTCTCGAGCAGTACTCAATGTATTGGCCATGATCAAGGTAGGAATGCGGATTATGAATATAGTGAATCAACGCGTGAGGACGGAAAATTAAAGCTGCTCTTGATGTCTGGCAAATCAAAATTTAAGGAAAACCTATTGTCATCTCTAACCTTAATCCTATCACAGCAATGCAGCATCCTTGATGAGAGTTTGCGCCAACAATCATCCATGGCCCCATGGTCTGAATGCAAACAATGACATAAATGATACTCCTGTATAGACTATCAACTAATAATCCTGAAACACTTCAACAAATCTTGGTAACCAGAGCTTCTAACAATTGATGCCACTGCTGTGCTGTTTGCGTTTCAGGGGTTCCGCCTCAGTCGATTAAATTAGGGTAAGATGCAGTGCTCTCTGATTTTTAAGTCAGGCAAACATTTAGGTTTTTGTTTGTGCCGTCATTCCCCTGAATTCAAATTTGTATGCTACCCCCAGTTTGCGTTTCAGATTCTGGGCAAGGGAAAAAGTAATTGAATATAAAGTATGCTTTTTTTTTTTTTTTTTTTTTACCACGATCCCTCTCACTTTTCTTTCTCTCCCTCTATTTTTTTTTTTACTTGTTCAATTCTTATTCTATCATGGCGTATTATCCCTGGACACTTGTTTTCGTCAATATCATATTGGCCATCACACGGTTCCTTGTAGTTGCCTCTATCGGCGCTGCTATTGCTGTATACTCTAGGCTCCGCGGCGAGCACGCTAACAGTATCCGATGGGTCCGACAAGGAGGATACCTGGAAATGTTCAACTTCCTCATCAACACTCGTAACGACATATCACTACAAGCCAAAACAGCACTTTTATTCACCATTCTCGCCACGCTCGCAGCAGCCATCATGGGAAGAGGAGCAGTACGATTCATTGAGCCTACAACCAGAGCAACAAATCCATCCTCCGCTATTGTAAACACCAAACAGTACTTGCCACTTGGAGAGAGTATGTTCAGTGGATGGTCAAAGTCTATCCGTAATATCTCTACCGCTGTGGACACCGTAGTAGCAATGATAGGCGACACTAAACTTATCCCAGATGCTGTTGAAGGGCGGATATATACCCCAAAACTATCGCCATATGAAAGCGGATGTGACAAGCTAGATATTTACGCAATGTTAGACGATTCTAGGGCTCTTTTGGAAAACAATGGTTGTGCAAAGACTACACTCAGCATCCGCGGCGCCCCAATAGTCTTTAATACAAAAACCATGCGCAAAAAGAAGAGGTCTGACAGTCGATGGAGCGTCTCTGTAAAATCTGAATCCTTTAATTTTTACAATGATTTGGTCATGAACATTGCCGTGGATCGCGATGGAGAGGTTTGCACTTTGCCTAACACCTTCAGAAGTGTAACTCTTGAACCCACTAATGGATTAACCATTTTACCGATGACTTCGATAAAAAAATGCGTTTTTCCTTCTGGAAGAGTCACTACAATCACCGTTTCCGATATGAACTTTGTGATTACCCCGTCAAATTTCTTTAACGAAACTTCGAAAGAAATATTTGATGATTACGATGAACTTTTTCAAGCTATGGAGCCGGTCATTCAGAATGCAACTGCAGGTCCAGGAAACATCACTAGTGTATTCAGTGAGATGAGGATTCAAGGCACCTCCATCAATGTTTTGACATGTGCCCCAACCCGCTACTTGCCTTGGGAACTCATAGATGACTTCAATGGCGACTACACCAATCCCAACTTCAAAGATATCACATTGTGTTTGTACGTAGTCGCTGAGATAAATATGTTGAAGGAAAAAAGAATCGATCCTCAAATAATATCTGAGTTTGGGGGCGTCTTGCCAGAAATGAAAGACGAGAGCATCTCAATGCAAATCACCTACCTTAGATCAGCAGGCCAAGCGCAATTCTCAATCTCCAGCATCAGAAACGCTACGGCTGCGATATCCCAGTACTTTGCGGAATTAGGATACAACTTTTTAGCTGATCTCACTAAGAGCCGCTTAATTGTGTTATATGACACAATCGACATCGAGCATGGCCTTGAGATCCCCCAATGGCTTATCATTCTTGTACCCGTCATCGCTTCCTGCTGTCTTGTTTTTCTGGTGGCCACGGAGTACCTCTTAGACGGACGATATACCAGCTCGCTCTACAAAACAATCGCGCTTCCGATGCAACACTATTTGAACAACTTTGCGCCAATGCTGATGCGGTCGAAGGTCAACCCTGTGGAGTTTGAAGGTGTTCCTGTCATTCCCACAGAGCCTAGTTCTAATGTGGATACAAAACATAGTTCAAAAGTTATAGCTAATTGTGCCTCTTCCACGATCAATAATCCCAAATCCTAGTCACGATATTGTTAACTGTAATAAAAACTCGCGTTTATAAAATATACAGTCAGGTAGATACATAAACCTCTTGTAAGACTGAGCATTGAAGGTATTAGAAAGCTTCAAATCGCACCCATTTATTAAACTTCTTCTCTTTCAGAGAAATTAAATGGGAGGACTGGGATACCTTATACCCCGTCTGTTCTATGTAAGGTTATAAATCACCAACTTAGGAAAGCTCACATAGCAGCTCTGGGCTCTGGAACAGCTTTCGTTGAAGCGTTGGATTTAGCATTTAAATCCCGTTCTTTCAATCCTTCTAATAAAGGGCATTTATCAATTCTAAATGTCATGCTACATGCAAGGGACTTTGAAATCAGCGGTAAATCTTACCGTTCCTCATTTTAATAGATCTTAAAGGCCGATGCGCGGCTATAAGGGACGTGTATTTTCCTTAGCATAGGGATCTTGATGACATCGACTAAGTACTGTGACCAGTAGGGCACTCACGCCTATTCTTGAAAACATTGACACCGACCCCAGTGACATGGGCAAACATAACTGAGGTTGGTAATGTGGACTTTACTTCATGACTCGATGGATGTCGAGAACTGTCATTGCTTGCTTGTATGCTCACCAATGCTGTCTATTGTTTTCGTTATTTGGTTGCTTTAGTTTCCGGTAGTTATCGAAAACATTTTCGGTGAACAATATATTATTGTCAATATGCAGTCCAAAGTCATTTCTTCGGAAGAGTTCGAGGTATTCTTGTTACTCCTGACAGGCCTAATCTCAGATATTTTGCCACGATGATTTCAGTGTATTCCTTTAGTGTACTGCGTAGATCATCTCTCAACTTTACCGCAGAAATCAAATTACTAATATTTTTCATAAAATACAGATAGAGTTGCCCTTGATATGCTCTCGATTTCTTCCATTGTCGCTCTGTCGGCTACAGTGCACAGGAAGTTGAATAGCAGATAATAGATATAATGAACTGATACACAGATTTGAATTACATGTGTTTATTAAATTATAAGACTATAAGAAATATATTGAGTATAGAGGAACTTTGGAACCAGCAAAGTATAAAGTCTGCACACAATCTCTCTTATTATCGGTAGACTCTTGAGTGGATTTGGTGACTATCCTCTTGCTTAACATCTTGAACTGCAATTGCCTAAGGTTTTGGCTCTCATCATGCATTGTAATCTATATTCGGGTGACAATTTTTGGCAGGTGGGGAGAGAACTGCAGCAAGCCCTTTTCTCAACGAGATTCGTATCGACTGGAGCAGCTTGAATGGACATGACTGAGAGAGCAAGGACGACGAGGGTAGTGAGGGTGATGGAGAACTTCATGTTGGATTGAGACTAGTTGGTCTGGTTTGGGCTGGCCGTTTAGTTTGAGAATTAAGTGAAAAGGGTATAAAGCCTCGATTCAGAAGGGCTTGAATAGGAATAATGTGGATGAATCGGTTGTGGTTTGAAGTGATTGACTGTTGAATGTAGTGTGGATAGAAAGTGGGGTGGGCTATTGTCCTTCTTTTATAGAAAAGTTGAAGACTCTATGCTCCAGTGTCCCCACTATACGGTAATGACCTTGATCTGGTGAGGCGTGAGTAAAAGTTATGACACATTTGCAAGGTCAAAGCATGGAGTACCTAAGACGTTGAGATATTCGAGCGAGAATGGTCGAAATATGAGCTATGATATGGCTGGTTATCGGTGATTTTTTTTTTTTTTTTTTTTTTGGTGCGCTGTCTCAGCTTGGCACCTTGTCTGTGTTTTAAACATTACAACGTGTGGTGCAAAGTGCATACAGACCTGTTTTAGCTTGGGGCCGAGCTTTTGGACTCAAATCGTGCACAGACAGCATTTTTAAAAACATCATGTCTCAAAATAAGGGAAATAATTTATTTTGAGCATCCACGGCATTCAGACACTCGAATGCTTTTACGCATTGACCACGCATTGTCTCACAAGGCACCCCGGTTATTTCTATCCACTCTTGGATGTCATTTGTCCCATTAACACAAAAGAAAGAAAAGAAAAACGGATAAGGGACCCAAAAACTGGGAATAAACTCAACTGCAAATGCTTTTGGCGTGAAATGATCTGGCGCAGTATTGTTAGAGATATTTACTTCCTTAAAAAAAAAAAAAAAAAAAAAAAAAAAAAAAAATGGGACAGACTGTAACTACTGTAAATATGCCTAAACAAATTTATTTTTTCATGGTGCAACTCATTTAGGGCAACATTCTCCTTGCTTTTCTACTGCGGATGATTATGGGTGAATGGGTCTCACACTTCAGGCCGATGAGTCGAGATTTGATGTCTGTGCGCGCATTTTTGTGTCGCACTGTTTCTCAGACCTTGTAGTACATTAAGAATAAAAAAAAAATTGTCTCGGGAAGAGTAATTCACGCTTGTGCGCCTGTTCTCCTTTGCTGGGCAAACATTTGAGGTTGCACTTTCATACAGTGGAATCTCGATAATTGTACACTTTTGTACAAATTTCAAATTTGATATATTTCTAGGCCATTGGTTGGCTAAGAGCCTTACTCTTTTAAAAAAAAGTATTCTAAAAAACCCACACTCAACTGGAGTAGGGGAATCAGCAGAGGATTTTTAGAATAGTTTTTCATGAATTGTGGGCTTCTTAGCCAATCAATGGCCTAGAAATATATCAAATTTGAAATTTGTACAAAAGTGTACAATTATCGAGATTCCACTGTATATAATTTTCCCTTTGAAATCATTCAGCCCGTTTTAGATATTTTATTGATTAGCGTATTCATCTATTATTTTTTTTATTTTTTTATTTTTAGTTTCTGCACTGACCCACCGCTAAGAGCGTTTCGAGTGCAAACCTGATTCTCGGTGAGCCATGTGCATAGAATAGATCCATCAAAGCTATGTTATCAGATAGTCCATAGCATTTAATTAAACAAATAATTCCTTCTCTCCTTAGCATCAATTGAGGTATGTAATATGAAGAGAGACATCTCCTGCAGGGGTAGATTATCGGAAGAAAAATGGTAATCATGACCCATTTAAACGCCAACCTCTTCGGGCGCCACTTCATATTTATTTATGCAAATCCAAGCATTGTGTGCATGCGTCGTAATACAGCTTTGATTGAAGGCTTTAAGCGACTGCACTAAGATAATGATCGCTGCCAATTGACAAAAAAACGCTCCTGGGTTCACCGTCTTTTTTTATTTATTTATTTCTGCATTGTTTGTGTTTTAGCTCCAAGTCTGTGCTGTTTATGCTATTTGTGATAGGGGGGTTAATTTGAGTCGGTCAATGCTTTACTACATCAAGCTAGACCAAACTCCAACGCAGTGTAGACTGAAATCCTAGCAATTTCATTAATTCACGTACAAAAGCCATGTTGCTATCCAAGCCCCTAAAATAGGGACATCTATGGGCTCCTTCCTATGATGTTGATAGCTTCTTTTTTAATTATGAAGTTAATGACAATCACTTGAAAACCGATGGCTGTGTCCCTGAGCACGATGTAGTGAACTGTCTTAGCTAAACTGGTGTCATATAATTGCGAAAATGGCCATTCATGGTATTTGATTATTATTATTATTATTTTCTTTACAAGTCATGTTTGATTATCTAATCAACAGCTATGAATTATATAGACTCAGTTCGTTGAACCAATATCTATGGTTTTTGAGCATCATCGCGCGATTATATTGATGATTCAACAGATACTGTTAAAGATAAAACTTGGTAGGATGGAAATAAGTAATAGAGGAATTTCAAAAATACTACAAGGAATTGTTTATTCATCTGTATGGTTCCTTTTGTCGAGAGGTGTTTATGTTTCCATGTTAGCAAAAAAAAAAGGCCGATGAGAAAGATTGATAAACCATTTTGCAGGCAAAGTATTGTTGGGAGAGTCGTATTTTGAAAGCTTTCGCGAAGTATTATAGATTTTTAAAAAGACAGAAACGACGAGCGAAAAAACAGAAAAAAGAAAAAAAGCATTCTGATTTTTTGACTGTGGGAAGGCCTTGGGAAATTATAATATACAAAACATCGTCAATATGTTCAACACAGTTCCTTGACTGGAAAAAGTAGAGAGATAATTTATCCAACAACCTCAAATGGTATGCTCTCTGTATTTTTTTTCCTCTTCTTCCTGTGTCAAGCTCGTTCGCTTCACCAATTCACAAACAAGGATCGTCCCTAAACGCTTTTGTTCCAATCGTCCTTTCTTTTCTTTTTTTTTTTTTTTTTTTTTTTTTTCCTTGTTTATTATTATTATTTTTTTCTACTCATACGGGTAAAAGCATTACGTCTTTTTTGATACGCCTCTAGTTCACTTCTTTCCCGCATCCTGACAAAGCCATCTTGATGGTTCCCTGAATTTAGTGGTGAGTCTCGCCGTGTTGGTGGTGATGGGCATCAGCCTTGGGTGCGGTAATGTACTCGTATCCGAGATATGCGGCAAATGCAACCGAGGCGATTCCGAGGCCGGGAAACATGGTGCGGATGCGAGCAGAGCGTGTGAAGATGGTGCTGTTGCGCCAGGCGTGATGCTTTGCCCAAGGGTCTTCAAAGTTGGCCATGATTGATTATATTTATGGAAACAAGCCTCAAGACAAGAGAAGAGAGGAGAGAAAGTTGATGTAAAGAATATTAAAATGCTCTTGTTGTGTCAATGCCAATGACTGATCTGGCGACCAAAGGGAAATTCGGAGATCCGAAAAAATTGAGTCAATTGTATCTAAAACTACGTCACCCTGTAACTGTTGTGGCTGGTCATTAATAGTTATATAAATTAATTATAACTATTTTATTTTTACTTTGTATCAACTAATCGGGACATTCTGTCGATCCACAGTTAAAAGAACCTTTGTGCAAAGCCTTAAGCTATCGGTGAGTCCACCTCACCTAGAAAGCACCACAGTCAGGCCTGTAGGCTAAGTTATAAAAGCCAAAGAACTTCTTCCTCAATAAAGTCTTCAGTTTTCCCCATACGTCTTGTTCTTGCTATTATCTTTTCCCCTTTTCACAACAAGCATTTGCCGTCCAGGAACTCAGTTTGTGAGCTAACCTATAAAGCTCCCATCTTTCTCTTTCGGCATCCTATGGCGCTGTTTGTCGTCAAGGTTGTTTGTCTTTATTTGTTGACACTCTTTGTACTGTCCTTTCCTGATTTTGTGTCTATCTTTTTGCCCCTTAAGCAAAGATACACCTACCATTTACAACAAAACTTCGTTGTCGAAGCGGTTACTTTGGCTTCCTTGCTTTCAGTAGGACTCTTCCCCCTGCAAAGGCGCCGCGCCAATATGGCAATGAACACGCGCTGTTGAATGGTGTATCTACAATCCTTAAAAGCAGAATGGCGGTATATGGTGATAATAGCATTCGTTAGTAATGCGACGCTATACGAATCAAAAATAACTATTGCCACTTATCTGGCAGTCTACGAAAAGTGACAGTTCTGCTGCACCGCTGGTAAACTATAAAAACATGCAATACCCTATCACCGATTTGTCCACTCGGAAATGATCGATATCCCAAGAACAATGATAACAAATGCGTGACACAGAAGTGAAGTAGGAGTGTTGTCGCTTTTCTCAGCCCACTTTTTAATCAATGAAAGTGCATGGATTCTGCGACATTCCTTCGCCAGGCATTATCAAGTATGATGAGTCGCTTCAGGTTACGGACCAAACAACCCAAAGACTACAACCAACTTGAACTTTCTAGAAGAAATTAAGCTGAATAGCTTTTCATCCAGTGTAACTCGTATGTACTGTGAGTCCAAGCCGCAACATCTTACGGGCATAATGTCATTTGCCTATTCCCCTAAAGCTGCCAGGGGCTGCTTTACATAGGTTTCTACAGTCTGTTTACAGGCCTCAATAGCGTCTATTGCAACTTGTAAGGCACTGCTCAACCATAGCACCATTCCAGACTGAGTAAGCAACTCTCTCTACGTACTGACGTGTCAAATTAGTTAATATAGCTTCTAGGCGTTATCACTGGTGCCTGCATCATTCTTTGGAGTATCATTTACATATGATCTCTGTACAAGGCCATATCCTCCAAAATGAAGATTCAATATGAGGTTCAGGGGCCAATTTTGGTGTGATTGAAGTTTAAGTTCATAAACTTTGAAGGTTAAAGAGTTGTGCTTCATGTGTAAGTGCATGAACTGTACGCGAGCAGCTGTGCACAACCCCCTGGTCGTAAGGTCAAAAGAATAAATGGTCGATATCGTAAAAGCAAGGGATAACCATTCCTTATTGCCCATTTCCGCAGATACAAATATCATGATGGTTGAGCATATCCCTTTCATAGTCTATGATGAACGAGCCCTGATCTCGATTCCTCAGCTTCAGGATGATACAATGGCTGTGTCTCAATTCAGAGCATGACTGGGACAAGACTTTTTTTACTTATTATGAATCCAACAAGCTCGATGTGGTCTATGATATCTTTGGTCCGAAAAATGGGTTAGAGATCCCAAAATGGCTAATAATCCTCATTCTCGTGGACATGGTGGCCTGCTTCTAACTATGGACCCTAACAAAATGGTTGCTAGATGAGAAATATACCAGCTCAGTTTACAAGACCATTTCTACTGAATTGGCAGTCCACGGTTAGATCTCGGCACTTTGGATCATGCAAATGGACGTCGATTCAATGAAATTTGAAGATACACCAATCGTACTTATACAGGAACAGATGGAAAAGAATAAAAGCAACACCAAAGCTTTAATGATGGTTAATCTCTAGCTTTTTTTATTTGTGTACATATTCTTCTCTCTGCTTTCGTTCATCTAATAGTATATATACATACATGTATAACCCTAATTATAACGAACTGCAGACCCTTGACTTTGCCATGGTCAGCTCTTACAATAAAGTGGCAGGGTAGATTCGCAAGATCAAACTCAAATCCCAATCTAAATGAGAACAAAACAAACAAATCTATTAATTGATGAAAAAAAGCTTTGGTCTATTCTTTTGGCAATCATTTATGCAACCTTTGATGATATCCTTCATGATCTCCATGATTCGATTGCCAATTCGGAGCTTGTTCTTGAATGTAAAATGATCTATCTCTTATACTTTCTCTATGATTTCTTTTCAACGTCAACTTAGATCATAGCTTGTGCCTTTTTATATTTTATTTTAGTTGGAAATGGAGCGTAGGCTGTGCTTCTACTGAAGAACAAATTGAACATTGATAGACTATTCTCTGCAGCATTAATATACCTTTGAGTGCCTTGTCTATATTTTGGACAACGTTGGGGGATTTGGAAGGGATCTAGGTTGGAGAACTGACATAACGTATTAACTCGACTGAGTTATCCTTATAACCCAGCGACTCTTCAATAACCTCGGGCCGCAGAGCTACCCCGAATTTTTTCTCTTTTTTAAGTTCGACGGCTGACAGGTCTCGTCCTTTATCTTTCTTTTTCAAAACAAAGAAAAAAACAAGATCATGGAATAGGAGGCTGTGGATGAGACAGGGAAGGATCGCCGGTACAGGTAATGAACATAAGGCTTTCTTTATTGTCTTCACCTAGTATTAGATGGGCTTGCTCGCTTGCTTCAATAGGCCGGATGAGGAAGCTCTGCCCATTGAAATCTGACTGTTTGTCAAGGATCATCTTGTGGCTAATATGACAGAACCTCTTGCTCTTGTCATAAATAATAATAAACACTGAGGCGTCAAAGCTGTCCGTTTGTCCATTGGTATCGCCAATCTTTATTCCCATTATCCTTTTAGATCCAATATTGTCATGCGAAGAGTAGGAAAGTAGGAGGGTTACACCAAACATAAACTTATTCCTCAGGTACCGAAAGTTCATGACAAAAATAAAGATTTACTTTGGAATAAGTGGTTGTAAACTAGACTGGGCACCAGGGCTGTGTCAATGAACGAAGAGAGCCGCACAGAGGCATGAACAATTGTGTGTAAAAAAATACTCTCTCGGACCAAAAAAAAAGTCTAAATGAAAACTTTGTGTCAAGGCAGGCAGAGAGCTGCATCTTTATTTTTACTTAGCAATGTATAAAAGAGATACAGTTCCCCCAGAACCGCTTTGCCACAGGCAACACACACACTTAAAAATAAAAAAGACAGCTGAATGTTTGGCCCACTCTCGATTTTCACTCTTAACATTACCCTGGCAGTCCTTCAGTTCCTACTGTTCGCCGCAGTAGGGGCCATTCTTGCCATCTATTCACGGTTCGGGGACCAGTATGCCAACAGTATCCGATGGACTCGTCAAGGAGGATACGTAGAGATGATCAGTTCACTTTACGACTCGTTTCATATTGTCCCAAGCCGTACAAAATGCATTATGGTGATCACTATCTTGGCAAGTCTTGTAGCTGGCCTGTTCGATAAAGGCGTGGCTAGTTTTATCTCTCCAGCAGAAAGGCTCATCAAAGGTGATAGTACCTTAGCAATCATCCCGAGTTCATCATTTACAACCCTGAAATTGCCTTCAGCGGCTGGTCTACATCAATCCGATACGGCGAAAATATTACCGAGGCCATGAGCTTGTTAATCAACAGTACTAGGAACATTCCAACAGCTGACGCCAGTAGTGGACGATTATATATTCCGCGATTGACAGAGTATGAAATTGTTTGTGCACAATCCAACGTTCAGTTCCTGGATCATGATGTTGCCTTACCCACTCAAGGAGGATGCTCCAATACATATATCGGCTTTACCACAACTTCGGTTATTTCCTACCATACCACAATCGTTTTGCAGAGATTTCCTAACCGATGGAGTATGGTTATTCCAGGAGGGGAAGAACTGCATGACGCGAGCTTGAGCATCAACTTTGAGAACCGAGGCATACTCTGCGTTCTAGGCGAAATCAACATACCATCTTTCGCTATCTCGAATAAAGCCAAAGTGAATCGTCTTCCCAGGACTATCACAACGAAATGTGTTCATGAGGATGGGGATGTTTCAGTTGTGGCTGCCACAACTGTACATTTTTCTGAAGGGTTTCAGTCAAGGCTTAACAACACAACCACAAGATTTTTCCAGGAAGATGATGAAATTTTTCAGGCCATGGATGAACTTATCAAAAGGACAGTTCCATCAGACACGGACATGGATCGCCCTACAATGTTAGCCAAAGTGAGGATTCGTGGAACTATGCTCGACACTGTGATCTGTGTTTTTTCTATCGTTGTAGGTTTACAATATCCTGTATGTCAATATTCCGTCATCAATTCCTTGGTCGTGAGGCCAAAAGAACAAAGTGTCGATATCAAAAAAGCAAGAGGCAACGAGTCGCTTCCGATATATCCTTTAAAAAAGTTAAATGCCATGATGATTGAACATGTCCCTCCCATAATCCATGGTGAACGGTCCTTAGTCTCGAATTCTCAACTCCAGGATGATACAGTGGCTGCATCTCGACTCATGGCACTGCTGGGACAAAACTTTCATAATGATTTTGAATCCGAGGAATCCGAGAAGCTCTATGTGATCTACGATGTCTTTTATCCAGAAAAAGGACTAGAGATCCCAAAGTGGCTATTGATTGTCATTCTCGTACTCATGGTTGTCTGCTTCTGTTTATGGACCTTGGCAGAGGGGCTTCTGGACAGGAAATACACCAGCTCACTTTACAAGACTATTTCTATTCAATTGTCCCCTTATAATCAAGCGTCTGCGCCTTGGATCATGCGAGTAGATGTCGAACCAATGAAGTTTGAGGATATACCAATCGTATCTATACAGGAGGAGATGGGAAAGAACACAGAGCCCAAAGATACCAATGCCTTATTGATGGATAGTCCCTTGTATATTCAAAAAATGCAAATAAATATACCTAGTCTTAATAATTTATGTGACATGACTGTATGTTTTTGCAATAATAAAGGGAAGTGTAGTTTGCAATTAACTGACAGCAGAGCAGATTTACAATATGATGTGGACTGCAAAGGTAAACAATGCTAACTAGGCCTTTTCTGACGAAGAATAAATTAAATTTTGATATTCTCCGCGCCGCCGAGCCTTGTTGAATGCTAATAGTAAATTTGTTTACACTTTAAACAATGGATTGGAAAAACCAGCATTTGTTTGCTTGGTTTGGCTGCTTGTCCCAAGGTTATCACATGGGTAAAATGGCACAGCCCGTTGTGGCGTCAAAGCTTGTCCTCCTGTCCATTTTAAAATCTAAATTATTTTTTATTTTAACCATTTTCTTTACACCCATAGTCATATCAAGAAGAGAGTGTTAGGCTAAGAAATGCTTTAAAGGGACTCTTCCTTTATTTCTTCTGAATACGAGGCTGAAAAGAGCACATGTATAAATAAATGATGGATGAAATGTTTAATGTCACACATGAATGGACATTCAAACACACAAATATGAATTTATTTATCCCTTAATTCAGGATAAAATAAGGTTTAAGGTTTGATTCGTTATGGAATGTTTGGACTCCATTATGTAAAAAGATGATCATCGTATACTCTCAGTGGCCTGGGAACCAGGGATAGTATCGATAAAAGGAATCTGTAGAATTGTAGGAGGAAGGGAACCGTGTAATGGAATGGGCAACTTTATCAGCATTATGTGTGTGTGAAAAGTGCTGTAGTGAGAGTTTTTTCTGTACCAAAAAAAAAAAAAAAAAAAAAAAAAAAAAAGAAAGCCAAGGCGCAAATGTATTTTTTAAATACCTGTTTGACTTGAATCTTAGAAAGCATGATCGAAACTATTTAGCACAAAATTTAATTAAATAAATGAAGATATTTCTGTTTATGTCTTTTGGCAAAGACGATTGTTATTTCGCACAGTCCTCTCTCCTGTATCTCACTTGTGTCACACACAGACAATCTACATATTCACAAAATAAAAAAAAGGATAGCCAAATGTTCCTTCCGCTCTCGATTTTCACTCTCAACATCACCTTAGCAGTCCTCCAGTTCTTGCTGGTTGCCGCAGTAGGCCTATTCTTCCCATCTATTCACAGGTCGGAGACCAGTATGCCAACAGTATCCGATGGGGTCATCAAGGGGGTTACATGGAGATGATCAGTTCGCTTTACAACTCGCTCTATATTGTCCCCAGCCGTACAAAATGCATCATGGTGATCACTATCTTGGCAAGCCTTGTAGCTGGCCTGCTCGATAAAGGTGTGGCTCGCTTCATCTCTCCAGCAGAAAGACTCATTAAAGGCGACAGCATCTTAGAGATCACACCACAGATTATCACTATCGGCCCTGAAATAACCTTCAGCGGTTGGTCTAAATCAATCCGATACGGTGAAAATGTTACAGAGGCTATGGGCTTGTTGATCAACAGCACTAAGAACATCACAACCGCTGAGGCGAGTAGTAGAAGATTGTATATTCTGCGACAGACAGACTACGACATTGTTTGTGCACAATCCAACGTTCAGTTTACGGTCAAGCAGATGGCCACTCCTCCACTCGGTAGTGAAAAATGCTCTGAAACATCAGTTTACTTGCAGACTGATCTAGAGGCTCCTTCCTACAACATCACAAACGTTGTGCAGGGATCTTCTAATCAATGGAGTGTAGTTATCACAGGAGGGAAAGAACTAGGCGGTACGGCTGTGGGAATCGAATTTAGGAACCAAGGCGTGAGCTGCGGTTTGGGTGGACTCAACATGCCATTTCTTTCTTACTTGCAAAGCAAGATGAATACACTTCCTAGTACCGTCATCAAAAAATGTGTTCATGAGAACGGTGATGTCTTAGTGATGGCTGCCACAGCTGTAAAGTTCTTAGGATTTAATGGATCAATACCTAGTGATTCAATCGAAGAAGTTTTCCAAGGAGCGGACGAGATCTTCCAAGCCATGAATGCACTCATCATCAGGACAGTTACATCTCGAGACAAATATCCTACACTTCTAGCTGAAGTGAGGATCCGTGGACCCATGATTGACATCGTGCTTTGCACTTTTGTAATCTTTTTTCGCTCTCCATTGCCTATATGTCTGTACTCTGTCATCAATCTCTTGGTCGTGAGGCCAAAAGAGCAAATAGTCCATAACGTGAAAGCAAGAAGTAACTGGCGTCCTTTACCCGATCGTTATGGTGGAAATGACATGGTGATTGAGCATTTTCCTCCTATAATTCATGGTGAACGGGCCTTGGCCTCGATCCCTCAGCTTCAGGATGATACAGTGGCTGTGTCTCAATATATGGCGTCGTTGGGGCATAACTTTTATATGGATTTTGATGGCCGAAAGGCCTATGTACTCTATGATGTCTTTACTCCGGAAAAAGGCCTAGAAATCCCAATGTGGTTGTTAGTCTTCATTATCGTGGCCATGGTGGCTTGTTTCTATGTATGGGTCTTGACAGAGTTGCTCCTGGATGGAAAATATACCAGTTCGCTTTACAAGACCATTTCTATCCAATTGACGCCTCATAATCCAGTGTCTGCGCTATGGATTATGCGAGCGGATATACACCCAATGGCGTTTGAGAGCATACGAGTTGTGCCTAAACAGGAAGAGATGGAAATGAACACAGGCAGCACAAAGTCTTTATTGACGAACAGCCCCTAGCTTCCTTATTTGCATCCCCCTTCTGCACTCTGCTCTCGCACATAAAGCGCTTTAGATTCCGAGCAATAACAACAAATAGTAATAATAATAATAAACTTTTAATAATAATAAGCCGCAAACCCGCGTCTTTTTATTATACCATGATCATTGCTTGTCTTGTTAGAAAATTTATTTTTTTTTCACCCTCAGGATACTAGCTTGGGTAATTTCCTAAGACTTTACTTAACGTTAGCATATCAAAAAAATGGGAGTCCTCAACGAGGCCCTAGCATTGAGGGGCTTAATGATAGGGATGCCCTCCCTATCGCATTACAAACGGGCCCAAATTTCCTCTTTCCATATCATTTATATCCTTTCTCTTCCTCCTCCTAAAACTTTTTTTTTCCTTTCTTCCTGTTTCCTCCTTAGAGTGGAGTACCTAGTTGTTTTTTTTTGCGGCGGGAGCCTTTGTATGTCTTCTGCACGTATTGCTTCATTAGAGTTGGGGGAAGTCGATGTCCAGTTTCTTTATGAGTGGCGATACTTGGCGGGAGGTTGGTATTTCGAGGGGATTTACTATTATTATTTTTTGGAGGATCTCCCTATTTTATGTCTATCTGTTTGAAGGACTTGTGCTGCTGTGCCCATACCCTCGTTTCATGCTCGCTCATTATGGATCATAGTTGGTATGAAGGTCATTGAAAGTCCTAAATATCCAATATATATATATATATGACGTATTAGAAAGCGACCTACAACGCTAATATTACAGACGCGATTTTTTTGTTTATTTATTTATTCTATTTATTTTTTATATTTGCATTAAACTATTATAACCACAAGTGATGCTGTAGTTTGTATTCAAGGTACTTCACTAATGGATGATCTTTGGTCCCAAGCCTATTACTAATGCCATTGCCAATACTATCCTTTGATAGGTGGTCGCAACTACGACTATTATTCGGGGCCCCTTCCTCTTGCCTCATCGTCGTCGACAACTCATTGGGCTTGCAGTCTAACCCAATATATAAACTCTGCAACTCTGCCTTACGGTTCATCATTAACATACGTGAAATTTGTTTCTTCCACCCATCATGACGAAGAATATACGGATGTTGAGTCAATAATTTCACCAGCTTTAGTCGATCCCAGTGAGTCAATGGGATCAGATATCGCTCGAACGCGCTCCATTGGCATTCATGCTCATGCTCACACTCTATCTCTGTCTCCGTCTCCGCCTCCACCCGCTGATGGTTATCTGATGATGATATTTGACCTTCTTTGCAGGAGGAATTAGTGATCGACTGATTAAATCCATAGCTCCCAAGAAAACCTCTCTGCCAATCATCTGGAATGTGGCCTAGGCATTTCAGTGAGGTCACTGCAAGGTTTGCATTGTCGTAAGCGGACCTGACGGACCCACACCTGTATGTTAAATAGATCTCAATTCCATATGGGTCACAATCCACCAGAGCAAGGAGTGGTATATCGAGAGAATGGCCAAAACTTTGATTGGCTGACGAGGTTGAATCGCTGAATCCGGATGGGTCTATGACTGGTAGGATGAAATGACTCAAGCTATCACCCCAATTACTTCCGCTTTGTCGCTCAACTTTATATCTGCCAGATTCGGTCATAAAAGAAAGCAACTTTAAGAGCTGACGCACAGCACGATCTGGATATCCTTTGCTTGTGAGGAGGATACATGGCCCATGTGTCTCGCAGAAGCCCAAGGACAATAGATACTCCATGGTCGCTTCCTTCTCGATCACCAAGATAAATCGTGTCCTCGGATGAATCTCGACTTTTAATATCTCATCCATGGTTGCAGGGAGCGTAATCAGCGTATTATAGCTCGTCTGTGCAAAGCTCTTGTTCAAAGGATCATCAGATTCTTTACATTCATCATTCGATGTTATCTCAGCACCTTGACGCATCATATCATGGGGTGCAGTATCAGCCATAAGCTCGGTTACTTCGATCTCAGAGTTCAGATCCGCTTTGTGATTGCTATAATTGACTGTGGCCTCTTGTTGCTGTTGGTCATGCTGATGCTGATCCATGCGTTTCCCTCGGATTTTGGTAGTTAGCCTGATGGAGCCAAAGGCAATGCTGCGTCCACCAGCTACAACATTCAAGCATGACCGTGGCACTTCCAGAGTGCATGCCACATCTTCCACAATGTTATCCACAGCTAGTTGCGACCTAAACAATCCTACGTCCCTGTAATAAAGATCGCGCTTGGAAGAGATTGCTCCCCTACAAATGTTTTCATGCATTAAATCCACTACACGCATGGCAGACGGCACGACTCTGGTGGTGCCAAATCGGTGGATGATAGTAAATGACCTTGATGAGGGTGATGCTAACAGCTGCTTCTGTTCTGATTCATTGAGAGTATGACCCTTGCCTATTATTGAAGATCTAGAAATGTTGCCGTCATCAATACCGTCATTATCATAGATAATTGCACCTCTGGATCTCACTGATGCTTCATCGCTCAATTTGCCGTCTATATCCATCCGCCTTTCATTCGGGGATAGTCTTCGTCGAATGACTCCACTCTCCTCGTCGTATATGATTGCTCTCATGCTAGTCCTATTAGCCAACTCAATACTTGGTTGCCTTTCGAGAGATAAATCATTCAAAAATCGACTCGCAAAAGATTCTAGCTTTTCAAGAACCCACTCCTGTGATCGACAAGTCGTATTCACATACGGACCTTGCGAGGATAGCCCTTGGATGTAGTTCTTGGCATCGATTCTAGGGCTCATGCACTGATCCTTCTGGTCTAGAACGCCGTAAGGATGGGCCTCGGGTTCAAGCCAATCCGATGATAGAATCGTAGAGTACTCGTCCGATTCACTGCTATCCTCCTCGCTCTTGAATGAAAATGAAAAGCTGCTGAACTCTGAAGGCTCTGAAGTCTCTGGATCCTCCAAGTCTTCCTTCTTCCATTGATCATAGTATTCGGTTTGGTCAAGTTCACTAAAGCAGTTAGACCAACTCCAGAGTGGTTGATCGTTGTGGATGAAATCGTCCCACGAGTTTATTTCTCCAGATATTGGGAGATCTGCTGAGTGATTAAAAGTCCAGGAGCTAAGGCTCTGCTGTTCTTCTTCAAAGCTCATTCGATCGTCCTCACGCTCGCAGTCTTCTGACTGTAGATGTAGTAACTCGTCGTAATATAGCTGCTGGATAATAGCTTCAGTATCGATGCTGTCCTCGCTCCCTTCGACCTGATGCTGCTCCGGATATATCATAGTCGAGCTCATAGTTTGAAGTCCGGTCCAAGAACTACCCTTGTCTATGAGGCTATCCATTAGTTCATAATCCTCGCTATGCAGGTCTGATGATAAATGGTTAGAATACTCCATAGTTATAGGAATTCAAGCGTGACAGAAAAAGGTTTTTGACAATTGATGAAAAACAGATAAATATTTCTAATCACACCATCATTTCAAAGACAAATTTTTTTTAACCACGCGATCAACAACATAAATGCGAATAAAAAAAAGGTATTTAATTTTAATGTACACGAGTGCTACTCTAAAAAATATAATGCTTCAAGAAGATGTCTAAATGCTAAAGGTCATCGATGTGAAATGGCCCCTCCATCATTCTATCGTCCTATCGTTCTATCGTTTACTCATAGTCACTCATGGGAGGGCACGAGCAGATCAAGTTGCGATCACCAAAGCTGTCATCAATGCGTGAGACAGTAGGGAACAGCTTGAACTTATGGAGGTAGGGCAAAGGATAGGCAGCCTGGAAACGACTGTATGACTTTGTCTTCCAGTATTCGTCATCCTTCATCAGCACAGCCAATGTATGGGGTGCATTGTTAAGCACGTTGTCCTTCTGGGGCTGCTTACCGTCCTGAATCTCTTGAATCTCGGCACGGATGGCAATCATAGCATCGCAGAAGCGGTCGAGCTCCTCCTTGCTCTCAGACTCTGTAGGCTCAATCATGAGGGTATTGGGCACTGGCCATGACATGGTGGGTGAGTGGAAACCATAGTCCTGAAGACGCTTAGCAATATCAATAGCCTCAATACCAACAGAGCCGAAGGGCCGGATATCGATGATGAACTCGTGAGCGCACATGCCGTTCTCGTTAGTGAAGAGAACCTTGTAATGCTTGCCGAGGCGGCGAGCCATGTAGTTTGCATTCAAGAGAGCAATCTCGGTGGCACTCTTGATGCCCTCACCTCCCATCATCTTGACATAGGCCCAAGAGATGGGCAGGATGGAGGCAGAGCCGTGAGGAGCAGCAGAGATTGGTCCGATGGCCTTGTCACCTCCAGTCTTCACAATAGGGTGGCCAGGCAAGTAAGGAGCCAAGTGAGCCTTGACACCGATAGGTCCCATACCTGGTCCTCCACCTCCGTGGGGGATACAGAAGGTCTTGTGCAAGTTCAAATGGCAGACATCAGCGCCAATGTGTCCAGGGGAGGTCAATCCGATCTGAGCGTTCATGTTGGCACCATCCATGTAGACTTGACCTCCATGGGAATGAATGATCTCACAAGCATCCGAGACAGTGTCCTCAAACACACCGAAAGTAGAGGGATAAGTGACCATGAAGGCAGAGAGACGGTCAGCATGCTTGGCTGCCTTGGCTTTCAGGTCTTCAAGATCCAAATTTCCGTTGGCCAAGCACTTGACGGGGACGACATCCATACCGGCCATGGCAGCCGAAGCAGGGTTGGTTCCGTGAGCAGAGACGGGAATCAAGCAGACGTTACGCTTGTTGTCGCCACGGCTCTCATGATAAGCACGGATGGCACGAAGGCCAGCATACTCTCCCTGGGCACCAGAGTTGGGCTGGAGCGAGACATCATCAAATCCAGTGATCTCGGCCAAATCGTTGCGAAGCTCCTTGAGCATGATCTGGTAGCCCTCGGTCTGGCTATCAGGGGCGAAGGGATGGATGTTGCCAAGCTCAGGCCAAGTGACAGGGATCATCTCGGTGGTGGCATTGAGCTTCATGGTGCAGGAACCGAGAGGGATCATCGAGTGAGTTAGCGAGAGATCCTTGTTCTGAAGGCGATACAGATAGCGAAGCATCTCAGTCTCTGAATGATAGGAGTTGAAGATCTTGTGGGTAAGGTATTCTGAGGTACGGATGAACTTGTTGTCCAAAACATTCGCAGGACTTGTCTCTGAAATGTTGAGCTTCTGAGCAATGCTAAGGAGATCAGGAGTTGAGGCGCCATCCTTGGTGAAGACCTTGATAAGTTCATCAAGCTCTGCCTTGTTGCATGACTCGTCAAAGGTGACACCGACAGTATCAGCATCGAATTGGCGAATGTTGATTCCAGCAGCGAGAGCCTTCTTGACGACGTTGTCAGCACCGCCCTGGACCTTAATAGCCAAGGTATCAAAGAACTGCTCGTTTTCGACCTTGTGGCCGGCCTCGCGAACTCCCTCAGCAAAGATGGCAGTCATGTTGTGAATGCGTTGAGCAATGTTCTTGATGCCCTCAGGTCCGTGGTAGACAGCATAGAGAGCAGCCATGTTGGCCAAAAGAGCCTGAGCAGTGCAAATGTTGGAAGTGGCCTTCTCACGGCGAATGTGCTGCTCGCGAGTCTGAAGGGCGAGACGGTAGGCCTGGTTGCCCTGAGCATCTTTGGAGACACCGACTAAGCGACCGGGCATCCTGCGCTTGTGTTGATCCTTGCAGGCGAAGAATGCGGCATGAGGTCCACCAAAGCCGAGAGGGACACCGAAGCGTTGTGAGTTTCCGAGGGCAATATCAGCGCCCCACTCGCCAGGAGGAGTCAAGAGGGTCAAGGCCATCAAATCAGTGGCAGCGACCACCTGAGCGCCATATCCATGGATCTTGTCGGCGAGACCTTTGTAGTCGGAGACATTTCCACGGGTATCAGGGTACTATAAAAGAGAGATTGAGTGTGAGATAACAAGGGTGAGTAACTAGTGTTTGGAAGGAAGGAAAAAAAAAAAAAAAAAAAAATTGCAATCACCACTTATTTATAAAATATATTGCGATTAACCATTCAAGCAATCACATGTGTGTGAGAACCTTTTTTTTTTTTTTTTTTTTTTTTTTTTTTCCGATTCGCTCCATTCAAATATGCAACACTCTTCCTCTTGCCCTTCCCCTTAATTTTCTGACAGGTACTACCTTCTCGTCAGCTTGGCATCAGTCTCTCCCCTTTTTTTAACAAATAACGAAGACTAGTTGTAGAGTCTTACCTGGATAAGAACACCGGCCATCTCGTCCTTGATTGCCTCAAAATCAAAGTTACGGTGATCACCGACAACGACCTTGATATTGAAAGCCTCGGCACGGGTCTGGACACAGGCAATGGTCTGAGGGTGGCAGTTCTCATCGACAAAGAAGGTGCTCTTCTTGCGGTTGGTGGCAGTCCAGCACATGATCATGGCCTCTGCAGCAGCAGTTCCCTCATCCAGCAACGAGGCATTAGCAATTGACATGCCAGTCAAATCGGTGACCATGGTTTGGTAGTTGAGCAGGGACTCGAGACGACCTTGAGCAATTTCTGGCTGGTAAGGGGTGTATTGAGTGTACCTAGTTAAAAGGAGGCATAATGTAATGATGAGCAGATCGGATTAAATTGTATGGGAAAGCAGCTCCAGCAAGAAGGGATGGGTTTATTCCATTTTCGCTTTCTTTTTTCTTTTTCCTTTGTTCAACCTTAGTTTATCGGTGTTGATTGATGACTGTAATGCTGATCATGATTTTTTTTTTTTTTGTTCCTTCATTCGATCCATTTTGTTGCGTCCTTTTTGTTCTGATGTCTTGATCCGGAGTTGTAAACTTTGAAACATAATATTGCGGGGAAAGACAATATCTTTTTTTTTTTTTTTAAAAAAAAAAAAAAAACTTACCATCCAGGGTTCTCCAAGACGTTTCTGAGAATGACATTAGGGACGACAACGTCGGTGTAGCCCATTCCGATATAGTTCTTGAAGACCTTGTTCTTGGAGGCAATGTACTTTAGGCGCTCCAGGACTTCCTTTTCAGTGAATCCGTGATCGAGAGCCAAGGCACGGGTGGAGCGAATACGATCGGGAATGGTCTTTCCGGTGAGTCCATCCAGATCCTTGAGTCCAATAGCGCTCAACATCTCCTTGATCTCGGGCTCACTAGGGCCATTATGACGACGTGCAAAGGTATCGAGGGGAGAAAAGACGGTCCTGGCAGGGGGTTTCTCTGTATGGATCGAGCGGAGAGCAGAGCGGATGGAGAGAGGGCTATTTGTCTTGACGGAGGCAGGAGAGACTCTATTGATGATGGAGATGGGGGAAGTAGTGGCCATGCGCTGGATCGAAGATGCCATGCGGCGAGCGTTTCTCTGGGCAATGTTGGCCAACATGATTGGGATATGATATTATAATGAATGAAAATGCAAGATAAATAGACTACAAGATGATAATGATAAAGTGGTAAAGAAAAAAAAAAAAAAAAAAGATGAATGAAATACAAGGAGAGAGAGAGAGAAAGATGAGGGATGAAGAGTGGAGAAGAAAGGAAGGAAAGAAAGGTGAGAATATTTAAAGTAAAAGGATAGAAAAGAGAGAAGAAGAAGAGTGAAGAAGAAAAGAAAGGAGAAAAATGATGGGAATAAAGAGACGCTTTAAGAGAGAAGGAAGAAGAGAGAGGAGAGAATTACTTTCCTGTAGTTTCCTTGAGATGATATGATCGTCATTGATGTTTCGGAGGAGTGGAATGGGTCTATGCTCTTTGACCCTTTGACATTCTTACTTTGTCAAAGGAACACCCGATTCCACCGTGTCAAGAAACAAAAAAAAAAAAAAAAAAAGTTTAAATCTGCACGCACATCTTTTTTCTTTTCTAAGTCACATTATACCTTTATACCCCATTGGAACATGGAAACAAAAAAAATTCATTTAACTTTTTTTAATTCATTCGGACTTATTGACTTTCAAATAACAAAAAAATTCATGGCAGAGTGGAAGAGCAGTCTCATACCACACGATACATGGTCCACATGATCCACATAGTATATATACATGTACGCCACTTGTCCGTTGCATTTACTTGTCCGTTGCACCTACACCTGCACTTTGATGGGGTTATAAGCAACCTTATTCACACATTGCCCGAAATAAACATGTATATACATGTATACTTTGTACCCTTTCCTTCCTTCCTTCCTTTTTACCATTTTTCTTTTTTACTTTTTACGCAAAAGCTTCGTAGTTGAGCTAGTTGAGCTGAATAATTGAAATGTGGAATATCCAACATATCTCTTGACTACATGTCAGGTGCAAAAGCACGTTCTTTTTCACTTTCCAAATCCGGTGACTCATCCCACTGGAACCATTTAGAACGTTATGGCAATAGTAACGTTATAGCAATAGTAGTAACAGCAGTAACAGAGGCACCAAAGCGTCAGGTGGAATTAAAAAGTATCTCTTTTCTTTTCTTTCTCTCTATTTTTTTTTTTTATTTACTTTATTGCATAGTTCTATGTGGTTTTAGGAAAGAGCTAAAGGTAAAAAGGTTTGGCGATTAGCCATTTGGTTAAAGAAAAATACAATAATTGGAATATGATGGTAAACGACGAAAAATAAAAATAAAGAAAAAAGAGGATGTGGAACGAGATCCGTTTAATTTATTCGTAGCCGATGCTCTCGAGGAATGCATCCGTGCATCGAGTGCATTGAGCAAAGTTTCGGTCAAAGCCTCCCTGTGGACCATAATAAGGGTCCTTGATAATACGATCGCCCTTTGGATCATACGTTCCAAACATTTTGACTATTTCATTCAATTCAGGAACATGAATATTATATAAAAAAAAGATTGGATTAGTGCGGGCAAAATAACGAAACATGTATATTGAATACCGTTGGAGGGAAACAAAGAACAAAAAGAAGCAATTAGGGGAAAGAGGAATTAGGGAGGTATGTTTAGAGCAAGGGAAATGACGCTAGTCCAAACATGGGTTATCAACAAATAGAGAACAGAGAATTGGATTATGATATCGAATCATGGGTCGAATGAGCACCATTGAAAAGTAACAGCACCCAACAGCACCCAACAGCACCCAACAGCACCCAACAACAACACCGGAAAAAACAAAACAAAAAAAGGCTTACTAGTTGCAGTATGACCCTTGGGAGCCATTTCCTTCAGGTCTCTTAGATTCTCCTCATCCATACAAAGGATATAGTCAAACTTTGTAAAGTCTTCACGACAGACCTGCCGAGCCCTGTGATTCATGGAGACACCATTCTTCCGGCATGTTTCCATCGATCTACTATCGGGGTTGGATCCAATCTATTGCGAATGATGAATGATATATACATAAAAGGACTCTGATTAATATGCAGTGTCAAGTTGTCCCTGACCCTGTCTCCGCCGGGGGCACTTACGTGGTATGATGCTGTGCCTGCACTATCGACCTCAAATTCAGCAGCGATGCCTCTCTTTTCCAGAGCATGGTTAAAAACAGCCTCAGCCCTTTTTGGAATGAAAGAAAGAAGAAACTCTTAGTTTTTTTTTTTTTTTTCTTTTTTTTTTTTTGCATTCCATCTCGTTTGTTCCTGAATGTCCCATGAGATCAATTTTTTTTTTTTTTTTTTCTTAAACAAATGTTTTGTACAAATAAGCAAATAAACAAATGCTTTTCTTTTCATTGGACAGACCCTGAACGTACATTGTGGAGCGACAAATGTTGCCAAGGCATACAAAAAGGACCTTGGTGGTACTTGTGTTGTTGACCATTGTGAATCAGAAGAATGTAATTCGATTCGAAGCGAATGAGGAGGAAGGAATGACAAATAAAAAAGAAGGTTGGGCGAAGAAGCAAAAGTTGTATTACAGCTCCACTTGGGTTTTATAACCGAAAAAAAGAAGAAAAAAAAAAAAAACTAAATGCTAAATTATATTTTATTAATTATATATTATTCTCTCTCTCTATCAATCTCTTTCTCTCTTTCTTTCTTTCTCTCTCTCTCCGCCCCTTCTTTTCCATTTTATCCCTTCTTTAACGGAAAAACTAAAAAAAATGCGGTGCAATGCATATTTGTTATTGTATATACGATGGATGTCTGTATCTCTGTTGCATCTATTACATCGTATTGCTCCTATTTATTTTCTCCCCTTGCTCCCTCCTTCTTTCTCACCAGTAACCATCCTGTCGACTCCTTATCCTTTTTTGCTGTGTTTGTTACATGTACATGTGTACATATTCAGCATATACAGTACATGCATCGCTCCTCAGCTCATGGGGCGTTGCCTTTCCTCATCACCGCCACTGTAGTCCAACGCCAATCAACCAAACACACATTTTCTTTTAATCCACTCAAAATAATGCTGCGGTCGGTTCTGTTGCGCCAAAGGGCCGACCCTCCTTTCGGCTATTTATTTATAGCCCCCCTCTATTGGTTTTCTTAAACACACTCACTCTCTACTCTACTCTACTCTACTCTACTCTACATACTCTACATACTCCAATAGCTCTTTGTCGTGAATATCATATTAACAAAAACTTGTAACTTTTTTAAAGCGATCCTCGGAGTTCTTTAATCAGCTCTTCAACTCGGCAGTGCTTCTGCTCAGATTTGTCTAAATCTTTGAGTGTCACAACCCCTTTTTGGATCTCATCCATCCCAAGAATCACCGCATGAGTCGCATTCAGTTTACCTGCCTTTGCTAATCGTTTCAACAACTGAGATCGAGTACTGATTGGTCCTGCCAGATGTAGGAACTCCACTTGGATCCCTGCCTCTCTTAATAAAGAGCTGATGGCCATGGCACGACTATGTAGTTCTGCACTTGAAAAAGTTCTTGCACTCGCTTTACTATCGCTTTCGCTTACGTTTACATTCATATTTACGTTCAAGTTGACTGTCGATTCAAACTCTGGGACTGGGATGATAGCGACCGGCCTTGGCTTTGACGGAATGCTTCGGTCATTCAACAAAAGGCTCAGCCTTTCTAAACCGGCTGCCCATCCAATAGACGACACCCCTGCTGGCCCACCCATTTTCTCAACCAGTCCATCATATCTGCCCCCTGCCAAGATCGTACTCTGTTGAACTCCAAGCAATGCACTCGAAACTTTAAATTCAAAGACTGTGTCCTGATAGTAATCCAACCCCCTGACCAACCTCGGATTAACTGTGAAAGGTATCCCAAGATGAGAGAGAGCCTCTGTGATAAATGAGAACCGTTCTCGGGAAGGGGGACTCCAGTAATCTGAAAGGATAGGACTGTTCTCCAGAATTTGAATATCTTGAGGTGCCTTTGAGTCAAGGATCCGAAGAGGATTTGTTGATAATCTGTTGATGCTGTCAGGAGAAAGGTCACCCCCGTACTCTGAGAGGTATTCTTTCAAGGCCGTCTTGTACTTGTTCCTAGAAGCGTCATCTCCAATGGAGTTGACCTCCAACTGAAAGCAGGCGGGGATCATATCGTTGGGATTTTTTTTTTTTTTATCAGAAAATAATAAAAATTAGAAGAGATGCAATTGAAGGATATGGCAACAGATCGATATCTACGACTCTTACCATAATTGAATCAAGTCCCAAACTCTTCAGGAATACAGAGGCAAGTTCAATTGCTTCTAAATCTGATGAAGGATGACCCTGACCGAAAACCTCGATACCGAACTGCTCAAACTATTTTAGATCACATTAGTAGAGGTCTGATTGATCAGCATGTATTTTATTGTCAGAAAAAAAAAAAAAAAAAAAAAAAAAATCTTTCAACTTTGCAGGGCTTTTACCTGACGAAGACGGCCTTTTTGTGGTCTTTCGTGTCTGAACATGGGTCCATGATAATAATACTTTTGAGGCAATTCGTTATGCAACTTTTGGCTGATCAATGCTCTAGTGATCCCTGCTGTGCCTTCGGGACGCATAGTCAACCTGTCACCTCCTTTGCTTTCAAAACTATATAGTTCCTTTCCCACGACATCAGAGTCCTCGCCTAATGTCCGCTCAAACACCTGAGAGTATTCTAAAATCGGTGTTGTGATCTAGAATTGATTCCATGAGGCATCATTAGAACGTTAAATCTGTGATTAAAGCGTAATAGCCTGTATCAAATAAAGTTTCACTAGAAAAAAAGAAAAACCTCTGACCTGTTCAAATCCATACAAGCTAGCAAGTCTTGCTCCATTGTCAGTGATCCATTGAAAGCGTCTGTTTTCATCACCAAAGCGATCCTTCATTCCACGAACAGGGTTGGCCTGCTCTAACATATGTTTATTTATTAATTTTTTTTTATTTTTTTTTCGAATCAACGCAAATATATATATATATATTATTTTAGTGGCCAATGGCTCTCCTTGCAATGGTTGCTGTAAAAAAAAAAAATAATAATAATAAATGCACTTTATATGCTTTCAGTGATACCATAAGTCTTCTTAGAGATGCTAAAATACCGACATAGATTCCTGGTTGCTGGTGGGAATCTCAACCTCATCGCAATGGTTGCCATGGTAGATGTCGTTGAATGGATGTCAAGTTAAGGAGAGAGAGAGTGTGTGTACCTGAAAAAAATAAAATATCCATATGAAAAAGAAAGGCTCCGCCCAAAAAGCGCGTTTCCGAAAGGAGTGATCAACAGTCAAATACAAGCAGTCACAATAAAAACATTTACTTTTTTTTTTTTTTTTTTTTTTTTTGTAAGTAAACACATGCTTGCAATCGTTTATAACCATCTCTCCATTTCATTTCAGCATTTTAGCATTCTTTTTTTTTTTTTTTTTTTTCCTTTTTTCTTTTCTTTTATAAATAAACAACCGGCCTTTTTTTTTTTTTCTTACATAATGGATTTGTTCCGCATGCTCGGTGGAGGCGCACGCTTCGATAAGAAGCGGTTCAAGGACGACATCGAGATTTTTCAACCAAAAGCAGCCCCCACAGGATTGAATGCCGATACTGAGGCTGCCCTTGCAACAGAACTTGATTTTTTTAAAAATAATAAGAAATCTATTGTCAAAAAGGGAAAGAAGAGGAAAAAGGAGAAGAAGGATACAAAGAGTATGTGCTTTTTCACATTTTATAACACGCACACAGGACATTCGCTTTCTTTGCTCGACCATCTTTTAAAACATCAATATCTATCTATCCATCTATATAATATGATAACATGTGCTAATACATTTGGCGATCTTTATTTTTTATTCTTTAATGCATATGCTTCATTAGCCAAGAGCGATAGTGAAAGCGAAGATGAAAGTGCAGAGAGTAGTGGTGAAGACCAAACACATGAAGGCGATGAATCAGAGGATGAGAACAGCAACGACGATAGCGAAGGCGACAATGATGAAGATAGTGAGGATAATGAAGACCCAGAAGAAGGTTCAGAAGAAGATAACAATGAGGAAGAGTCGACAGAATTTAAAGACAAGGAACAATTGTCATTGTTCCGGAATCATCTCAAGATCAGAGTTTATGGAACCGATATCCCCAACCCATTCCGATCATTTGATGAACTGGCAAAGCAATATCAAGTGGAGCCATATCTTCAACGGAATATTCTCGCCTCTGGATTTAAAAAACCAACCCCTATTCAAATGCAGGCCATCCCCGTCATCCTTCACGTAAGAACTTTTTCTCTTTTATCTTTTTTCCTTATTTCGCTTCTTCTAATGTTTTTAATATTTCTAATACTTTTATTTTATTTATTTTTTTCTCTGCGTGATACTATTAGGGACGAGATGTTATGGCGATGGCGCCTACAGGTTCAGGAAAGACGATGGCATTTGTATTGCCGATTTTGTATGATTTAAAGGGACCTGAAAAAGTTGGATACAGAGCAGTCATTATCTCCCCCACCCGTGAATTGGCCACTCAGGTATGGTTCATATGAAGTATCGATTTGATTTTCTTTTTTTCTTTCTTTCTTCCATTTCCTGCAAATTGATGAAAGAAAACTTATATTAATATTTTTTTTTATACCTATTTAGATCTTCAACCAAATCAAGAAGTTGAGTGTTGGAAAGAAATTCAAGATTTGTATGTTGACAAAAGCGACTGCAGCCACTCAGGGACAAGCGCCACATCTCCGTCAGAAATATGACATCCTCATCAGTACCCCTCTCCGACTTGTCCATGCTATTCAACAGGAAAAGATGGAGCTTGATCAGTAAGTCTTTTTTTTTTTTTTTTTTTTTTCTTTGCTTCTGAAAACTAAAAAAAAAAAAAAAAAAAAAAAAAGGCTATCATAACACTGAATTGTCCTCGATATTAACCGTCTTAAAAAATGTACCCTTTTTTTCATTTTTTTATTTTCTATTACTTGTTTATAATTGGAAAAACAACTTTTTTTTTTTTTTTTTTTTAGTGTTCGTCACTTGGTTCTGGATGAAGCTGATAAGCTGTTGGAACAAGGATTTCTGGAACAGACGGACGAGATCTTCGCAGCATGTTCACACCCTTCTATTCAAAAATCCCTCTTCAGTGCCACTCTCCCCTCCGGTGTAGAGGCCCTCGCCAATACCTTTATGCGTTCACCCGTCCGGATCGTCATCGGCTCCAAAAACGCTGCGACCGAGACCATTGAACAGAAATTGATCTACTGTGGTTCAGAGGAAGGCAAGCTGATTGCGATCCGTCAACAGATCCAACGGGGGCTTAAACCACCTGTCCTGATTTTCGTCCAGAGTATTGAACGTGCAAAGGAATTGTTTCATGAGTTGATTTATGATGGCATCAATGTGGATGTGATTCATTCAGAACGAACAAAGGCTCAACGTGACAAGATTGTTGAGGGTTTTCGGCAAGGAAAAGTCTGGGTGTTGATTGCGACTGAGTTGATGGCTCGTGGTGTGGATTTCAAGGGTGTGAACCTGGTGATCAATTATGATTTCCCACAGACAGTTCAGTCCTATATTCATCGGATCGGTCGTACGGGTCGTGCAGGACGTAGTGGTGAGGCCATCACGTACTTCACAAATGAGGATCAAACTTACTTGAAGAGTATTGTGAACGTCATGCGTGAATCTGGATGTGAGGTAGCAGACTGGATGTTGGCTATGAAGAAGCCAAGGTAAGAAAGAAAAAAAGAAAAAAATAAGTGATCTGATATGAATGATAATGGTCAATTTATTATTATTATTATTATTATTGCGATTATTACTAGATCTTAACATTCTATTTCTTTGCATTTTCTTTTCTTTTTCTCTATTAGTAAAAACCAAAAGAAAAACCTGCGACAGAGGCCATTAGGACGTAGTTCCATTAACACGATGTCATCCTATGACAAGAAGAAGATTGCTCATAAGCGGGATATGATCGCCAATAGCAAAAAGAGGAAGGTTGCTGCTAGTGATAATGCTGCATCTACATCTGCGCCTGGAGCATATGGTGGATTCAAGAAAAGCAAGTCGGATTCATCTAAAGCATAGAGAGAGGAGGAAAAAAAAAAAAAAAAAAAAAAAAAAGTTAAACAGATAACACATAACAGCATCATCATATTGCATTCTCGTTATCAATACCTTCATCATTTCATCACTTAATAATATGGACAAATACAAGTATTATTATTATTGTTATCATAATCGTTATCATTTGTTTTTATTATTTAGAGACTAAAAGAATTGGATGAGTAAGAGCAAAAAGGGGTATATACATGTAAAGAAAAAGAAAAGAAGAGATGAAAGAAAGAGAGAAAAAAACTAGAGGCTGCTCCTCAATAAAATCATATCGCTGCTTGTGCTGTCTTTGTTCGTTTCCACCTCCTGTATAGATACAATGGGTGCATCTTCAAATTTCATAAGTTCGACATCCGCTTGCATGATCCAAGGTGCAGATATCTGATTGTGAGGCGCCAATTGAATAGAAATGACCTTGTAAAGCGAGCGAGTATATTTCTTATCCAGGAAGTGCTCTGTCACGCTACAGACGAAGAATCTAGCTTATTGGGGTTTGGGTTTTTGATTTTACATCTACATTGTAAATCTACTACATGTACGTTGGTCAGTCGTTTACTACGAACTGTGCTTTATTATTATTATTATGACAAAGCCGCGGGTCTGCAGTTCGTTATTAATAGTATACATTATATTATTATTTGCAGACTAAAGAGAGGAATACACAAATAAATAAAAGCTAGGGACTGTCCATCAATAAGGCCATGGTATTGTCTTTGTCCATTTCCATCTCTTCTTGAATAGGTATAACTAGTATGCCTTCAAACTTCATAGGATTGACATCCACTCGCATGACCCTAGGCGCTGACACTTGATTATAGGATCCCAATTGAATAGAAATGGTCTTGTAAAGCGAGCTGGTGTATTTCCCATCCAGGAGCCACTCTGTCAAGGTCCATACGCAGAAACAGACCACCATGACCACGATCACGACAACCAATAACCACTTTGGGATCTCTAGACCCTTTTCTGGATCAAAGACGTCATAGATCACATAGAGCCTATGGGATTCGTAATCCGTAAAAAAGTTTTGTCCCAGCGATGCCATGAATTGAGACACAGCCACTGTATCATTCTGGAGCTGAGGTATTGAGATCAAATTTCGTTCATCATGGGCCATCGAAGGAATATGCTCAATAACCATGGCTTTTGCACTTGAAGAAGTGGACGAAAAAGGCACGTCACCTCTTGCTCTTTTAATAGCAACGCTTTGTTCTTTTGGTCTCACGACCAAGAAGCTGATAACAGAGTACAGACATACAGGCTTTGGAATACCCGCAGTGACTCTAAAAGTACAGATCACAGTATCGATCATGGACCCACGGACCCTCACCTCGGCTAGAATGGTAGGATGATACATATATTTAGTTGGGGCCGGAGCTGTCATTTTAATGAGCGCGTCCATGGCCTGAAAGATCTCATCAGTTCCTTGGAACAATCTTGTGGTGGTATTACTAAACCCTAGACGGTCCCCAGTGAACCGTACAGTGGTGGCGGCCATTACTAAAACGTCACCGTCCTCACGAACACATTTCGTAGTGACAGTACTAGGAAGACGATTCACTCCGCCTTCATCAAAGATACCGAAGTAGGACACCTCAAATTCGCGTAGGGTACAGAGCGTGTCTGACTGTTTAAAATCAATTCCCAGACTCGCATCAAGGAGCTCTTTCCCTCCTGGATAAACCAGACTCCACCGGTGAGGAGATTTCTGCACAACAGTTGTGTTGTTGTAATGGAAAGACGGTAAGTTGTACAAGTAGATGTACACATTAGAGCACCCCTCCTGGGTGAGTAAAAGATAGGCAATCTCGTCGTCCAGAAAATGAACGCTGGACTGTGCACAAACAATATCGAAGTCAGTCAATCGTGGGATATACAGCCGTCCACTACCCACCTCGGCTGTTTGGATGTTCCTAGTGTTATTGATCATCAAAGCCATGGCCTCTGTAATGTTTTCACCATGTCGAATTGATGTGGACCAACCGCTAAAGATATATTCACGGCTAAGTACTTGGAACTGTGGAATGATTTCTAATTTGCTGTCGCCTCTGATGAGTCTTTCTGTTGGAGAAATGAAGCGAGCCACGCCTTTATCTAACACACCAGCTACAAGACTTGCCACGATGGTGGCCACCATGACCCATTTCGTACGACTCGGGACACTATAGGACGAATTGTAAAGCGAACTGATCATCTCCACGTATCCTCCTTGACGGCTCCATCGGATACTGTTGGCATACTGGTCACCGGACCGTGAATAGATGGCAAGGATTGCTCCTACTACGGCAACCAGCAGGAACTGAAAGACTGCTAGGATGATGTTGAGAGTGAAAATCGAGAACGGAAGGAACATTTGACTATCTTTTTTTTTTTTTTTTTTTTTTTGTGTATGTGTCATTTTTATACCAGCTTAGAAGATGCTTAAGGAGCATCATGCTAAAAAAAAAAAAAAAAAAAAAAAAAAGGAGTTCTGTTATGAACATCAGTTTTGTATATGCACATGCCTAAAAAAAAGATGCCAGCTTTAACCACCCTTCATTGCTTCCTCACAAAAAGAGCCCCTGGTTGAGGTTCACATCTGCTTTAGCAATTTTAGTGTTGCCATAGAAATCCTTTATTTTAATAACAAAAGTTTGCTGTTACAACTGATCACTCTTCTTCCGCAATTTTTTCAGGGTAGAGATAAAGCCATTATAAAATATGATGTTACGAACTCCGTGCTGTCTTTGTGTCATATGAGCGAGAGTCCGGCAGTAACTCTTTCATCCACATAATGTACATTTGTGGCGGTGTTGGATGATTGGCACTGCCTACCCTGTCATCAAATGAATGATTTCACGGAGAGCTTTGACCTCCTTATCATCGAGTAGGTTTCACCATAACTCCTTTGCTTTCGACTTCGCCTTCCTTTTCTCCGAGGAGTCCATATGATGGAAATTGCAAGAAATTGCTTCTGAGTAATGTAGCACTCCATTTGCCATCTTGTACTGTGAGTAATGTTCCTCGACAGCAACTTGGGACGCTTGTCTGCCTGCTTTTGCCCTAAGCCAGGCATTGCCGCGCCATTGCTCCTGAAAAAAAGATGAAATCTTTGGGCGGACTCGCTTTGCGACAAAGGCTTATTGATGCGAAGCTAGATCTTATGTGAGGCGCATGCTAACTAGAGTATCGAAATAGGGGTTGATCATTTCAAAGGCTGCTCTGAAGTTCGTCAAATTAATTGTATTGGACATCACTTCGTTGAAGGCTATGAGTAGTAAAAGCACTTTTTCGTATGCTTCTTGTTCATGAGGGAGCAACTTCTTGAGTCTCTCATCAACAATCTCATTTCGTGTGATGTCGAGCCTTGTCTTTATTGTTGGGGGAAGCATGTCAACTTCTTTCGGATCGGGTAGTGGCACGATACTTTTAACCCTGCTCTGATAACTGCGGAATTCTTGGAGAGCACTATATAAATTCCCATGGAGCTGGATTAGATGAACAGATCTTGAATATCCACTCCCGGATTCCTTGTATGAAATGTCACGGATTTCTTCATCTTTCAGGACCTGACACTGGAACTCTTCCTTGCTTGATTTGAAAAAATGACCAATCACGCTGTTCTTGCGAAGGGTTTTTTGATTTGGGATTAGCGCTAATACTCTTTGAGAGGGAGGAGTGTCGGCACACTGTTCTGGCGTTGGAATAGTACCAAAATCCAGTAACTCATACAAACTATACCATCAATTTTGAAGCACGATAACTAGCCCTCAACTCTCTCCACCGATCGGCCAATGCTTCAGCGCTAATGCCACGTGTAAAGTCAAGAGAGGGACCTTGAACGCGTAATTTTAATATTGCGATGCATCACCAGTTTAGGGAGAATCGGTTCTATTTGCTGGGAGCCTTTCTGGAGCTGCATATACAAAACTGATATGTGTTTCAATGTTCATTGCCATTATCCATTTTGTAGCTATATATATTCAATTTTTTATTATACCGAAAAATATAATCCGCACGCTTCAATCATAAACCAACACTGCTTGTCTCAAAAATCGCAGCTGCATCGCTTTCAGGTTAGATCACTGAGGTATTATTTATTATTTATTGTTTATTATTTATATAATATAAGGGTATTATACAGATATTCATTAGCTAGTATATCAAAGAAGAAGAAAAAAACAGATCAATCAAGGAAGTGTGTATGAAGTATGGGAGTAAGATAGGCTGGGCCTGTCCGCATGCAGTTCTAGGACTTCCACACGAGGTAAGACCCTTTGATCTTCAAACTTGAGAGGCTTAAAGCTTGACCGCACCAATTTTGGTCCTCGGGCCTCATATTGGGTTTCTATCTTGGTGGATATGATCTTGTGCAGAGATCGTGTGTAATGGTAATCCAACTTCCATTCAACAATACCCCAGAGAACGATGCAAGCACCAGTGATAACACCTACAAGCCATATCAACCAGGTTGGCACCTCGTTTCCCCGCTCCAGAGCCTTGATATCGTACAATACATAGAGAGAGCTGCTAACCCAGTCTGGAATGAAGCTATAGCCGAGTCGTGCCATGTAGATAGTGATAGAAATTGTTGAGTATCGTAAACCGGATATGGAGATCCGCATAGGGAAACCTTCGACAGCTTTAGGGAAATGCTCGAATATCGCCATATTTGAAAACTCTTGGTGCCTTGGAAATGATGCATTGAAGGTATTCGAAATAACGGGGTCAATCTTCGGTGCCCTTGCCAATATTGTGCTAAAAATGTTATAGGAGCAACGTATAGACCGAGAACTCGGAGAGACACTCACAGCACATGCGAGTACATTGACTGAAAATTCATCCGACTGAATTTCTGCTAGAAGAGTCGAGTTCGTTGTAAAACTTGGGTTGTTGAGATTGGATTCCATAGCCTGAAGCATCTCGTCATACTCGATAAAGACTGATGAAGCAATGTCGCGAAACGTTTCCAGTTTCATTGATTGAAAGTAGACTGAAGAAAATGACACCACTCCTACTTCGCCACGCCCTGTCACGCACTTTGTGGTCCTGGTCCTTGGAATATTGATCATACCATCTTTAATGGTTTGCTCAAACGGAGGATATAAATCAGGAATGGCACATAGCATGCCTTTATAGTCGATTTGCGGCAAAGCGTGAGTATTGAGGACTGAGATTTCGCCTTGGAAAGGAACTGCCATTCTCCATCGGTTATCAGAGAGAGTAGTAACCATTGCTTTTGATTGGGCTAGCGCCTTCTGGCCTAGGAAATTTATCATTACCAGCATGCAACCATCGCGCTTTAAATGACCGTAATCCGCACCCAAGACAAAAAGGTTTATTCGATCACATTTCGTCTGGTATTCTGTTATACGTGGTTGATACAGATGTCCATCCTCAGCATTGGCGATGTTCTTTGTGTCGCTTAGAGCACGAGATAATACTTCGGTAACGTTGTCTCCATACTGAATTGGAAATTTCCAGTCACTAAAATGCTTGTAATCACCGACTGGAGCGAATTGAGGAGTACGGATGTAGCGAGCTGTGATATCGATTGGTTTAGATGCGCGTCGAATGAACCAAGCGGCTCCAGTACCGGCAAAGCCAATAGGGAAACTCACGAAAAGTGTGATTGCCAGCACAATTAAGGTCGTACGTGGTGCATTCCGGCGTGAGTTTATTAACGCCATTAGCATTTCCCTATAACCGCCTTGGCGACTCCAGTTGACACTGCTAGCATATTCATTTCCGAATCTTGAGTAGATGGCAAGAATGGCTCCTAGAGTACCGATGAGGACGAATTGGAAAATGGCCAAGAAAAGATTGATATAGAATTCATGAACAGTAAGGAACATGGTGATGGCTAGTGAAGTAGGAAAGAAAAAAAAAAAAAAAAAAAAAAAAAAGAGGAGTTTTGGTACCTTAAATATACTTTGGAGAAAGTGTGTTTGTTAGTTTAAATCTGAAACTTGCTCAGAAAATTGCTTACACATTCTTCACACATCACACTTTCGCCTCTTTAAAAAAATAGACAAACAAACAAATAAACAATCCTTGAGACAAGAAGTGTTAGAAGTGCTCATCGATTCATGTTGAGTCTATCTGAAATACCGGTTTGACCACTATGAAAACTGCCGAAGATCGTTGGGATGAATTCAGGATATAGGCGGAAGCTTCCTCTTAAAAAAAGCTGTATGAAAGAATGTTAGGTGCCTGCAAATATAACTATAAAGTGTCACATGTACTCCATATTTGAAAGGATGCAATGAAGTTATATATTTTGAAATGCTTTTATTTTCCAACGAGATTTGGTGTCACGATGCAGCTGGCTAGGAATGAAGAGAGGAATGGAAGGAACGACAGGTTGGGAATGAACAAAGGGATGATGTGAAGGATCAGGAACATTGCATCTATTGATTTCGTTTGTTTATTAAAGGGCTTTGTGATGCATTAGATACTCTATCAAGTTGATCACAGCTTTCCAGGATTGGGACACCCTCAAGGCTTGTTTCACTGACGTTGAATCGCATTAATAGAGGAGCTCTGCCATGTACTTGATCTTCCATTTCAATCGCAACGTTTTTGTAAAGCGAGCTAGTATAGACTGTGTCCAACTTGATTTCCGTCCAGACCCACAGAATGAAGAGAATGCATACACTTGTGATAACACAACCGAATAGCCAATCCGGTACTTCATAACCTTCAATCATATCCGACATGTCGTACTGGATGTACATCCGCGAAGCTTCCCAGTCATGGTAGAAGTTTTGGCCCAAAGATGATAGGTATTGAGAAGCCTCTAAAGTCGCAATCCTTAGAGCGGAGAGAGGTATAGGCACAAGTGTATTGTTGACAATACTTGGAGAATGACTAATGAGGATGTTGGTTGTAGACTCTTCTGGAAGTTTAGACAGTGGTCTGTTCCCACGAGCTTTGGCAATCTCAGCATTTGGAACTTGTGGTTTGAGTACGACAGCATCAAAGATAAGATAGGTACACTTCCAAGTTGTTGATTTGGGAGGTGATACTTGGCCCCAGTAGCATATTAAAGTATAAACCGTGGAGTCGACAATTTGAACTTCTACAAGTAATTGTTGGGAGGTTGTGAGGGTTGGATTGCTGGCATGCGCCTCCATGGCCCGAAACATATCATTGTATTCTCCAAATATTTTAGTCGACACTTGGCGAAATTTCTGTGTTGTTCGAGCTGAAAACTCGGTGGAGGTGACTGTTACAATCGAAATATCGCCTGTCTGATGGATACATTTGAGGGCCGATGTCGCCGGTAAATTATCCATGCTATTGCTGGCCGCTGAACCGTGATAGGTATTTGGGTTGGAAACTATACAAGTCTGATTTTTATACTCTTGAATTACTATCCAATTGATCCTATGCAATTGTTCAGGCGATGTCTTGATCGGTACGCTTATACTCCATTGATCACTGGATCGCTTAACGATGTTGACGTTGGTATTATTTCGGACTGAGTTGATGATAGGAGCCATGAGATACACCGTCGAGCAGCTGCCATTTGTTAAGGTCGTATTATAATCCATGTCATAGTGCACATTCAGGTCAAGTTGTTTGCATGACTCTTCATAAGATGAAATCGTAGGTTCATATAGCCGTCCCGGAACCGCAGATGGAATCCTTTTGTGATCACCCAGCATTTGCTTCATGGTTTCTACAATACTTGTTCCAGCTCGCATGGATGTGGACCATCCAGAGAAGGTAGTCCAAGGAACACTAATGATGTGCTGTGGTGTACTAATGACAGACGTCGAGATGAATCTGGGTTCTTGCGATCGCTTGACAAAAGCCCAGACAGCCTTGTCAGCTAAACTGACGAGTAAAGCCATGATGAAAGCAACGACCATAGCAATCTTTGCTCGAATTGGGATTCTTTTGGGAAAATGAAGAAGCAAAGAGGACATCTCAAAGTAACCGCCTTGACGGACCCATCTGATGCTGTTGGCATATTCACCTCCAAACCTCGAGTAGATTCCCAAAATGGCACCGAATCCTCCAACGATAACAATCTGACATAGGGATAAGATGGCCTTCAAGGCAAGGAAGGACAAAGGAATGAACATGACGGGAGACAAAGAACGTACAGTTGTAAAAAAAAAAAAAAAAAAAAAAAAAAGGTTATAAGAGTCTTCAAATTTTCTGAAACCTTGCCCCTGACAAAGCTACCACTGAAATGCAAGCTCACAAATTTTTTTAGTCCAAATTCGATGCACAGCACTGTTGTTTAAATGTTTTAATCTCCTTTTGTGCAACGATGGATGTCTGAGATGCCCTTTCACCCTAAAAAGATGCAGCATTACTTCATAGTGGGAATATGTAAACAATTTCACAGGGAGTTTAGAACTGGTTATATACCTTTTGTCGCACGGCGTGGCATGTGCCTCGCACACGCATTGTCTGTTTCAGATTGCTTGGATCCATTGCGAAACAAGGATAAAAAAATATGATCTGCAAAAAGCAAACAAGCTTATAAAGCAACATTGATATTACATGTCATCAATATCAGCATTCTCCCTATTCTCCAAAATATAAAAACATAAAGGGGCATTTAGACTGTTGACTTGATTGACCATTAAAAACAAACTAGTTCACAAGTCTTAATTATTATTTCTATTATTTCTATTATTATTGCTCTTATTATCTGGTCGAATAAAACGCTCTGTATTTATTCATTGCTTAATAAACTTTGCCTGCAAGAACCGTCTGTCTATACTAATATCCATGGCTCGGTTGATGGTTTCTCTATGAACGTATTCACATTCAACCGTCGTAAATCCTTCCTTTTCAAAGAGCTCACGGATTTGTTCAGTCGAAAAGAAGAGGGAAAGAGTACCGTCCTGACGGACATAGAGATTTGTATCCAACATATGTCCTGGATTGGAGCTGAATTTCACCTGTGCTGCATCATAGACTGCATAATCTCTAAAGCATAACATCCCACCGGGTTTCATGACTTGTTTAATATTCCTGACAGCCGCTTCTAATTTTTCTGCTGGGATAGCTGATAATACAAAGATAGAGGAGACTACGTCCAAGGAGTTGGCCGGGATAGTGTCTACTAATGCATCCGTCGTCAAGTCACAGACAAATGCTGAACACCGTCCCTGTTTATAATCGTCATGCTGTTTCACCAGTTCAATAGCATGAGGTGCAAAGTCACATGCATACATGAACAGATTGGGGTTTCTCTCCAGGACTGGGAAGATAAAGTTACCAACACCACAGCCGACTTCAAGACATTGTAGCTTTGCTGGGTGACCGTCTGGGTCCATAGTTTTGAAGATTGTAAATTCACGCTCGATCCAATGACGGTCCTTATAGAACCGGGTCTCATTCCGTTTGTAGAACCGGTCCCAATTTTTGGCAGCCTCCTTCTTGTATTTATTGACCCAGAAAGGTTTGATAGCCTGGTCTTTTTCGATCACTTGTCGAGCATATTCTAGCTTCTCTGGTGGGATCACCGAGGGCTCAAGAGGCTTTAAAAGCTTTTCCTGTCGTGCCTCGATTGGTGACTGCTCCTTTGTAGGTTGAGATGATGATAGTTCTGCCATAGGATAGTATATATTTATCTCAAGAAGGGTATAAAAGAAGCTGTAGTTTTGGGAGAAATGAAAATTCTAAAGTAAAACAGAAAAAGAAAGAGATATACCATCTGTGGCTTTTTATTCGTGGAAATGAGATTTTTCAAAACAAAAGCATGACTGCCCTTTTTTTTTTTTTTTTTTTTTTTTTCTTTTTAAAAAAAGAGAAAAAAGCTTTGCTGTTCTCATTCCTCATTCACAAATTACTACATACACAACTTTAACGAGACAATGGACAAAACTAAGAAGCCATTGAAGAGCGCGTTAAAAAAAACAGTCGTGTCAACGACCGCCACAAAGCCTAATGTGAAAACAGCGGGTGTAAAACGCAAACACGCCTCTGCTGCCAACAACAACAACAACAACACCACCACCACCAAGAACAATCCCAAAAGTGGTCATGATAACAAACGTTCCAAAGTCCAGACCAATAGCAACAGCAATAAGCAGAGTACAGGGAACACATCAAAAGCACAGAATGGGGCAGGCAAGAAGAAGAACGTCAACACTTCAGCTTTTAATGCAAAAAAGAGCGCGCCTACACCTACACCGGTGAAGAAGCCTGTAATTAAAAAACCCAAGAAGGAAGAAGTCATTCCTGAAGGAGCAACCCTTGAGGATTTTAGAATTATCGCGGGAACCTATGAGAATATTCTCTATGGTATTGATGCTTATTGGAACGAGGTAAACAAAAAAAAAAAAAAAAAAAAAAAAAAAAAGCAATTCCATGCAAGTCGAAGAAGGGATTTTTTTTTTTTTTTTTCCCCCTCCGTTTCTTTTCCCTTTATTAAACATTATTATTATTACTTTTACTTTGCCACGGATGGTATTTCGGCGTACATGTATAGGATATGACATTGAGACTGTCGCCCATCTTCATCTTTGCAGCTCATATCGGATGTATCAAAGCATTAGCAATCGGCGGCCACTTTCTAGCATCTGGCAGTACGGATGAAAAGATTCAACTCTATGATCTAAAGCGCAGAAAGGAATTAGGGGCACTTCTTCAACATCAGGGCACGATCACGACACTTACATTCCACAATAAGACACATATGCTCTCTGGATCCGATGATGGGAAAATCTGTGTCTGGAGAACCAAGGATTGGGAATGTCTCAAGATTATGAAGGGTCATCAGGGATCTATTCATTCGATTGCTATCCATCCCACGGGCAAAATCGCTCTCAGTGTCTCGGCTGATAGATCAGTCCGACTCTGGAATCTGTTGTTGGGAAAACAGGCGAGCACGACAAGACTACAGGGAGAAGGCCTAAAAGTCGTATGGAGCCCTAGTGGCACAGGATATTCAATCATGTTTGATCAAGAAGTTGGCATTTATGATATGGCTGTACGTACTTGTAAAAAAAAGAAAAGAAAAGAAAATTGCTTTGTTTTGTTTTGTTTTGGATGTCGACTATAGCATTATATTTTTGACAACTAACCATTGTCGCCATGCTTGATTACCATTATGTGTTAATATAATAGACTGCAAAATGCGTCCGCACTATCAAGCCTCCAAGGAAGACTCGTCTGAATACCATGATTTACTACAAAGACGATTATTTGGTTGTTGGTTATGAGGATAAGATGATTCGCGTCTACAATACTGCCACAGGAGATCTTGTCAAGACCCTTGTGGGACATGCTAGCCGTGTCAAGGCTTTGGATTTGATCACAGTTCCATACACTCCAGAAGAGACCTCCAACAAGGAGTTTGTTGGTCGCCCAGAGACCAAGATGATGGATTTGTTGACGTCTGTTTCCACAGATGGGACGATTTTGGTATGGAATTTGGAAGATGTTGTCAGTCCTGCATCCACACCAGAGGAGAGCAACATGAAGACATTCATTGGAGAGCACAAGACAGATATGCGTGTAACTTGTCTTTCGGTCCAAAAGGGTATATGGAAGAATGTCGGTGTTGAGAGCGTGGGCACAGCAGGCGAGGAAGAAGAGGACGAAGACCAAATCGAGGCCGCAAAAGAAAGTGAAGAGGAAGAGGAAGAGGAAAAGAAGGATGAAGATGAGGATGATAGTGAAGATGATGAATAAAAAGATCAACGATCACTATATTTGATCCATTGTTCTGTTGCTCCCTTGAACTATTTTTATTTTTCTGAATCAAGGCGAATGCATTAGCACGCACAAATAGCTTATTATTATTATAATTATATCTCGATTAGGGTGTCAATCATCTTGAAGGATAGTGAACAGTTATAGTTATTTCATTATTTAATATTTATTGGCAGTTGCCACATTGATGCATTCTCTTTTGCCATTGTTCTCCACTTTTTTTTTTTTTATCGAGATTTCAAAACCCCACCTTTTGGATTTTTTATTCTTTGCCAATAACTAACAGAACGTAAAAAAATAAACCAAAGCCATTTTCAGTCAAAAATCACCCCTCCTTTTGTGGAGGGGTTGGAATACTCGTTGGACTATCTCATCAAATGATAACAAGGATTCTGGGAACTCCCTTTCCTATCGACTTTTCGCCCATCATTGCCTCTTTAACTTCTTCAACTCAACATCCGTTTCTTTTTTTTTTTCCCCTCTCGAATTTTGACTATGGCTGCCTCCAGAGCATTCGGATTCTCTCGATTTCAGAAAGAAGCAGCGCTTAAAGAATCAGCGTATACGGCGATACAAGGGCAAGTTCCTCAAGAGAGTGAAGCATAGTTTTCGCAATCAGCACAAGCACAAGTTAGTGCTGGCGTCACTGTTGTCGCCTGCTCTGACAGGGCCAGCCATGATAACAATGGATCCATATCTTTGACTCAAGATCCAGAGTGACAAACTTGTCTTAAAGTCATTTCGCCTCCCTACATCGATTTCTCTCTTTAGTCTTTCCTCCTCCACTTCCCTGGCTTCGTCCTTCTCTCTTTTTTTGTTTGATTTCATTATGCCATCTTCTTTGGCTTCATTCTTTTCTTCTCCTTCATTGGTCTCATTAGCGGTCATCGTGACCTCTATCAAGACCTGAGGCCAGCACCAATACTGCCCCCCCTCCCCTCCCCCAAGGACAAGACGCCGGTAATCGCAAGGACCAGACCAGAGACCTGGATGTATGGCCTCCGAAGCTGCCGCTTTTACCCGTCCTCTATGCTTTTCGATAGTATTTGACTTTATGAACCAGATCCATCGATTCCGGCATGACCACTACACCTCATGGTCTAGTTGATCTAGTAGTGGCGATTGAAAATTGGTGATCGGTATGATTGCTGATATCGTCTCCATCATCACTATCATCGCCATTACTATCCTCAACGCTTAGGTTTGCACCTAGGTCGTACCCGACTTTTCGGCCTCGTCATCGGCCTTTTTCACCGGCTTAGTCCTCTTAGTTGTCAAAGTACAACCACCTCGCCGTTTTTATGGTCTCGTCGTCGTAGAGGCTTTCCAGCTCTTCTTCTTCCTCCCTCGGCGATAGACCTTTTCCTCCATCTACTTCTTTATTTTTTTTTTTTTTTTGTCTCTTCTCTTTCTGTTGTTGTTTGAGCCCTGGTATGCCCCGCATGGACAAGATTCTCGGGCTTGATATGGGCGAGGCTAAAAAAAGTCACTCATGAACGCAAGCTCACTGAGACTTTAGTTGTTGACGGCTATGGGTTATGATTGAGTCGATATTGATAAAGTGAACGTGGCATCACGGTTGATGAGCACCTTGACCCTGCTGTGTCGCTGCTGTTTTCCCCTCGCCCCAGCCCCTTCCCTTCCCTACCACCGTCTCTTCCTCTGCCATCATCTTCTTCGCCATCATCTCTTCTCTAACAACGCATGCTGCTGTTCCAGGGCCAAAGTCCGAGCTTAGCTAAATAGCTTTCTTAGTTGGGGACTAGCGCGGTTTGCCCATTATTATTCCGCTAAACCAAGGGCCATCTTCACCAACGACGGGTTGTGGTTGATGTTTTGAGAGAAATCAGTCATACGGTTATTCTCTCCTGACTGTAGCAATACTGGTATATTACCCTTGTCTGGTCCGAGGTCGACACCGATATTGGTCGAAGGCATTGCTTAGGTGGCAGGTCATAACGGAGGCGTGCCAGGGCCGTAATGAGACATGCCAGAGCCGTAAGAGGGACATGCCAAGGCGAGGTTGGTGAGCGTGAGCAATTTTGTCATTTGAAGCTTGACGTTAGGCGCGGTCGAATGGGGTCAAGACCCTCTTATTCTTCGGCAATAGATGCATGTGGGCTTTTTGGTTATATACACCATCGCCTTCTTGCGGGCGAGTGGGCGGGCGGGTAGAGGAACGGACGGCTGAACCATCGTCTCTTTTGAGCCAGGCTGTAGGAGCTTGACTGCTTTGTAGCGGTGGGAATTGACCACGCCTTGAGTAAGAGTAGCGCCACCACTATCGAGACGCCAGCAGGGCTCCTATTCGATAATCGAATAAAATTCGAATGCACTGTAAAAAAAAAAAAAAAAAAAAAATTATATGCATTCGAATTTCATTCGATTATCGAATAGGAGCACTGGACGCCAGCATTGCTGGTGTTGCTGAGATTGCTTAGCCGTCATCTTCAGCTACTAGGCCAAGTCCCCTTTATTTCAACTTTTTGGTCAGAGCTGATAGCAGCGTCCAAGGAGGAAGCTTGCGGATCGAGAGCGGAAATGCCAGCAACAGCCCTCTGGTCATAGTAGCCATAACAACAGGAAGTTGTTGCTGTCGCTGTAGCTTCTTGAGACTAGTAGCGGGGCCTCAGCAGCGGGGACGGCCGGGTTTGGTTTGGTTTGAGTTTGTGGTCTTGAGGACATATTTACTCGTCAGGACTTCGTCCACAACGATGATGTTGGTCAAGATGACAGCTATCAACTCCTCCACCCCATGAATCTTGCTGGAGGACAGGCGATAGATAATGGGAAGAAGAAGTTTTGCTCTAAAGTTTACGTAAGGTGAGGTAGAGCTTACTAGGAAACTCTGGATGTAGTTCTGAAGTCTGAACACCTTTCGATCCTGAGGCTACTGACGAGGATGAAGGGGAGTGGAGGCGATGAAGGCGATGAAGGAAATGAAGAGGATGAAGAGGTAGTGATGGTGGTGTCGTCTGAGATGATAGTCTCCTATATGGATGGAGAATTGCAAAGTAGGATGTGTTTTCAGGCAAGACTGGGGGTGTAGTCGACTGAACCATGGCTTCGTTATTTGTAGCGGCTGTATAAGGAAGACATGGGCACCAGCACAAAGGATCCTGCTATTAAAAATGATAAGATCATACGATAGAAAAGAAATAGATTAGTAAATCAAAGTAAAGTATTTCAATTTCCTTCATTCAAAGAAAAAAGGGCGAGAGAGAAAGTTATACTCTAACATACCACTGGATCCAGAAAGCGTGGCCATGGTCCCTCTTCTCCGACTTGCACTTCATGCGTGTCTGGTTGACTAGTAGGGGTGGGTAGGTCGCTAAAACGCCGGAGGGGGTGGAGGCTGGGGGGCAAAGCATTGCTCTCCTCCGGTGCACGGCCGCACATAGAAAGGCAGGGCATGTACGCGTGCTAAAAGCACAGGAGCATATCCAAAAGAGAGAATGAGTGGTGGTGACTGGTATAGAAGAGAGTGAGGAGGGAAAAGGAGGGGAGGATGTTGATGCCTTTTATAGGCAAACGTGTCCTGCTTGGAAGGACTTTTTTTTTTTAAAAAAAAAAAAAAAAAAAAAAAAAAAAAAAAATTGAAGATGGTAGAACAACAGGATGCGCTCATATTGTCACTTCGTTGCTAATGAAGTCTTCTTTCCCATTTGTGTCCCCTTTTCCGTCAAAAGCTATTGCCTTTCCTCCTTTACAAATGTGAAAATATGTGGAAAAAAATGATTTTCTATTTTTGATTACTATTGTATACTCTCCTCTTCATGAAACAGCTAGGCTACTCCACGTCTTTCTTGCATCCAACATACATCGACATTCGCAAAAAGCACACTAAAGCAAACATTAATAATAATGTATATGTTTTTTTAAAAAAAAAAGAAAAAAGAAGGCAATAAAGCTATACACAATGGAGCTTGAAACGATACTTCGTAATAAAAGCTGGTGTGGTTTTTTCTCTCTTACTTTCGCCTTTATTTTATTTTTTTCTTTTCTTTAAAAAAGGCGGTTTAGAGAACGCGTTGCTGATTGGTGTAGGATAGCACACAGTGTGGTGTATAACAGCATTCAGCATAAAATGATCTAAAATATCTCACAATCTTTCCACATAAAATAAAAAAGGAAAGGAAAGGAAAGGAAAGAAAAGAAAAAAGAAAAGAAAAGAAAAGAGGAGAAAGAGAGTGTAAGAGAAAATATGAGAAAGAACGCGTAAAATTAGATCGACTTTCAGATAAAGAGCAAAGACACCAATTCTTCTCATAGGAGCCGAATAGTAAAAAAAAAATACTAAACAATCTAGCGGATCAAGGGCTTTGGTACGTTTTTTTGTTTTATTTTATATTTAGATGTATTTTTTTTTTTCCTTCAGTATCTAGTGACGCGTCTTCAAAATTAAGTGGACTTGTCATAATCATCATTATACATAAGGATTTTGGTCTATGTATTAAAAACCATACTATTGTCATTATTATTATGATCATCACCATCTGTTCTTCCAAGGAACATATTGACCTTCTCTGATATTGATCAAGATTAATTTATCCACAGCTTCAGCAATGACAACTTTATCTTAAAGAAGCAAAATCTTATATAAAAATAAAAATAACGACCGGCTAGATTTGATCCGCTATTACTATTCCTGTGACTGAATAAGCTCCGACCTCGTACGACACAAGAAACGTTGTCATCGCTTGCCATTCAGATGATTTTCCAATTCGAAGGGAGGGGGAGGCGTCTGATGGTGTTCAGGTTGTAGATATCCAGAAAGAAGTCTTTCTTGATATTATGGTACTATTCTCAATCGATGGGAAGGAAATGCAGACTATCCCCTAACATCCTGACACTGAGAAGAATAGCTCTGATCCATCTGAAACTACAAAGTAGATCTGAGTGTGTATGTGCGTTATGTACGTTCATGTATGTGAATGATCTTGACTCCTTGCATTATTTTTAAACTTTAACAAATGAATCCTTTTTGCTATTAGAAAAAGAAAAGAAAGAAAACAACAGAAAACCCTGGAAGCCTTGGACGTGATCATGATGGGGACTACACCAGATGCCGACGCGTTATAATGTTCCTATTAGAGCAAAAAGAAAGAAAAAAAAAATAATACATGGTGCTGATATCAAAAAGCCAAATGTAGAAATTATAGGAGAATGTGTGGTATATCCATAATGCAAAAACTGTTTTGTGAGCCATTCACAATCAATTTACATACTCGAGGCATCAGTTACAATTATGAAAGAAAAGGCATTTTTTACTTTAAATGTAAGTTTTTTTTGTTTTTGAATAATTTTATTTCCAACAAAAAAATAGTGGGTCGAAGCAAAAGATGCTGCGGGGGAATAATAAAGAGGATCCCAAGAAATTATTTGGTTGGAGAGAGTAGAAGGAGGGATTTTTTTTTTTTGTGTCTAAAGGAGAAAAATATTGATAAAAGGAAAAAAAAAAAAAAAAAAAACAAGAAACGGGAGACAGATTTTTTTTTGTTATGTGAATGTTGGAAGGTAATTTTACATGTCATCCATAGCACGGAGGGTCTCCTCGAGCTCTGCCTTGGCTTCACGGAGCTTGGTGGTAGCCTCCTCAAGCTTGGTCTCCAAGTTCTCGTTATCCTTCTCAAGAGTCTTTGTCTTGCGCTCAAGGTCCTCAACCTTCAACTCAAGCTCACGGAGCCTAAAGGAGAAAAAAGAAAAGAAATAGTTTTTGACATTAGTTGGATATTCTCATTGCCTGGTAAAGAAAGTGTTTTCCTCCTTATGATTTTGGGAAAAGGTACAGTGATGAGGCCTGCAGAAGAGCTTGTCCAAGCCTGTCTTGCCTGCCTGCTCATCAGTACTCATTTCCTTGACTTTGCAACAAAAAAAAAATTTCCTTTTTTATATATAGACAACATAGCCAAAGGATCCAAAGAAAGAAAGGAAAGAAATAGATGGAATAGAATAACACATACTTGGTCTTGGAGTCACTGCCACCGCTCTCGGCCTTCTCCAACTGAGCCTCGAGGAGTTGGATGCGGTTGTTGAGAGAGATAGCCTCCTGATCCTTAGCAGCGAGCTCATCCTTGAGGGAAGTGTTCAAACGCTCGGCTTCCTCAGCACGGACGATGGCGGCATCAGCCTCAGCGCGGACGGTGGCGAATTTCTAAAAGAAAAAAAAAAAAGAAAAGAAAAGAGAAAAAGTCAATTGTCAATATCATGTCTTTGGAACAAGGTCTTGGATGGACACAGGTGGGTAAAAGAAAATGTCGAATAACAATAAAAGAAAAAGAAAAAGAAAAAAAACTGGCTCCTCTCCCACGCAACAAGGGTGGTTAAGGAAGCAAGAAGGGACAAGGAAGTTCATCGTTGCAATCTAATCAAGTCCTGTCAGCTAATCTCATTTCTGTCTTTTTTTTTTTTTTATCATCTCATCGCCTGTCCATTGAGAATGTTACATGTTTATAATTATTATTTTTCTTTTTTTTCTATTGCGTTCCATGGGCAAGGATAAAAAATCGTGACGTTCCTGAGCAGTAACGGTTGTCTTTCTTTTGCACTTTGTTACTCCTGCAAAATATTATATAAACAATGACAACGACAAACACGCATGTTGCTGTATCCAGTTATCCTTCCTTCTCCCTTATCCTCGGTCTCCTGCACAACTACAGTAATATGCAGCTCAGACATGTACAGGAGGAGGGATTGTGAAAGAGATAAGAAAGAAGAGGAGAGAATAGAATGGCAACACAAAAAAAAAAAAGCAACGAGAGGATAGAAAGGAAAAGAAAAAAAGAGAACAAACTAGGGTAATAAAAAGAGGGAATAGTGGAATAGCCTGCAATAACTTACTTCCTTGAGCTTGTCCATTATGTTGTTTTGTAAAAGTGTAGAGATGAGATGATGATGAAAGAGAGAAGTGAAGATGTCAAAGAAAAGAGAAGAAAAAAAAAAAAAAAAAAAAAAAAAAAAGCAGGAAGAGCAAAGGCTATATATATAATCGTACATTTGCATTTGCTCTCTATTTTACTTTCATCTTTTTTTAAAACACTCAATGCTCTTTTGATGCGAGGGTCCAATGGCAAATCGCGTGAAATTGACCGACCTTCGGTGACGTTTTTAGACCCACTTACACAACTCCCTTCGAATGGTTTGAATGTCGGGTCTAGTGTATTTTACACAGTGAACCCCTTGAGGTAAAGATAATATATATCTGCATTAATATTATATATTTTATTAATCATCGGACCCCAGATCCCTGACTATCCAGTAAGCATCGACTTGGGAAGGGAGTAAGTCTATTGCTACTTTGATTATGTTTGTAGACTATTTCAGACGCTCTCCTTTATCTCTCTATCTTTTTTATTTCTCATTCCTCGTTTGCTGATGGTATTCATTGGAGCCAAAAAGGAGCCGAGCCATGTCATGCCATGCTTTTCTTGACTTTTTTCAGAGCAGAATACTTTTTTTTAATCTCCATTTTATTCAATAAAGCGAAGGATAGAAAGCAGACTAAAAAAGAAGTTTTATCCATTGTCAAGAAAAAGAAGTCGCCTTGCCTAACATGGATTTTTTTTTTTTTTTTTTTTTTTTTTTGATATGATACATGGCTGATTCAGGACAAGAGACAAAAAAAAAACTCTGGCCCATCAGCTTTCCACTCTCCTTTCCCTAGTTTATTTATTTAGAGTGCCAGAGAGAGTGTGCGGCAGAGGGAGTCCAATCAGGCTGGGAATTGTGGCCCTGCAAGCAGATGTACTTGCGTCCATCATACTTGACCTTGTCGCCAGGGGAGTAATAGTGACCGGAGGCCTGCCAGTGCTTGCCCTTCTTGTCCTTCTTGTCCTTCTTGTGAGAAGAGTCTGAATCAGAGTCAGATGATGAAGAGGAGTCACCGCCGTGATGCTTCTTCTTCTTATAATCACCATGGTGTCCACTGCTGCTCTGATGGCTGCTCTGATGCTGCTGATGCTGCTGATGCTGTTCATGACGCTGATATTCGGACTGGTGCTGAGAATGCTGTTGCTGTTGCTGTTGCTGTTGCTGTTGCTGCTGATGAATCTGTTGCTGTTGTTGCTCAAGACGGGCCTGCTGCTCTAGCTGTGTACGCTGGAAGGCGGCCCTCTCTTCTTCCAGACGCTTCTTCTCATTCTCAAACTTGCTATGCTCCAATTGGGCTTGACGCTCGGCCTCCTTGCGAGCCTCTTCCTCCTTTTTCTTATCGTCCATAAGCTTGTTGGCCAAGAGACCGGCTCCTACGGCCAAGAGTCCTCCGAAGGCAGCACCTCCAGCATCGGCAGCGGTTTCTCTGTTCTTTAGGGACTTGATGCGTTTGTGGTGGAGTTCAGAGATGTGAGAGGTGCCCTTGACGGGTGTAGAGGTCTGAATGGCCGGTTGGGTGTTTTGACCGGGAACATTGTGGGCAGTCAATGTAAGGTTGACCTCGCCCTGCTGCTTGCCATCGGGAGTAAAGAGATCAAAGACGCCATGCATTGTAGCACCAGGGGCATGAACGATTTGGTTGACGGGGATCGCTGCAAAGGCAATCACTGCATCGGCTGTGGTCTCTTCATCCATGAGCTCAATGAACAACTCGGGCTCACCAGCAAGAGAAACGGTAAAGGTCTGGTTCCAGGTAGCGGTCTTGCCAGCATCCTTGTGGACAAAGGTCTTTTGGAATGACTTTGGGTTGTTAAAGTCGAGACTGAACTGCAAGTAGGGGTCTTGCTTGCCAAAGGTCTAAAATCATTCAAAAGAAAAACCAAGGCGATTTTTTTTTTTATTTAATCAGGATTACCGTGGGAATGAATCTGAGGTGATAAAGAGCGAAAATTTGAATGATTGCTATAATTCTTACCTCAACATCCTTCAAGTTCTGAGCACCGTGGGCAACAATTACCAAAGTAGGACCTTGAGACATGTTTGTGAAGTAAATGGGAAAAAAAAGTATTGGTAAAGAAGGAAAGGAAGTAGTTTTGGGATTGAAGAAAAAAAAAAGTTGAAAGAAAAAGGAAAGTGGGTTTGGATGGAGGGTATTTATACATGGAAGTTTTTGTCACTTGACAAGGTCCTTGCGAAAAAGAGACACATTACCCAATTTTCTAAAAGGACAAGGAAGGAACAACGTTGATGCACATCATTCGGTCCAGTACTCAGGCAAAGAAGAGCAAAAGGACAAGCCGATCATGTAACAGTCCAAAGACAGGTCCATATGAGATATATTTTAAAGCATTCTAAAGCATTTTATACAATTGAATATAAAAGTTTCTAACACTTTTATTTATTTTTTTTTTACTTTTGGACTATTGTATGTACGTATGAATAGCCCATGATCTATTTACATGGAAAGAATCACGTACAAAATATATATATAATATATATATATCTATCATATCATATACATGTACAATTCCGTTTTATGGAAGTGATGACTTTATTAACAGACAGAACTCCATCGATTGAAAAATAAAATTAAATTTAGAATAATATACTCGCCTTATTCTACAAATATACTTCTGTCTAGTCTGTTGTCTGTTGTCTGAAGAGAAATACCCGGGCTGTAAAAAAAAAAAAAAAAAAAAAAAAAAAATGACGCGTTGCCCTCATTCGATTCGCATCCTTCCTGTCGGCTGATTTGTTCCTTGACTCCATACTGCCATTGTTGGGACACGTCTGTCAGCGAAAATATCTGTGAAAAAATAAAAAAAATAAAAAATAAAAAAAAGATCCATCGTACATGTAAAACTCCCGTCATTTTTCTTCATCACCATCAATCAGCTAAAAACTGGATTGATGTCAGCGACTGGTATTAGCCACTTCCTTAGCATAAAAAAAAAAAAAAAGAGAGAAAGAGATCTTGAACAGACAACGCATGAAAAACTACTCTCTTCCCTTAATCGTTTATCCTTTACCAATAAAATGCCTCTTGCTTTCCATGGGGGGTCCTTGCTTCCAATTTGCATTTGCGCATTGAGACACATGCGCATGATTTCATGTTATAATACATATAAACATATACATGCACTTGTCGTCGCTGTTGTACTATTGGTGCAAAGGACAAAGGACAAAGGACAAAAGTGGAAGAAAAGAAAAGAAAAAAAAAGTATGCAGGTAGAAAGCAGGTAGAAAGCAGGTCGAGGCCCACACTTACTTTTACTCTTCACACTTCTCTTTCCATGATGAATCCCTTTTCCTTGCATCTCGCATGAACTTGCCATTCCATTGATGCATTAATGGACACTGGAATAAAAAAAAAAAAAATCAAAGTCACACATTTAATAAGTAAGATGGACCGTGAGAGCAATTAGACGAGCCCCAATCTCACTCACCTGTCTTTCCGCCCTTCTTGTTATCCGGGTACCCCCTCTATAAAAGAAACAGAAAGCAAAGTTGTATGCACAAAACCAACAAGGAAACGGCAATTGAATAATGACCCCCTTCCTCTACATTCAATCTTTTTCTTCTTCCCAATAATATGCGTATACCCCCTTCTGAACTTCTTCCCCATTTTCCTCGCACACCTTAGCCTTACCTATATACTTTTCGCTTCATCTCATTTTCAAAAGAAACAATAAAGCAGAAAAAAAGAAAAAAAAAAAAAAAAAGGCATGGTCAGATTTTTTTTTGATAACAAGAACGGTGTTTTTTTTTTTTTATTTATTTACAAAATTGTATTTTTTTGTTCTGATTAAGAGAAATGGATTTTTTATGATGGGGGAGCAGCATTGCCACCCAAGCCACCGAGGAGTGCACCAGCGAGGCCTAAGACGCCAGCAGCACCAGCAGCAACAGCGGCATCAGTGGCCCTCTCCTTATTCCTTTGGGATTTGACCTTATCATGGTGCTCGGTGACAATCTGGGATTGACCCTTGACTTCAGGACCACTGTGGGTGCTGTGGCTGGCCTGCTCACCAGGCTGGAGGGCCTGGATGGTCAAGGTAATGGTTCCCTTCTCCTTGCCGCTAGGGGTGTAGAGGTCGTACTTGGCGCGCAAAGTCTCGTTGGGGGCACTGCGGACCTGGCTCAAGGGGATGGCAGCGAAGCCAATGGGGGCATCAGCTCCAGTCTCGTCATCAAGAACCTCAACATACAAGTAGTGGTGCTGGCTGGGTTCGTAATCGCTGAGGACCACGGTTTGGTTCCATTCGACATCATTTCCAGCGTTTTTCTTGGTAGCGGTCTTTTGGTATAATTCTTTCCGTTCGAAATCCAAGGTGACGCGGGCATAAGGATCGTTCTTTCCGAAAGCCTTTTTTTAAAAAAAAAAAAAAAAAAATCATTTCAAAAAAATAGAGTAGGGCTTGTCAGCTCATATTGCATGATATAAATCCAACCAAAACGCGTGTGAATAAAAAGAAAAAGAAAACAAAAATGTGTGAAGGATAATGAAAAAGATCTATACCTCAACGTCATCCAATTGGCTAGCCTGGTGGATAGTGACCTGAAGAGATTGAGACATGGTTGGTTAAAGGTTTATTGGAGTTGAAAGGAAGAGATGAGAATAGAGTGGTTTGATAACTTGAAGAAATTGGGTATGATGGATGCGAGTTGATAAAAGAAAAAGAAAAAAAAAAAAATGATGGAGAAAGGAGGGGTTTATATAGAAATGAGAGAAGGTGAAGGGAATGACGCCAGGACCAGAGAAAGTTAAGCAAGAATGGACCTTGATTTGAACCATTGCTAAGCAAAGCCCATCAGTGTGAGAAAACTGCAAGGACGTACACCTAGCTTCAATTGATTTGCTTTGGACCAAATAGAACGAGTTAACGAACTTGTTTCGGAACAATTGGGCAAGATAAGTGATGGGGGGCGAGTGAATTGTTCTTGTACCAACCATAGTCTTCCACTACACATGAACTAAAATAATGTGTACATGTTATTAGTATAGACTAGGGCATACATGTTTACATGACAACTAAAAAGTGTGATTCTTTTTTTTTTTTTTTTTTTTTTTTTTGGTTCATATTCACCATTAATGGCGCGTAAAATATAATTTCTCTTTGGGTCTGTTCCTCCTTTTCGTAGGGGACCGTGTCATGGCCTGTGGACCAGATTGGTGTACGTTATTGGTCAAATTCACGTATACACATCGCCACTCTGTAAAATGCAACGCATCTTTTTTAACAACAGGTTTAATCGTTTGACAAGCGAAAATCCATTCATGCAGGAGGCTGACTTTTTTTTTTTCTTTTTCCCTTTTCGCATTCTTCAAGGGGGTGGGGAGGAGGAGCGAAGGATTGGAAAGAAAAAATCCACACCAGTCAAAGATCGTTTCAATCACCAAATAAGATTTTTGCAGAGGAACAATGGAACAATGGAACAATGGCGCATGTTCAGGTCTATATAAAAACAGCCACCACAGAAAACCAAAGGATTTTCTCATAAATTGATATGATTTGCTAATCAACAAAATTAACTCTAGGATGTACATGTACATGCTCATGTACACATTTTGAAAAGTAAAAACCAGTTGATAATTCAAATGCAGAGATAATCAATTGGTCTCTTGGTCTTGATGGGAGTGGGTTTTAATAAGCCCTCTCTCTCTCTCTTTTTTATTTTTTTTATTTTTTTTTTTTTATTCTTATCACTCGTATGCTCACTTTTTGATCAGAAAATGCGTGTGTCAAAAGAGTTCATCGGGTTAGTTTATAAAAAGATTTATTTTTGAGGTAAGAAGCAAGTTGCACATACTTTTTCTATACCACTCAAGGCGTGAGATTCGTGTTATTGGCGTGATTACTACATTAGATTAGCAAATGTCCAGCGAAAATTCGTGTGTCAGAGCATGGACGAGCATCACCTGATAAAAAAAAAATTTAGGAGGTCGCCTGCCTGAGGAAACAAAAAAAAAAAAAAACGCGTCGAAGGATTGACATTGGGACATAAATCCACAAGGAAACAGACCTTTGTATTCACAAAAGATACAGAGGATGCATGCATCGTATTGAACTCTTTAGAACATGACGGATGTTCCTCTTTTCGTCCTTTTTTTTTTTTTTTTTTTTTTTTTTGCTGATCTGTTCTTTTTGGGGTTCAGTTATCTCTTCTTCTCCAAGAAGACTACAATAAATTTGCAAAGTCAAATTTGATTTGCCAGAAAACCTTTCAAAAAAATTTCTCCTCGGACTTGCTTCTCGAACATTCGTATGCATTTGCAACATTATACATGTATGCCATTACACATGCAAAAGTAAGTGTAACGCGTCATGCTACAGCGCTTTTTTTTTTTCTATATCCCTTCCCAATAAAATTCGATTTTTAGTCTAGAAAAAAAGTATAGCATGCACACGCATAGTTTATGGTGCCACTATTTTTGTCTTTTACTTCAAAAGTTCATATCAATAAACCTGTTCTGTGCATGTAAACACACACTATTCCTTTGATGCATCTTGCAAGAGGCCAAGTTCTTGTTTTCTAGCATAGACGACCCGATCCAACAGATTAGCGCCTCGGTAGTCGCCCAGGATCCCCTCGAACGGACCAAAGGCATTGGTCACGAATGAAAACCCAATGTGAAGTTCCTCAATCCAAATGGTCAGGGATCCACCAGCACCACTCCAACCTTGAATCTCAATATCCTTCAATAGTTTACTTCCACTAAAGCCCTTAAGCTTAACCCAACCTCCCACAGACATAGGGAGAGTCTCATCTAGGATTTGATCGAGTTGAGAAGAGTGGAAGGTGGTGGCCTTAGTATAGGTTTCTTGACTAAGCAGATCAGGTTCTTGACCAGGATTAACGGATGCGCCCTTGTTAGCCATCATGGACATTAGTCTGGCAAGCTATCCATATTTTTTGATAATGTTGAAACAAGACGTGTGAGCAAAAAAAAAAAAAACAATAGTCGAAGCAGCAAATAAAAGAAGGGCAATTTTACCGAATGAGCATTAGTCTTGAGCGAAAAGCTGGGACTCTCACTCTCATGGGCCTCTTTGGTGCGCATAAGATCGGGACTGCTAGCGAACTTTGGCATGAACGACTTTTTAACCAAGTCCTTGCCACCAACAGCAAGCGCCTTGGCTACGGGATGTATAGGTGCCATAGACGGGTAGCCAATGTATTTGTTGGTCTGAATGAACCGTGGGATCAATAGACGGCCAATGGTCCTTAGGAGAGGGTAATCATGCCACACTGACAGACGGTCCTCCCAATCTGATTCCTTTGGCAATTTAGAATAGTACAATTCGACATCGGGGTATGCTCCCATCAGGTCTTGTTCTGCAATCTGACCGATGGTTCGACCCTTTGGATCGACTCGACGGACAATCTCATTCAAAAACCAGCCACGAGTCATGCCATGGTACGCACGAATCTTCTCGCCCTTGAAATGATGAGGCTGACGAGCCAATCTCTGTGAGAATGATTCTACATCTTTTAATCGAGCCCAGCTCATCAAGTTGGTTTCGTCGTCATCATCCAAGTAAGAGACTCCGGATTCATGAGTCATTAGGTCCACAAGTCGAACATCCTCCTTGTCATTCTGTGCAAATTCAGGCCAGTAGTCCGCCACCCGTTTCTCATAGTCCAATAAACCTTGATCGACCAACCGAGCAATTACAATGCCCTCGACGACCTTACCAGAGGAATAGACCTGCTGAAGAGTCTTGTTATTGTAGATCTGAGTCTTGGCCAGATCCTTTGCGCCTGCATAAACATCAATCACGGGCTTTCCCTCCACAAAGACCGCGAAGGAACCACCGAGATCTTCACTGTTGGAGAACAAAGAGAGATAGTATTTGAGGACTTGCGAATAATAGTCAGGACGTTCGAGAATGCCCTCCAGATAAACAGATCCTTGAGGACAATTGAGACCAAAGGCGATGCAGGTCGGGGGTTGGAAAGCTCCCTTCCTGGAATAGGTGTAGAACGCAAAGATGATGGCAGGTAAGAACCGGATGAACCATTGAAATAAGGACAATCTTGGAAAAAAGGACGGACGCTGAGATGTAGATCCTTTACGTCCTGCTGCAATCTCATTTTTGCTCGTCATTTTGCTTTTGCTTTCTTTCTCTTTTTTTTTTTTTTTTTTCTTTTTTTTTTTAAAAAAAAAAAAAAAAAAACTGGTACTACGGTTACGAAAGAAAGGAGAAGAAAAAAAAGAAAGAAAGAAGGAAAGAAAGAAAGAAAGAAAGAAAGAAAGAGATAAAGAGTTCAGATAGAGGTTGCTCTTGAGTTTTTAAACACTGATCGTCAGAACCTTGTAACAAAGCCTCACCTGTTTCGTTCGACACGGGTTTTGATGAAATATTGACACGTTTGTATTGCCACCAAACAACAGAAAACAGTTAAATTTGGTTAATTAAACAACCGACCGTTACCAAAATCACGATCAGTTACCCTCAGCCCAGCCCAGTTTCCCCCAAACCCAAATTCCAGTTTCCTCAGCCCGCTTTCTTCAACGACTCCAAAAGTCTCCAACGAACTCGAGATTTCTAGCTAAAATTAGGGCTGGATAAACTTTTTAGCCAGTGCGCTCACATGTGTGTTATGAGTATACTTCCAAGTCCTTGGCCAGATTTATGTAGAATGGAGATAGATAATATGAAAAGATAAATAGATGAATACGAGTTGAGATACCGAAAGGAATAGCATAAGGACCATAGAAAGTAAAAGCAAGGTGGGTTTTGGATTTGAACCCTGTGCGAAGCAAATCCATCTTTGTGAGAAAACAACGGTGTATTGGTTCTTTTTTTTTTTTTTTTTTTTTTTCAATTGTTTTTTCTAATCAAGACAGACGCGAGTGAATTACGTGCACATTCACATCACTCAATAACCTATGCGCTTTTATAGGGCAATAATATCACAAACGAACATCCTTTATACAGGGAGTCCATCTTTTGAGATTTACAGAAAACCAGTAGGTTAATCCACAAACTGACTTCAGCATGAACCCTTTAAAAAGCAAACCGATAAATGATCAATTAATCTCTTTTGGCCTTAGTGGAAGTCTCTAAACCCATTTCCTTTTTTTTTTTTTTATTTCATATCGCACATTTTCTAAATACACATGTTAAAAGCATAAGTTGTACACGCTTTTATACGTTCATTTATAATCAAGACAGGATTTACTTTACAACTAATTTGGCACACGTTCAGCGAAAACTTGTATCAGAAAAAAAAAAAAAAAAAAAAAAGACGTTAAAGGGTTTACCGCCAACCTTATTGACCTATCTGATCCGTAGGAAAACCTGGTTCAGAAAAAGAAAAAGGCCCTAAAACTTGAATTATTGAGCATACGGGTATGCAATTGCAATTTACAAGTACATGTATGAAAGCGTGACGCGTCCTGATACATTCTTTCCCATACCGAAGACAAAGGCTCTGGGGCTGTGTGTAGCTGTAGCTTTCCTCTGTACTTGAACAGGATGGTATTCAGCCCATGCAACACTGCGCCTTCCTGTGACCCATAGCCCCTATGCTGGCTTTATGCAGTTAGCATACATCCTTGGTCTCACCTAGGTCATCACCACTTGTTACTATTTGCAGACGTTCAAGTTTTAGAATGTCGCTTTTGGAGGGTCTTTTGCCTATCTTGAAGTCTTTTCGTAGTTTGATGCTAGCGCACTGGCCACTACTACACATGTTTGTCCTACCCTTCTGAGTAGTGCCTTTCGCGGTGTTCAAGCCTTCGGCGGTAGGCATCTAGAGTTGTATACTAGAAGAGAAGGTCAGGTGGTCTGTGATGCTTCTTTTGTCAGGGCATAGTTATGAACCATCTTTGAGCAGAGGTGGAGATAATTAATAATGATAATGATAATAGAAAGTGCTGTTGTAGCTCTGGAGGACGCTGTCCTTGAGGCAAAGATATCAGTAGAAGTAAAGATCCTTTCCCACGTTCTTAATACTTTAATCAGTGCCAATCAGGGTTTTTGAGGCGACTGGTATACGGATTCATACTGATCTCATCAGCACTGAAAAAGAAAAAAGGAAAAAAAAAAAAAAAAAGGGGGTGCTTTGTCTGTAGGGCAGCCATTCAACTTTTTTCCTTTATTCATTCCCACAAGCTTCATTTCATTTCATTTCATTTACATTTCATACTCTCCATGTCACCTCCTGTTCATTCAAAGACCAAGCACTCCGAGTCTGCAGCTGCTCGTCTATGCGGTTCTGCAGCCTCTGGGATCCTCGAGCTGGTGATTTTCCATCCCATTGATACCATTGCCAAGCGACTCATGAGTAACCAAACTCGGGTAAAAAATAATAATAATAATAAAATGCAACCATAAGATCTGTATATACATATGCATATGGATATAAAATGGTGCTTACAAGACTAGTGAAAAACTAAGTTAAAGAGTGGGCTCATTTGTTATGGGTTTGTTTTTACATGTATAATTTCTATATATTTTGTAACAGCTGTTAAGTTCAGGTCAACCGTTGAGCACCGTATGGAAAGCAACCAACAAGGTGATCTTCAAGGAAGCTGCGGATGCTGCATTCCTCCAGAAATATACCTCTTTATTTCCGGGGCTAGGGTTTGCAGCAGGATACAAGATCTCACAGAGAGTGTACAAGTATGGAGGACAACCATTTGTGAACGAATATTTAAATAGTCACTACAAATCTTGGTTCCATCGAGTCTTTGGAGAAAAAACTGGCAAGACAATGATGCATGCGACCGCAGGTTCCTTGGTTGGGATTGGTGAAATTGCTTTGTTGCCTTTGGATGTCCTCAAAATCAAACGACAGACCAACCCAGACGCCTTTCGTGGGCGTGGGGTCTTTAAGATTGTTGCAGATGAAGGCATGGGCCTTTACAGGTAACAAGGATTAAAAAAAAAAAAAAAAAAATTCACATGCTCAAAGCCTGCAAAAAAAAAAAAAAAAAAAAAAAAACACTTTCTCATCCCCTTCCTTCATGTTCTACCCTCGTGTCTTCCTTTACTAGAGGGGCAACCTGGACAGCAGCTCGCAATGCACCTGGGTCTTTTGCACTTTTTGGCGGCAGCGCCTTTGTGAAAGAATATATTTTCAGATTGGATGATTACAACAAGGCAACATTCTTTCAAAACTTTTGTGCTTCCATTGGTGGTTCCGTAGCCTCCATTACCGTTGCTGCACCCCTGGATGTGGTCAAGACCAGGATCCAAAACAGAAACTTTGACAGCCCTGAGGGGGGTATGAGTATCATTCGGAATATGGTGCGAAATGAAGGGTTCGGTGCCTTCTTCAAGGGTCTCTTACCCAAAATCCTGGTTGTTGGACCTAAACTCGTCTTCTCGTTCACAGTGGCTCAACAGCTCATTCCAATGCTCCATATCAAGTTTGAAGACCTTGGGTTGACTCACGTTGGTAATACCAGCAAGTCTCGCTCTGCGTGAGAAAGATAAAAGAAGACAAAAGAAGAAGGGCGACCATAAAATAGGTCATGCTCACCCAAAGTGTTGATTCAATCCCCTAGTGACTTTTAAATAATAATGTCATACAAATTCTTTAACCACTCGTATGTGAATACTGAATACTGTCAAGGATCTTTTGAAGTCAATTTTTATTTTACAAAAAGAACAGCCGAGATATTAAAGAAATCTGATCAAAAGAAAAAAAGGAAAAAAAAAAAAAGAAATTGGCGAGGAACGTTTCTCAAGAGGATGGAGCAGGGTGTGATATTGGAGACATAGGATTCCTCTGTCATTAATCCCTTCTTCTCTTTCCATCCTGAGCTGAGGAGTTATCTTGGCCAGATCTCTTCTTCGAGGAATCCGCCTTATTGAATTTATCAAGTCCAAAGAAGTCGTCCTCCTTCTCAAAGGCCACAGGACCTTCCCTTTGCATATTACGACCACCTTCTGTACCCTTGAAGCTTCGTGCACTGATACCAGCGCTTCCAAATCGGTCCGATGCCAATGCGCGTGCAATATCATCTTCATTGCCAACTTCGTCATTGCCATCACCTCCTGAACGCTTAGGTCTGTAGACACTAGATCCTGTGTGTGTAAACATGGGCTTGTCGTACACGCTGTATGACTCGTCATCCTTGAATCCAGAGCCCAGCCCCGATGTTTGATTGAAGAGTCGTGAGTCGTACATACTGTCCTTGCTCTGTGTGGGTTTGGCCAATCCCAATGCAATCTTTTCAGAGATATCTCGGCCCTCGGATCTATAAAAAAAAAAACAACAACAGTAACAGCAACAGTGGCAAGAAGAAAAAATAAATATATAAAAAAATAAAAAAAATAAAAAAAAATAAAGAAATAATAATAAAAATAAAATAAAAAAAAAGAATTAGCAACATGACTACGCCTGATCGAGATCAAAGTTGACGTTTCCAAGCGCATGTAGATCCAAAGTATTACCTGGCCATAACCTTCGCCTTCTGCTCTGCACCCATACGAGACATGCGTAGCTCCTTTTCGCGCTCCTGCTGCCTCTCCTTACGAAGAGCATCACGCTCGCGGGCTGCTCTTTGCTTCGCCTCATCTTCATCAGAATCCGCCTCTGACTCAGAATCATCACGAGGAGCCTGCGCGCCCTCATCTGCGGTTCGAGATGAAGGGGCAATGCCAGCTCTTTCGTCGCGAGCCCGCTGAGCCAATGCACGCAGGCTCTGCTCTTTAGCCTCTTTCTCCTTCTCTGCAACCTTCTGCTGCATCAAAGCTCTCTGTCGAACTTCGTCCTGAGCATGCCGAGCGGCTAATCCCAGTGCTTCTGCAACTTTAGCAAACTTGTCATTGATCTGAACATCCTGTAATCCACGACCATCCGCTGCAAGACGCTTGTCCAAAGGAATGGTGAAACCTTTTGCGTTCTTCCAGTTGGAAATACAAGGTGGGATTACCCAACTTGCCTGTTCTTGTGCGGTGACTTTACGGGGTGGTGAATGCAAGACTGGAGGTGGGGGGGAGGGTGGTCCACGAGGAACCTTCTTGTGCTTATGTTTAGGTGGTTCCATAGGGTCTACAGGCATCTCCACCATTTTGATTACTCGCTGTTTGACGCCATCCGGTCCCGCATTCTGATTAGCTGCTGTATAACGGATATAGGTGGGCGCTCCCGGTTTGTTGTTTGAGACGACGTTCTTTGGTTGTGCAGCAGCAATTTTAGCTATAAGAATAATAAAATAATAAAGATCAGAATATGGGACGTTTAAAGTAGAAAAATAAAATAATAATAATAATAATAATAACTAAAGAGACATACTTTTGGAGATCTTCTCTAATGCTGCTCTGGTGCGATCTGCTGTCTCTTTGACTTCTTCTTCGCTAGGTCTGCTTAATGAGATCTCACCAACGTCCGCACGTTCATGCAGAGGGACAAGATCTTTGAATTGAGACTGTACAATCTGCTTTGAGTTGTGTCCACGTTTAGCAATAGCATCATAGGCAACATTTCCTTGAGCGTCAACCTGCAATGCGATCGTTGAGCCTGCTTTTGTTGCAGTCTAATATTACATGTATTATGAGTAAAGTAAAAGTTACAAGAATATATCTGTAAGTGACAAGACAAGCGTCAAATCGATTAGCTCTTTCCATGAAACCAGTTGTATTTTACAGGTTTCTTTAGCTCTTTTTTTTTTTTTTTTTTTTTTTTTCCTTTCCTGCCTTTCTTCTTATTGGGGTAATTTTTTTTATTTGCTTTACCTTCTTCTTTCGCCCCATGTCAAGCGGATATTGTGCACAGTGGATCTCTGGGAAGGCACCTCCATCACCAAAATCTTCTGGCTTTTTGGGTTTCCATCCTGCACGCTTCCCATATGGTGGTATCCTGGCTACGAGCGCTGTGACATTGTCGATGTGTTGTTGTTGTTGACCATAATCCTGTCCTGGATGCTGATGCACTGGTGCGGGTAATAGTCTATTAAGTGATGAGCATTCGGAAGGTCACAAAGAGTGAGTAACAGGGTAATCAAGTGCTGTGACTTTTTTGATGATGAATTAGTAGGGTAAGCAAAAAAAAAATGATGTAGTGAAAATATAGCTGTATGTGTTTACCCTGATAGTGAAGACATAATTATGAAGTTTGAGGAGAGTGATAGGAATGAACAAGGTGAATGAATGGAAATGACTGAATTAGAAAATGTTATTTTTATTCAATGGAAATGTGTGCAACACTGCAAAAGGGAAAAAAAAAAAAGAAAGAAAATTAAAAATACGTATTGGTATTGGGGTAATCGCATTTACAACAAAATCACGCCAGTCCCAGAGGCGAGGCACACACGCGTCTCTTCTGTCGCACGTAAGTCAGTGAGTTACAGGCATTGTTAAAACCATTCATTCATTCATTCATTCTGCCTCTGTAAACATTTCTCAACCTTTTCTCAAGCGCCACACATCCAGCCTTGTTCAAATTCCCGTTTCTCTCACTCTCTCCCTAAATACCACCCCTACTTTCATAATACATATATCATGGCAGGACTTAAGCCAGGCGAGGTCAATCTCGGTGTAAGTGAACCTTTGACCTTTTTTCTTTTCTTTTCTTTTCTTTTTTCTTTTACTTTCCGAAGAAAACGAAAATAAAGAAAATTAAAGAGACTAACTCCTTAGTGCTATCGGATCCTATGATGGATGTGAAAACAACAACCTTCTACGGTATATTCTCGCTACTATTTAGACATCAATTATGGCAGTCCAGTTCGCGGGAGGCGTTGTTATCGGAGCCGATTCTCGCACGACCACAGGATCATACATTGCCAACCGTGTCACAGACAAGTTGACTGAGGTCCATGACACGATCTACTGTTGCCGATCAGGAAGCGCTGCTGATACTCAAGCTGTTGCTGACATTGTTCACTATTATCTTCAGATGTATTCGTACGTAAAAAAAAAGAAAAAAAAAGAAAAAAAAAAAGAAAAAGAAAAAGAAAAAAAGAGTTCGAAACTCTTTTTCGTTCACGCGCAACTACATGTCGGTTGAAAACCGAAAAGAAAAAGACGCGATTCAAGGACAATGGCTTCTTATTTAATTTTATTTTTCATGACTTACAATTCTACGTGAGGCCATCATCTAAAATTTTTTTTTATATCTTTTATCTATTTCACCTCTTTCACGACCGATTTTTAATGATGAATGCGTAGTGTTCAGAATGGAACTCCAACAGTGCCCTTGGCAGCATCATTGTTCCAGGAGTTGTGTTATCAGAACAAGGACAGCTTGAGCGCTGGTATCATTGTCGGTGGTTGGGATAAGGAAAACGGTGGCAGTGTCTGGAATATTCCTTTGGGTGGATCGCTCCATCGTCAACCCTTCGCGATCGGAGGAAGCGGTTCGACCTACATTTATGGTTATTGTGATGCCAATTTCAAGGATGGCATGAACAGAGAACAATGCATTGATTTTGTTAAGAATTGTAAGTTGACGAGTGTTTTTTGTTTTTGTTTTTTCTTATCTTCATTGGTTCTTTTTATGATTTTTTTTTTTTTTTTTTGTTTGTTTGTGATATCTCATCGATATATCTAATTTTTTTTTTTTTTTCTTTGATAGCATTGGCACTGGCTATGGAACGTGATGGTTCTTCTGGAGGTGTTATCCGTCTGGCTGTCATCACAGAGAAGGGTGTTGAACGTCTCTTTATTCCTGGTGATAAGCTCCCTGGTAAGCTTTATTGTTTTATTTTGGAGTATTCATTTTATGGCAGGCTTGCTCGCGATAATTAATTAAATCATAACTCTTAATTTTTTCTTTCGAACGCGAAATAACTAGTTCACTGGCAAGGATAAGCGATTAGAAGAAATAGCCGATGTAGTGATTAATCAAAAAAAAAAAAAAAAAAGAAAGAAAACAATGAAAAAAAATGTTACTAAACTATGTATCTGGCTGCTCTGTATTAAAAGCTTTATAAATGAAAACAGCGACAAAAAAAAAAAAAAAAAAAAAAAAAAACGATATTATCATTCAAGCAAGTGGTATAAGAATCTAACAAGATGAATAATGGCGACTTGATAAATATAATTGCCGATTATTATTATTATTTTTTTTTTTTTTTTTTTTTTTTTTTTTTTTTTTTTTTTAATTCGTTTGTGTCTATACAGCTATTACTGCTCGTGCGTCAAATTGTCCTCCATTCGCTTATAGTGCCAAATCTCCGGGTGTTTCCTTCACTTCTTTCCGTAGACCTCGCCATCTTTGAACTCCTTAGCCCACTAGATTTTTTATTCAAACAAAAAAAAAAAAAAAAAAGTGAGTATAACTAAAATCGTAATATATAATACAATTACAGTGTCAAGCAGGATCAACAGAAAAGAAAAAAGGAAATTGATAATAAAAAACTCACCAATTGAGAAGGAATCCATCCAGTTGGGCGAGAATGACGCTCCTAGATTAGGTGATTTATACAAAAGAGATGCATTTGTATATAAAAACAAAATAGATCATGAGCAATTTTCTTTCTTTCTTTCTTTCTTTTTTTTTTTTTTAACGTCTTTGGCGTTGTAGAACTGTCCATGTTCATCTTTGTATGCGTATGCGTATGGTTTTAATTTTTCTGAGCGTCATTGTTGTTTCTGCGCATCGATACAACGTTGGCGTATCCTGGATCGAGTTTAAAAAATATGAATGTTTGAGGATAGAAAAAGGAAAAAGGGTTCCCTTGCTCCTATCCCTTGTTCCTGTCCCTGTCCCTGCCCCTGCCTCTTGTTCTTGCTATTATTCCTGCTCCTGTCTCTGCTCTTGTACTTATTTTATTACCTCGTTTTCAGCAGAGTACTTCCAGGCAGCAGCGACAATGGTGCCAGCGATACCGACAGCAACAACGGTGTTCGACTTCCAGTTAGCGGGCTGAGTCCACCAACCACCAGAAGGTGACCTAAGTAGAGGAAGAGAAAATAATAACGATAATAATAAAAGAGAGCAAAAAAGTATTAAAAGTCAAGAGGATAAAGAAGGAGTATGAATGGTAAGCATTAAAAAGTGTGTCATTGACATTTATTATTTCGTAGTCCAATTAGTCCGAACATCGACCAAGGTTTGATGAAGACCCGATGATGGGAGGTGAGACGTACCAGACGTGCTTAGGATAAGGGTAACGACCACCAGCCATTATAAATGTGATTTGAAAGAGGTTATGTGTGTATTGTAAGTACGGTCTTGCAAGAGCGGAGCTGATGGGAAGTTGAGGGCCCTTATTGAATGCTTTTACATATTTCCGAACATGCACCAACCTCGACGAAGATGTTTTGACTTTGACAGTGGCTTGACGTCACGTGGCTAATTCCTATCACCTGCTCAAAGGGCTCAAGTTTAAAATGCACAAAGCAAGGGAGCAAAGGAAGGGGGCGGAGTACACCAAAATTTTGTTTATGTGGACGATTTACTAAGGAAAACGTTCATATATTTTTAAGGTTCCAATGAATTGGGAAGTATTCTTAACTTTACAAAATATATAGGTACATGTGACATTGCATTTAAGGGTTCCCATAAATGCACATTCCCGGACGAAAGGTTGGACAAAAGGTTGGATCCAAGTGCATTTATGGGAACCCATAAATGCAATGTCACATGTGCCTATATATTTTGTAAAGTTAAGAATACTTCCCAATTCATTGGAACCTTAAAAATATATGGACGTTTTCCTTAGTAAATCGTCCACATAAACAAAATTTTGGTGTACATTTCCTGTGTAACTCAAGTACATAGATGGTGCCTTTTTTTTTTTTTTTTTTTTTTTTTCTGTAGTATAAGCAAAAACAACGGATCTCTTTCTCTCCATCCTTCTTTTCCGATAACCTCAAGCTCTTCTTTTCTCATCCACATAAATTTGACCACCATGTTTTTCCCATGGACAATCTTCATCGTCAACATCATCCTTGCCATATTTCAGTTTCTAATGATATGTGCTGTAAGTGCACTACTATCGATCTATGCACGTTATGGTGATGAGTACTCTCAGAGCGTTCGATGGTCACGACAAGGAGGCTATTATGAGATGGTCAAGACACTCTATAACTCTCGTCGCAACGCTCCAACTCGAGTCAAGTTGATCATGGTGTCGACAATTATAGTAAGCTTAGGAGCCGCTCTACTCGACAAAGGAGCCGCACATTATATCGTACCAATGTCAAGATTTAGCAAACCAAACAGTACTGTCATCATTACCGAACAATATCGGGTCCAAGGCTTGGAACAATCGTTCTTAGGGTGGTCAGGTACAGTTCGATATGGCGAAAGTGTCTCTGATGCAATGGCATCAATGATCAACAATACAAGGAATATTCCTGGAGCTATTCCAGGGTATTTATACACCACACAATTGAGTCCATACCTCGTCGCATGTGAGCAGATGAACTTGGTACTCTTCGAGGCTGCAGGCATAAATCCAAACCTGGTTTTGACAAAGGGTGGATGCCTGGATGTAAACTTCATCTTATCGGGATTTGTAGCGAACTCTAGGGAGGCTATCGCTAATGCGACTGTTGTTCAAAGGTCAGCCAACCAATGGAGCATTGTACTCCCTGGAGACCACAACATAGCAGGGATGTTTCCAAGGCTACGCATCGTATTTCAAAACGTACCTTGTTCCATAGAGGAGCTAGCATTGCCATACGATCTTACCCCAGACGAGAGCGGCATGGACCATATACCTACAACAATAACTACCAAGTGCGTACATCCTTCAGGAGATATTTCGGTTATATCACTCACCACAGCACGATTCACAACAAGGTCTATCAAATTGTTTGGCAAGGCAGTAGATGGCTTTTTTAATAACACCAGCAATCCATTTAGGAACATGGATGCTAGGATTCAGAATATCATTAAACAATTTGGCGTAGGTAGTCGGCCGTTAGTTATGGAGACTCAGATATCTGGGACCTCAATAGACGCCTTGATCTGCACTTTTGGGTATGTTGAAAGCGCCCCTCGCCCAAGATGCCTATATATCAACATCGACATGCTTGTGGCCAAGTTATCAGAGAATAACACGGACATTATATCAGCCCGCAACGGTCTACCGTTCGATGTATATGACTACCGTTGGGATACAGGATATCGGACATTTGGTTCAACCAAAGCGTTTACTATTGATCATATTCCTCTAAGAAAAAACAGCACTGGGTCTCTATTCAGTATCTTGAAACTGCAGGAGGAAACACATAATGTTGCCCAGCTCATGGCATCACTCGGTCAAAACTTTTATACAGACTATAATCAAAATCAACTCTATGTGGTTTACAACATTGCAGTCCCAGAGCCTGGCCTCGATATCCCATTGTGGCTATTGGTCCTCATAATCCTGATTATGATGACATGTTTGTGCTTGTGGGTTGCAACAGAGTACTTCCTGGACCAACAGTATACATGCTCACTCTATAGTGCCATTTCGCGTCAAATCGCGCCTCAAACCAACACTCGGGCGCCAGCGCTTATGCCAGCCAGGGCAGAACCTGTCGAATTTGTAGGGTTTGGGATCTTTCCTACTGAAAAGGACATTGAAATGGAGTCTCGCGAAAGCAGCAAAGCCTTACTAGATTCCATACAATTTGCGGAAGAAGGACCATTTGGAGATAAGAACGTGCATGACAGGCATATAGACTAAAATAACATTGCGTATTACGACTGGGCGTAGTAGTTTGTGCACACATGTATACTTCCTGCAAACAAATAAACAAAACATTGGCAAACAAAATAATCAAAACAAGGTTTCTTTTAGGATTCACGGTCTGATGACTATATAACCTTTTCTTTCTTTTTTTTTTTTTTTTTTTTTTGCCCTCTTCAACTCAACTACCCCCTCCTCTTTTCCATTTCATACACTCCTTCCATTAGATACTCTCTTCTACCATGTTCTTGCCATGGACAATCTTTGCAGTTAATGCCACCTTGGCCCTATTCCAGTTCCTGATGATTGGCACAGTAGGGTCTGTACTGTCTATATATTCGAGACTGGGCGATAAGTATGCCAACAGCATCCGATGGACACGACAGGGAGGGTATTTGGAAATGATCAAGTCACTATACAACTCTCATGGAGCGACCCCCAATCGAGTCAAGGCGGTGATGGTGGCGACACTCTTAATAAGCTTAGCAGCCAGTTTGTTGGATAAAGGTGTCGCACATTTTATCAATCCAGCAGCGAGACCAGGCAAGACTAACACAACAATGGTTGTCACCCGACAAGCCATCAACCCAGGCCGAGTGTATCACTTTGGTGGATGGGCAGGTGTCGCCCGGAATGACGAGAGCATCGTAGAGATTATGGCGTCGATGATCAATAGCACTCGAAATATTCCGAATGCTGTTAGTGGACGGACCTACACGCCACGTTTGACGCCGTATGATTCCCTTTGCGATTTCTTTGATTTGACAGTATTAGGACTACCGGGGACTTCTTGGGAACACCCGAAGCTTGCACTGATGAGCGGCGGCTGCTCAGCTCTTCACATTCACTTTTTTAATTTCCCCTTGGACTTTGAAGTAGAAAAAGCAACAGTAACACAATCGTCCGAAGACCAACATCGGTGGACCATTGTCTTCCCTGGGACATGGAATATAGAAGAGTCACTTTTGGGAGCTATGCATAGCTTTCAAGGGCGTGATTGTGAAGCTAGCGAAACCTATGCCGGCCAAGATTATACAGACCAAGTGGACCAACTAGATACCTCTCTGTTGACGGAAATGACCAAATGTATACTAAGCACAGGGGACGTCATTGTCTTGTCCATCGGCACTGTTCGGTTTTCAGTAGCCGAGGCTGAAGAGTTTGAAACAACGACCGCCACAATGTTCAGTGATCGAATGAGTATTTTTCAAGATATGGCCACTGATATTCGCACGGCCATCAAGAAGTACGGGTATGAAGAATACCCTTTACTCATGGAGGTCCAGGCTTCTGGAACCAGTTTCGATATTCTCGCGTGTACATTCTTTATGCGTGCGAGCAGGCCACGCCCAAGTTGCATTTTTGCCAATATCAATTCACAGATCATAAGGCCACGGAAGAATGACACTGATATCGCAACAGCACTAAATGGTCGGCCATTCGGGGGATTCAAAAGAACTACATTTTCTGAAAAAGCCACTAGTGCAATCCGTATCCAAAAGCTTCCTATAGCTGACGAAAATGGTTCAGTAGCACCAACTAATATTTCACAGATACGCGTAGACACTGCAGCGGCAACTGGGTACATGGCTTCACTTGGCCAGAATTTCTATGCAGATTACAACCAGAGTCAACTCTATGTTCTGTACGATACATTAGATATGGAACTAGGACTAGACATCCCATTATGGCTTTTGATCACAGTGGGGACTCTCATGGGGCTATGCATGTGCGTGTGGGCCGCGACAGAAATGTTGCTAGACGAGAAGTATACAAGTTCCTTTTTCAAGATTACTTCGATGCAGCTGAAATCCCATACCAATATCATAGCACCAGCACTGTTACCATCTAAAATGGATCCATTGGAATTGGCAGGAGTCAGAGCTTTTCCGGAATTAAGCGAGGAAGAGACAGAGGTCGGAAGTGACAAAGCTTTACTTCAAGACATACAAAAAGTAGATAGTAGTACTGATTCTCAGTGATTCTTTACATACATTTCCTTACTTTGGAACTCGAGTACAAATGCCATTATGCTGTACAACCAGCAGCAGGGATTAACAAGTGTACACATGTATATATGACAAATAAACAAAACAACAGCCCAACATTTCCCAAACAAAGCTCAGGGCGAAGAATCTTTGTCCTTTAAAGTTCATCAAAACAAAAAAAAAAAAAAAAAAAAAAAAAAAAATAGATGTGAATATAGATATGTATACTGTACATTGGCAGACTCACAGAGGATGCTTGACTCCATGCTTATCCAACAATTAACACAAAGCGGCAAACTCTTCTTGAATCAATTCAATCGATGTGAGAACAGAAGCCAAATAACTCAAGAATAGTATATATAAATGTTCGCGTACCTTTTCACTCACTTAATTTAAGAAATTATTACTATTATTATTATTATTATTATTATTATTGTTGTTGTTGTTGTTGTTGTTATCGTTGTTGCTGTTGTTGTTGTTGTTGGGTGCAAGGCTTTTGCTCTACCCCTTCTATTGTAGCCTATCCGTTCCTATAGCTTGCTTGCTTGCCCTACAAAAGCACAATCAACTGCTGAGCAAATACGGCCTTTTGAAGATCTACAATCTACTCAATTCAAACCCTCTTTAGGCTTATAAAGTTTGTATAAAAATAGAAAAAAAATCCGTGCCATACGGATGGTGTCACTTGGGCTTTTTGCATGATCAACTGTACAGATTCAGCTTTCAACATAGTTTATTACTTCATCTTTTGAGAATAAAACCATTGAGTTAACTGTGTGGCTCATCTGGTAATTTGTAGTTGCAGATCGTGTCTATGGCAGGCTAATAGTAGATATTAAATTGTGGATTAGCCCTTCACCAAGGTATATACTTCAGGGTATCCAGAACAAGTAGCAAATCTTTACCGCAATTCTACATCTCCAATAGCGCCAATTCTTTTTTTTTTTTTTTTTTTTTTTGCATCTTCTTGCCTTTAGGGAGAACTAAGTGTTAAGAGCATAAAGAAATCCCAACTTCCAGAGAACTACTTTTAATGCATGCATAGTGTTTCAATAAATAGATATCCAAATGGATACTAAAGCCTAGGGGCGTTCTTCTTGGCTGTTGATTCAGGGTCTTCTTCTCTCCCTATGCCTAATTCTGAGCGCAATGCAGCTGGGTATTCAATCACAATGGACCTGTCGACCTTCTCACCCAAAATAAACGTTTGTACGCCTGCATTGTAGTCCTCCATGTACTTGTGCCAATCTATGCCTCTTCTGAGATGACTCTTGAGCTCTACAGGAGCAGCATCGTCGAGGGCCAATGTATTGTTCACGTCATAGTGCCACTGGAACGTGAAAATGCTTTTTAAAGCTATGGGCAGAGTTTTTACCCAGGAGATACGGGCTTTAAGCTTTCTATCTCCTTCGTGTTGAACTAAAGTTTGGAGCTGGTCTCCAAAGTGGACATCAAATCGACGTTTGAATTCTGCGCCAGGACAAAGCTCGAATCGGATGTCACTTGAGACTCGTCGACATGGCCGTTTAACCGCGCGCCAGCACGCAGTCACATACATACCGAAGGTACGCCAATTGGTGGGATTAATGCACTTAATACCAATATGATATATGGGCGGCCCTGCGAGTGTGCCATCAGCAGTCGTGGCTGAAAGTAGGGTCGTTTTAGTTACAATATCGACGGGTATTAGGTCCGACTCAGCGGTCTATGATGTTATTGTGCAAAGACAGAAACCTTCGTTAATATCCGACCTTGAGTTTAGTGAATATTACCTCCTTGTTTTCTGTCTCCTAGTTGTTTACCTCAGAACCGATCTATTCTTGAACTTGGCCGAGGGCGTAAGCCGTGATTACTCTGTTGGCTCCAACGTGGCCTTCTACCCAACCAGGAACCGGTACCTGACAAGCAGCAGAAACTATGGAAGAATGGACAATGACAATAGGGAGAGCCATGTCTTTGTATCGTTTTATAATCAAAGCTTCCACCAAGCATTTGGCGAATATGTATGTGCTGGGATAGGACTTGAGGACAACAGATTTTTCATAGTCTCTTATCTCTTCGTCGGACATCTTAGTGGACAGCATTTCAAAAATACTTTCTAGGTCATTGTCAAATACCATAGGATAGTTGGTTTCTTCATTATGTGGACCAACTATGGGTGCATTGACTGAGCAACTCGAAATATGAACAGCAGCAGCTAAATTTCTGCAGCCCTTGGCAATCTCAATTATTTGAAGTGGGCCTTTTGTATTTGCCTAAAAGAAAAAAAAGTCATTTACTGCGCGTTGTTTGTCGAGTATTTCCGCTGTTGTATTTTTTTTTTGTTTTTTTATATTTTTTTTACCTCAAGTGCAGTGTTTAACGAGTCATCAAGCCTCACAGAACCAGCGCAGTCCAAGAAAACCGTAGTATCTTCCCGAACCATGGCTATATCCTTGTCTGTGAGCTCCAAGTGACAGACAGAAATGTTCCCTTTAAGAGGCACTATCTTACTGACAATCTTTTCTTGGAACTCTTGTGCACTTGAGAATTGAGCCTTTAAGATATCAAACACTCCACTATCAACTACTTCTTCAATGCGATCCTTCATAGTATTGCCTTCTGATACCCTGATCAATAAGTAAATCCTGATGTTTCCATAAAAAAAAGGAACTATTAGCGTCTGTTTCTCAATCAAAAAGCCTGATGTGCTTGGAGAATAAAAAAACTAGAGACATCTACTTTGTGATTTGTGGGAAGGAACGGAATAACTTCTCCAGGATGGACTTGCCAACGGATCCTGTGGCGCCTGTCAAGAATATGACCGTGTTTTTGTTGTAAAATTCTATGGCTTTTGCAGGCCTATACTTGTGATGTGGAGGCGACATTTTTTTTTTTTTTTTTTTTTTTTTAAAAATAAAAAAAAAAAAAAAAAATAGTGAGAATAAAAAGATTATTCTTTGTTTCGATGACCTACCCTCTAAAGGGCGGTATGTTAAGAGAAAATGGTGATCAAGTATATACGAGAGGGTCTGCCGTGGAAAAAAACGGAAATTCTATACTCCTTTTATTCGTTTGTGCCTACAGTCGATAGAGCTGTTCTTTCTATCCAAAATGCACATAGACATCTAGCAGGAACATACTCAGGACAGGGAGTTGTTTACTGACCTTAAAAACCAACTAGTGACGTTCCTGTGAAGAGCTTAGAGTAGGCCACATGATTTTTATCACTGAGATCAATTATGTCTTGAAGAGGTACCAATGCCAGCAGAGCTTTTTTTTTTGATAACAAGGACTTTCAGGGAACCAATGCTTGCAAAGTTAAAAAGCTATAAAAAAAAAAAAAAAAAAAAAAAGATTCCCAAAACGAGGTGCAAGAATACTATTTTCAACACACAATGCCCTGATATCGCACTAACCGCTACGAGTCAACTTCTCAACGGGAATAGAATCTCATATTCCCTCATAGGCCTACCATGGAATATGGTGACTATTAAAAGTTTACGCATTATTTATTTTATTTATTTATTTCTCCCTCCCTTTCTTTGAACAGAATGTGTTGTGGTAAAGTTGAGCAGAAATCCGTATGGCGTTTGAGGTTAGCACTGATCATATTATACACAATGATTCTGTCCGCATGTTGCATTTGATTGTTATTTCTACTTGAGTTTTTATTGTTATCTATGGATCATATCTTAGAGTCCTTTTTTCCCTTGCTCTTGTTACTGTGAACGTTTTGTAGTTACATTCGTCACATGTGTCTACATAGCTGCAAATATATTGAACTAGTTTATTTGCTGCGCAGTACTGGCTCGCATAAATTAGTATAAAAGACCCTCGTTACTGCACTGAACTGGACTCAGATGGCACAATAAAATATTTGATCTTTCCCAGACTTACCACTGATTGTTACTATTTGCAGTCACCTTTCATGATCGAATCATATTTCAGGGACCAACGGTAAAGTCGACTGATATTGACCTCTAAAAATTGTTACGCCCACAGTCAAGAACCACGGTAGGTCAATCATGGTTTGGAGCTGTATGGCCTAGGGTGGGCCAGATTACTTGGCCAGGATCGAGTCTACGCTAGACTCTGAGTTGTATTCCCACATCCTCCTCGACGAGCTATTGCCAGCTGGCACCAGCGTTGATGCGGAGCAATCTTTATCCGAACAAGTCAACGATCCCAAGCATACCGCCAAGAGAGTCACGGGTTGTTTTACCTACATTGGGTTAACGAAAGCGTCACGAAGAATTCTGCTATACCCTTCCAATCCATTCGATCCCAACTTTATAAGGAGATTGTGGGCGCATTTGAAAAGGGAAATCCATGGATATGGGGTCATTTTAGAAATTTTAGAAACTCTGAGGAAGAGTGGACCGGGCATGGGAGGAGGAGATGCCAATGGAGCACCTTGAACAACCTGAAGCCATCGTTTTATCCTCCGAGACTGGATTCGGTTGAATAGTTTGCATTGGGGCGTGGGTCCAATGCAATCGAGGAGCCTACCGGTCCAGGTCTTTGGAACTACAGGATTATTGTGGATTCACTCAAGGCGCCGCTGCTATCAGTGCTCCTGTTCTTGAGCTTGATCCCTACAAGGTCAAACCATCGAACACAAATAATGTAGTTGTATATAACTTTAAATAGGGTTAAATTCATTCCATCACTGTTACTTAACCAGATGATGTGCTTGTACTGCCTGAGCGTAACATGTCAATTCAGGCTGAAGTGGCTAATTGATGTGGGATTTATTATGATCATGTGAGAGACTCATCACCAACCTCAACGTTTCTTTGTTCCTAGTATAAAAGTCAACCAGAATAAAGTCCTTTATCCACATCTCTAGCTCTTATTTCGAAGATAGGAGCACCAAACAAAATACCAAGAGTTTAGGCTCTTTTTGTATCAACGAAACAACCCGAGTATATATATAGAAACTTTTATATACCTACTTCACCTCTACTTCCTCTTTTCCTTTATATGGATCACTGTTTTACGTTTTCGAAGGTAATAAAGCCAAGGGAAGTGTGAGATCTTCTGTTTCCTTTTTTTTTTTTTTTTTTTTTTTTTTTTTTCCTTCTCTCAATTACTAGACATGATACTTCAAAATGCTATCGAAGTTCCAGAGAAGCTGTATTGCCCTTGACTTCAACCCTCGGCAGTGGTGGTGGTTCCGCGCCGTCCCAGGAAACAAAACCTTCCATCCTACTGCCATTGGATATTTGAAGTGTGGTGTATGATTCTGGGGATTGCAGCTTTGGTGGACTTGTAGATGTAGTGGCTACCGAGAAGTGTCCATAAAACTGATTCGGCTTTTTTGTTGTTGTTGTTGTTGTTGTTGTTGTTGTTGTTGTAGTTGTCATTGATGTTGTGAAAGATGTATAAAAATGTATAAGTATAACATAATGGTTTATGGTTAGTCGCTTTGATAATCAGAGGTGGATGTAATTAGAATTTTACGCTCATCTCATCAATCGGAAGCTTTACCATATCAAGATGTGCAAGCCCTGTATCAGATGTAACCTGGATATCCAACGCCCGGTTCCTGGACGTATTCAACCGCATGTCCACATCCTTCCCTGCTCTAGCTCTTACGACGCCTTCGACTGCTGTACTCGCAGCCTTCAATTGTCCAGAAGGTGCATCAATTCGAAGCTCCCTATCTACCTTGACATTCGTAATGGACACATCCCCATTTCTGGCCTTGATGATAAAATCATTCTCAAGATGTATTTGAGAAAAATAGCCCAAGTCGACCTGCACATTCCCTTTAAATGAATTTTCAATCTCAATGGTTTTATACGTTGTCCATATTCGAGGGAACATGATCTCGACCCGGACAAAAGTCTCTCCCCCGGATTGAAGAGCTTTATCGATCTCAGCATCCGACATTTGAAGAAAGATAGTTGCTTCGGCTGTTGAGAGTACATGGTTGAGGACTAAGGAAGTGGCTAGCCCCTCGAGTAACTCTGGTGTGGAAGCATTCAAGGATGCGCCAATGAGGATGTTTTTTTTTTTAATAACCCCACCGGTTTCACCTTTGCGATTGCCGCTATTAGAGTTACTGTCGCGGTCACCATCTCTATAAGTTTTACTGATGACAATATCACCGGACTAAATTTTTAGAGCAAAAATGCTGCGTTAGACAAGATGTCCAAAAGAAGTCAGGTGTAAAAAAAAATAATGATAATGATAATAGCATCAAAAGCTTACAATCCCATAACCAAGCTTGATGGATAGGCTTTTATACTTTTCTGAGTTAATGACTAGGAGGGACTGGTATGGACCCTCATAGAAAAGATAATGGAAGAAAATATATGCCTGCAATAATAATCAGAGAAGCACCATTGGATCTTAATAATGGTATGATAATACAAATAAATAAATAAATAAATAAACTCCATCTTTTGTAGTCATTAACAAGTCTCTATGAATACATTACCACTAGACCCAACATAAATGCAATGGTGCACCAGGTCGCAATACGAGCACAAAATTCTCCAAAATCATATCTTATCACTATATAATCGATACACAATCATTTCAAAAGGTAAGAAAAAAAGGCGTTTTTCTTTGCCAATTTAGATCTTTAAAAAACATATTCGACTTAACTGTACACCATTTTCTTAACAGCTTCCTGAATGGTGTATAGGAAGCCAGGTTCTTGCTCGAAAACAGGCGGGCCTGAAAACCTTACTCGCCTTTGGTCAGCATTCCTGAATAACGGTAAAGACTCGGGATCAGTGCTGTTGTTGTTGTTGGTGTTGTTGTTGCTGTTATTGATCCTATTTGCAGGACTAACGGATGAATATGATGGAGGAGAGTTATTAGAGTACGCTGGCGGCTCCTGTTGATTGCTGTGATTATCCATTCGATGAAATATTTTACAGGATGGAGGAAGGTGAGTATATTGAAAGCTCCGAGGAAGAAGGAAGGAGAAATGAAAATATAAACAAAAAAGAGAAAGGGGGTCAAAAGGGAAGACGAGGGTCTTATGGTTCACTAAGAAGCAGTCCTGGGCTTAGCAATGCAGGCGGCTTTGTCACACAAGACAAAGCTTATTTTCATCACATGACCGTTTATTTGACAAAGCAATAGAGCTACGAAGTAAGAAAAAAAGATTCTCTTCCGCAAAAAAAAAAAAAAAAAAAAAAAAAAAACAGATTAATCCCATCCTCGAAGCTTTAGCATAGCTGCGCTACCCTTGATCTCGACTCGCGGCAGAGGTGCTGGTTCTATACCATTTAAGGATACAAATCCTTCAATTTTATGATCATTGGAAGTTTGGAAAATGGTGAACTTTTCTGGAGCATCCATCACTGGTCTAACACTAGACGTCGCTACAACCGAGAAGTGCCCATAAAATTGATTCGGCTAATTTTTTATGGAGTGGAAGATATAAAATTAAGAAGTTGATTAAATCGTTCCTGATGAGCCAAAAATAATTCAAGTTATTAAAGGAACTTACCAAATCAAGAAGTGCTTGACCGGTTTCGGAGGTGACTTGAACGTCCAACGAGGGATTCCATGATGTACTCAATTGCATATCAATATCTCTCAATGCTCTAGCTTTGACCACACCCTCCACTGTAGCGCTAGAGACCTTCAGGTGCCCATGAGGTGCGTCCAATCGTAGCTCATGATTAACTTTAGCATTCTTAACCAGCACATCCCCAAGTTTGGATCTGATAATCAAGTCTCCTTGTAGAGCTGTCTTGTCCAAGTCAACATAGATTTTGCCGTCGTATGCATTGTCGATCTCAATACTCTGGTATTGAAGCCTATGGTATGGGATCTCAACCTTAACTTTGACCTGTGCCTCTGTTCCAGATTGAAGAGCTCTATCAATATCAGCATCAGACATTTGAAAAGCAACCTTGAATTCGGCACGTAATGCCGCAGAGTCAAGTCCCGAAGATGTGCTCAGCTGGTTTGATAGCTCCAATGTGGAGACATAAGAGGACGAACTAACAAGAACGTTTCTTTGTGAGCTACTCTTGGCTTGAGTGATGACAATATCCCCAGTCTGTATTTTTTTTTTTTTTTTTTAAAAAAAATAAAGATTAGTTATAAAAACAAAAAAAAAAAAAAAAAAAAAAAGAGGGGGAGGGGGGACTTTTCCTGATCTAAAGGCTGTAGAAATAAAATAAACACTTACAATTCCATGACCAAGCTTGAGCACAAAATTCGGGTATTTCACTGGGTCGAACTCCTGTTGAGTTCCAACTGTTTCTTTGCCTTTAGAGATTACAGCCTTGGTGACACCAAGTACCTATGTTTATTTTGGTAGTGAATATTACAATGAAGTATGAGTTAACCAGCGTCTTTTTTTTTTTTTTTTTTTTTTTTTTTCGTTCATTAAAAAACAAATAAATAAAAATCCATTTCTTACAACGAGTACTGCAATCACAACAATGGCAATGATTCCAAAGATGGTACAACTGTATGGAGAACACAAATATCGTAATTCTTTCATCAAATGCTTTATCCCTTCAATACGCACACAATTACCAAAAAAAAAAAAAAAAAAAAAAAAAAATGGAAAGTGGGAAGTAGATAGAACATTGGTAACGTTAGTCTATTATAAAACGAGACAATCAAGTCCATGTGGCCAAAAGCACTCACAAAAATAAAATAATAAAACAGTATTAAAAAAAAAAAAAAAAAAAAAAAAAAACTCACTGCGTCCTTTCTCACGGAAAGTATCCCCAAGCTTACGACCAAAGCTTGGTTCTGTACGATCTCGCAAGGGGACACTTCTGGTTGTTGGATCACTGCGTCTCATCAAGGGCTCAGTTTCATCATTAGGAATTGATGGGTATAACGAATCTGAGTCTTGAGAGTATGATGGTGGTGGGTTGCCTTCAGGACCTGAAGTCACTGGAATTATTGTAGAATCTTGTTGCTGCTGCTGCTCTCTATTGCCGTGAGTAGCGGGCACTTTTGAGTTGCTGAGTTGCATTGTATTAAAAAGATGATTAATGGATACAGAAATTATATGAAAAGAGAAAAACAGAACTGGAGCGGATAGAGTGCTTTTATAGTTTTTTTTTTTTTTTTTTTTTTTGAGGGCAGAAATAGGGGGAGGGATGAAAAGGGCAATTATGCACTTGTAATGTTTGGCAATGGGTAACACAGAATACTCACGCCGCTTTTTTTTTGCTTCTTGGCATTTTCTTTTTGGAAACCGCAGCAATATCCCATTACTATTTGAGGCAGACATGATGAGGTTCCACTGTTTAGCGCAAACTTTATTAGTTATTATCTTTTTTTTTACGCCCAGATCAAGGAAGTTCCTGAATCAACGGCTTATTACTCGATGCATGATTGGGGATCTCTTGGCCAAGGTCCCCAAAATGCTCTCTGCTCAGAAGCGTTTTAGATTCTCTATTGGCTTGACTGACCTGACTAGGGATCTCAATCCTTTGTTGTTCCATCATTTTCCTGATACTCTCTAGCTCCTTGGTCCAGCCAACCATCTCTTGTCGTATCCGAAGCTGTGTCATAAGCACTTCCGCCCTCACCCGATCAAGCCTGTCCGTCTTCAGGAACCACTCCTCTGACAGCAAATATGATTCATAAAACTCTAGTTTCTTATACAGACGTAACAGCCATGATTTCGAAAACATTTTAGGAGTTCGTGCACCTGAGACACCCGTGTCAGCATTAACAGCACGCTGATGTTGCCTCGATATCTTTGGTTTTGACTCGATCTGTGTCTCTAGTTGTATGATAGGATCGAAGGTCTGTTTTATCTCTCGGATACTCCTTAAACATCTAGAAGGCTGAGTAAGGAGTAATGCCAAGTCTTGAAGCAAAAGCGAAAGCATATCGAGTCGCAGAGTATCGCCTTTCCAAAGCTTCGAATCAAGACTAGATGTCTGAACGACTGCAAGAGTAGTTTCAAAATCATACACCTCCAGCGCTTGTTGAGGCGTAGTCAACCTTGTCGCTGCGGCTTCGGTGGAAGGCGCTACAGCTGCATCTGCAGCTGCAGATTTTGCTGAGGAATCACCGTTTGACGTAATCGTTGGTTGTACAGAAACGGATGCACGCTTTTTGAGCGATGAAGAAGTAGGGATAGTTGAGGTGGGTGAATAGAAGGGACAAAGGTCAAAAATATATGCAAGTGTTTGCTCTGGTTCTTCTAAGAGATCACCATTCAGCACTCGACTGGTAGCAGCGTAAGCAAATATGAGCGCACTGATGTGATAAATCAATGAAGGATGAGGTGGTTTTATCAAGCTTGGTAATCCTGCCTTGACGGCCATTAGGTCTTGTTGTTCGGAAGCATCTTGAATAAGGGAACGATGAGGACGCAGAAGGGCTTCTTCATCCAACACCCACTTCTCCAGAAATCTTCCTGAGGTAGTGAGAATATTTGTCGCCCGATTGGATAGATTACTAGGTTCAGATGAAGCAGTAGCATGAATGGATCCAGCATTCAATCGTTTAAACTCTTCTTTGTTTGTAATCTCTTCTGTATCCGGAACTGTCGATTTTTTTAAATGACCGGTATTTTCTGCTTCAATTTCCCACCACGGCCGCCAGATTGGGATCAACTCTGATATCTCTGCATCGCGAATGGCCCGCAAATCCTCTACGTCTAGCTCTGCTAGTATAGCGGGGTTGTTGTTGTTATTGTCGTTGCTGCTACGATCACGTTTCTTGAGGCTCTCATCTCCTCTGCGCAGCGTCTCTCCCATCTCTTGCAACAGTTCCCTTGCCTCTTGCTCTTCTTCTTGGCCAGTATCGTTGTTGATTTCGCCATCGCCTTCTTCACCAATGCTTTCATTGGATGTACCGCCTTTATTTAGTTCTGTGATCATGAACATCTCCTGAAATTCTTGTTGCTCCTCCAAACTTAATCGCGCCCATATATTCACGAACGATTCTTTATCTAGATCTACGCCACGAAACCTATCGATCAAATCTTGATGTTCTTTCTCCAACATTCGTTTAATCTCTTCTTCATGTTCAGTGAGATGGGCTGGTGTATCCACGCCTTCTAGTTCATGTTCTTTTAATGACCATTTCCGTCGTTCTTCGATCTGCTCTTCCTCAATTGCCTTGCGGATTAGCGCATCTCGCTCCTGTTGCGTCAGTTTCCTCCGCAAGGTAGTAGCAGTAGTACCAGTAGTAGTAGGGGCACTGCTCTGTTTATCATGATCTTGCCCTTGTTTTTGTTGATTTTGTTGTTGATGATGATGATATTGATTCTGCAAATTTTCCATCAGCTCTTCCTCTGACATGTCCATCCTTTGTTCCTCCTCTATTGCCTGTTTCTCGAACCGATCCAAGATCCTAAGCATATTTTTTCGATCCTCTGTTTGAATCGTAGGATTTGACTGCAGCTCACTCATTACAGAATCTTTGTAGAATGACTCTGTGCACTGAGTGTGAGACTAGGTATATCATTATAGAAATCAAAGCTTTTTTGTAAGGATTTTTTTTTTTTTTAAAAAAAAAAAAAAAAAAAAAAAAAAAAATGGAAATATAATAAAACAAATTAATATTTTTTTAATTTACCTGATCCTTATAACATATCACAGAGCAGTATCGTAGATTACATCTTGGACAGATGTATTTGTAGGGGTTGACTTTGCAGCTAGTATTTTTTTTTATTTTTTTTTTTAGTCAGCCTTCAATGTCAAATTCCGAGGCAAGACAAAAAAAAAAAAAAAGTAGAATAACCTGTTGATTATCTTTACACTTTTTATTTTATATAATAACGTAATAGCACTTTTATAAATGACTTACATTCCACAAGGATAGATGTTTTCAACAACTGTACGATGTTTCCTTGGGACGACCATTGTTGATTTAAGAATGAAATGAAATATGAAATGGGAAGTTTTTGTGTAGTTCAGGACGAAGTTCATGTCAGAGATCTGAGCCTGAAGAGAAAGGGCGTGATGTTTTGGTTTCCAGCACGTGCTGGAAGAAAACGAGCACAAACCTATTGCCCATACAGCACAAGCTGATTGCCCATACAGCACAAGCTGATTGCCCAAACAGCGCGAACCTGTTCTGAAACAGCATGAACCTGTTCTGAAACAGCACAAACCTTTTCTAAAACAGCGCGAACCTGTTCTGAAAACAGCACAAACCTATTGCACAAACAGCGCTAACCTGAAGAAAAAGCATACAGGCTTAAAAAAATCCACAATCATTTGCATGCATAACAGGCTTCTTCTCTTTTCGCACTACCATTACCATTGCCATTACCATTACCATTGCCATTACCATTACCATTGCCATTGTCATTCTCATTCTCATTCAATTCTCAGAGAACCTTCTGCATCATCCCTATAAACACGCTTAATACCACGAACAGTTGACAGATTAACTTTATTTGTCTGATCTTGTCTCACAAAGCGGCCATGTACTTTAATAATTCAGTAAATGCTCGGCATCTCTGCCTCTGCTTTCTCTTTATTACTAATGTTGACTATATATAGTCAAAGCCAACTTCTACTTCCATAGCTAGGCTTCTATATCTCTATATCTCAAAGATCTTAAAGACCAATAATCATCGTCTGTGACGCCAAGTAACACTGATACAATTGTACTAGATTCTTCTCTTGCCACTCTTTTTGGGCTTAGTAAAAGAAGTCTTGCCCTGGCTTAGCAATGCTGAAGTCCCTATCCCTCAGGCACCATGGTTGTCACTCCGTGGAATATATACTTTATTCTTGAGGCAGATGTTAAGTGTAAGTCATTAAAAATGGTATGAGAAAAAGCTTTTTATCATTTATTTCTTCAACCGGCATGGCGATACAGCATATTCTCATCGGGATATCAAAGTAAAATTTAAACATAATGCCATGTTAAAGTTGCTCTCTGGCCTATCCAATGTCCTATTAGTTGACTTGTCTTCTCTCAAGAACGCTCTCATAAAGAAAGGGGTGAAACGCGCCCGACATCTGCTTGATCAATACATTCTTTGAAATTGATGAGTGGTTTGTAAATCCTCTAGATATTAGCTTCGAGAATTAATAGATGAAGAATTACCACATTACGATGAGTAATCAGAAAAAAAGCTGCAAAGTCAAAGGAAGATGTCCTTATGTCATCACAACGGCCTGGGCCTCCGTCTGAGCATTAAAATATAGCGAGTTTCATTGATGGAGTCCAAAATATAGACGCATCTTTCAGAATAAAGCTAAAACTTAATATTGCCAATCACTTTATACTACTTTCACAAGTAGTGGACAAAATACAACACTGTTGACGCGCAGTGTAGATAAAAACGCTTAATTTATTTCATTGTAAGTCTAACAAAGTCCGAATCTTCTCAAAGCTGTGACTAAAAATGATGTTGCGCACATTTCGATCACTGAGGTTGGTCCTAAGTGGAGAGAGGACTAGCCCTGCCTTACTGAACAAACGCTCAGACTCAGTTTGATGTGACTGGATACAGAGGTACGAGCGCGCAAGTG